TACTCAGAAAGGACTCCTTCACAATGTAAAAATTTTCTGACTTAAATTAGAATACCATTCTTTGAGTCAGTATTTGTCTACATTTTTACTACTATTTTTTCGACCGATCAAAGTTTAAAAAATTCATAACTTAGCCAAAAACGCTCCAATTTTAATTCGGAAAGCGTTCCAATGCTAGTTTTTATCAGGTTAAAGAAACTGCATACTCAATTTAACATTTAAAGAGATTCAATTTTTTTCCAATTTTTGGCAATTTTAATGATGTAACCCCTTATAAAATTTTTAAATTTTCGGAGATTTTGAAAAAAAAATAGATTTTGGCCGGAGACAGCTCAATCGACTCGGCTGATCGTGCTGATCAAGAATATATATGGTTTATAGGGTCGGAAATGCTTCCTTCATAGCGAAAGAAGCTTCTGACTAAAATTAAAATACCATTCTTTGAGTCAATATTTGTCTACATTTTTATGAAATTTGTCGGACCAATCAAAACTTAAAAAATTTATAACTTAGCCAAAAACGCTTTAATTTTAATTCGGAAAGGGTTTCTACGTTGTTTACTATCAGCGTAATAAAACTGCATACTCAGAAAGGACTCCTTCACAATGTAAAAATTTTCTGACTTAAATTAGAATACCATTCTTTGAGTCAGTATTTGTCCAAATTTTTTACTACTATTTTTTCGACCGATCAAAGTTTAAAAAATTCGTAACTTTGCCAAAAACGCTTTAATTTTAATTCGGAAAGGGTTTCTACGTTGTTTACTATCAGCGTAATAAAACTGCATACTCAGAAAGGACTCCTTCACAATGTAAAAATTTTCTGACTTAAATTAGAATACCATTCTTTGAGTCAGTATTTGTCTACATTTTTTACTACTATTTTTTCGACCGATCAAAGTTTAAAAATTCGTAACTTAGCCAAAAACGCTTTAATTTTAATTCGGAAAGAGTTTCTACGTTGTTTACTATCAGCGTAATAAAACTGCATACTCAGAAACGACTCCTTCAGAATGTTAAAATTTTCTGACTTAAATTAGAATACCATTCTTTGAGTCAGTATTTGTCCAAATTTTTTACTACTATTTTTTCGACCGATCAAAGTTTAAAAAATTCGTAACTTAGCCAAAAACGCTTTAATTTTAATTCGGAAAGAGTTTCTACGTTGTTTACTATCAGCGTAATAAAACTGCATACTCAGAAATGATTCCTTCAGAATGTTAAAATTTTCTGACTTAAATTAGAATACCATTCTTTGAGTCAGTATTTGCCCAAATTTTTTACTACTATTTTTTCGACCGATCAAAGTTTAAAAAATTCATAACTTAGCTAAAAATGCTCCAATTTTAATTCGGAAAGCGTTCCAATGCTAGTTTTTATCAGGTTAAAGAAACTGCATACTCAATTTAACATTTAAAGAGATTCAATTTTTTTCCAATTTTTGGCAATTTTAATGATGTAACCCCTTATAAAATTTTTAAATTTTCTGAGATTTTGAAAAAAAATAGATTTTGGCCGGAGACGGCTCAATCGACTCGGCTGATCGTGCTGATCAAGAATATATATGGTTTATAGGGTCGGAAATGCTTCCTTCATAGCGAAAGAAGCTTCTGACTAAAATTAAAATACCATTCTTTGAGTCAATATTTGTCTATATTTTTATGAAATTTGTCGGACCAATCAAAACTTAAAAAATGTATAACTTAGCCAAAAACGCTTTAATTTTAATTCGGAAAGGGTTTCTACGTTGTTTACTATCAGCGTAATAAAACTGCATACCCAGAAATGACTCCTTCAGAATGTAAAAATTTTCTGATTTAAATTAAAATACCATTCTTTGAGTCAGTATTTGTCTACATATTTTACTACTATTTTTTCGACCGACCAAAGTTTAACAAATTCGTAACTTAGCCAAAAACGCTTTAATTTTAATTCGGAAAGAGTTTCTTCGTTGTTTACTATCAGCGTAATAAAACTGCATACCCAGAAAGGACTCCTTCACAATGTAAAAATTTTCTGACTTAAATTAGAATACCATTCTTTGAGTCAGTATTTGTCCAAATTTTTTACTACTATTTTTTCGACCGATCAAAGTTTAAAAAATTCGTAACTTAGCCAAAAACGCTTTAATTTTAATTCGGAAAGAGTTTCTACGTTGTTTACTATCAGCGTAATAAAACTGCATACTCAGAAATGATTCCTTCAGAATGTTAAAATTTTCTGACTTAAATTAGAATACCATTCTTTGAGTCAGTATTTGCCCAAATTTTTTACTACTATTTTTTCGACCGATCAAAGTTTAAAAAATTCATAACTTAGCTAAAAATGCTCCAATTTTAATTCGGAAAGCGTTCCAATGCTAGTTTTTATCAGGTTAAAGAAACTGCATACTCAATTTAACATTTAAAGAGATTCAATTTTTTTCCAATTTTTGGCAATTTTAATGATGTAACCCCTTATAAAATTTTTAAATTTTCTGAGATTTTGAAAAAAAATAGATTTTGGCCGGAGACGGCTCAATCGACTCGGCTGATCGTGCTGATCAAGAATATATATGGTTTATAGGGTCGGAAATGCTTCCTTCATAGCGAAAGAAGCTTCTGACTAAAATTAAAATACCATTCTTTGAGTCAATATTTGTCTATATTTTTATGAAATTTGTCGGACCAATCAAAACTTAAAAAATGTATAACTTAGCCAAAAACGCTTTAATTTTAATTCGGAAAGGGTTTCTACGTTGTTTACTATCAGCGTAATAAAACTGCATACCCAGAAATGACTCCTTCAGAATGTAAAAATTTTCTGATTTAAATTAAAATACCATTCTTTGAGTCAGTATTTGTCTACATATTTTACTACTATTTTTTCGACCGACCAAAGTTTAACAAATTCGTAACTTAGCCAAAAACGCTTTAATTTTAATTCGGAAAGAGTTTCTTCGTTGTTTACTATCAGCGTAATAAAACTGCATACCCAGAAAGGACCCCTTCACAATGTAAAAATTTTCTGACTTAAATTAGAATACCATTCTTTGAGTCAGTATTTGTCTACATTTTTTACTACTATTTTTTCGACCGATCAAAGTTTAAAAAATTCATAACTTAGCCAAAAACGCTCCAATTTCAATTCGGAAAGCGTTCCAATGCTAGTTTTTATCAGGTTAAAGAAACTGCATACTCAATTTAACATTTAAAGAGATTCAATTTTTTTCCAATTTTTGGCAATTTTAATGATGTAACCCCTTATAAAATTTTTAAATTTTCGGAGATTTTGAAAAAAAATAGATTTTGGCCGGAGACGGCTCAATCGACTCGGCTGAACGTGCTGATCAAGAATATATATGGTTTATAGGGTCGGAAATGCTTCCTTCATAGCGAAAGAAGCTTCTGACTTAAATTAAAATACCATTCTTTGAGTCAATATTTGTCTACATTTTTATGAAATTTGTCGGACCAATCAAAACTTAAAAAATTTATAACTTAGCCAAAAACGCTTTAATTTTAATTCGGAAAGAGTTTCTACGTTGTTTACTATCAGCGTAATAAAACTGCATACTCAGAAATGAATCTTTCACAGCGAACCAATTTTCTGATTTAAATTAGAATACCATTCTTTGAGTCAGTATATGTCCAAATTTTTTACTACTATTTTTTCGACCGATCAAAGTTTAAAAAATTCGTAACTTAGCCAAAAACGCTTTAATTTTAATTCGGAAAGGGTTTCTACGTTGTTTACTATCAGCGTAATAAAACTGCATACTCAGAAATGAGTCCTTCACAGCGAACCAATTTTCTGATTTAAATTAGAATACCATTATTTGAGTCAGTATTTGTCCAAATTTTTTACTACTATTTTTTCGACCGATCAAAGTTTAAAAAATTCGTAACTTAGCCAAAAACGCTTCAATTTTAATTCGGAAAGAGTTTCTACGTTGTTTACTATCAGCGTAATAAAACTGCATACTCAGAAATGATTCCTTCAGAATGTTAAAATTTTCTGACTTAAATTAGAATACCATTCTTTGAGTCAGTATTTGCCCAAATTTTTTACTACTATTTTTTCGACCGATCAAAGTTTAAAAAATTCATAACTTAGCTAAAAATGCTCCAATTTTAATTCGGAAAGCGTTCCAATGCTAGTTTTTATCAGGTTAAAGAAACTGCATACTCAATTTAACATTTAAAGAGATTCAATTTTTTTCCAATTTTTGGCAATTTTAATGATGTAACCCCTTATAAAATTTTTAAATTTTCGGAGATTTTGGAAAAAAATAGATTTTGGCCGGAGACGGCTCAATCGACTCGGCTGATCATGCTGATCAAGAATATATATGGTTTATAGGGTCGGAAATGCTTCCTTCATAGCGAAAGAAGCTTCTGACTAAAATTAAAATACCATTCTTTGAGTCAATATTTGTCTACATTTTTATGAAATTTGTCGGACCAATCAAAACTTAAAAAAATTCATAACTTAGCCAAAAACGCTCCAATTTTAATTCGGAAAGAGTTTCTACGTTGTTTACTATCAGCGTAATAAAACTGCATACTCAGAAATGACTCCTTCACAACGTACAAATTTTCTAACTAAAATTAAAATACCATTCTTTGAGTCAATATTTGAAATTAATGCTTTGTTGGTTTAGTTATGAGATTTTTAAATTTTTTATATTTAGATAAATTGTAAATCAGTCCTTTGTAATGCGGTGAAGCAGTCATTAGCTCCTTCTAAGCTTCTGACCGAAATTATTATTCTCTGCAATGGTATAGAAATGAGAATATTTCAGGTCCCATAAAAACCAGCTATTCCCAAAGTATGCATATTCCGATTCGCTGTTGAATTCCAAACCATTTTAAAATATGACCACTATTTTGTGGTTTGTATTCAAGATTCGTTTATATCGATAGAAGAACGCTCACACATTGTCAAGAACAAAAGGAAGAAGGCTTACATAAATAAGTTAACCAGTTTTTTTGGGCGAAAGAAAGAGTATTTTTTTGGGCAGCTTGCATTGCTCTGAGGTTTCATCAATCCGAGGGATTTGAAGTTGTCTTCCTTGGACTCGCGTCTGGGATTAGTAGCTATAGCCTGTCTGAGGGTTGAACTCGCCGTTGCCGCGGCCAGCTCCCGGTGCTCCCGGCGCTGGTGGAATGTACTGAGATCCTGGTGCACCTGGTGCACCGGGTGCTCCTGGCCTTCCTGGAGAGCCTGTAAATAAAATCAAGATTGAAAAAATGGCAGCAAAGAAGGGAATCAATTCATGGTTAACTTACCAGGACCTCCTGGGCCTCCCGGACCACCTGGCGCACCTCCTCTTCCTGCTCCGCCACCAAATCCGCCAGCACCTCCTGCACCGCCGCCACCAAAGCCTCCTGGGCCACCCGGACCTCCGGGACCACCTGGCGCGCCTCCCCGTCCTGCGCCGCCGCCGTATCCGCCAGCACCTGCTCCAGCGGCACCACCGAAGCCTCCTGGGCCACCCGAACCTCCGGGACCACCTGGTGCGCCACCTCGTCCTGCGCCACCACCATATCCTCCTGCACCGCCTGCTCCACCTCCCGCACCATAGCCACCCGGGCCGCCTGGGCCACCCGGACCTCCAGGGCTTCCAGGACCTCCAGGAGCACCCCCTCTACCTGGACCGCCAAAGCCGCCCGGGCCACCTGGACCACCTGGAGCACCACCAGCTGGGGGAGGAACGTACTGATTGCCTCCTGGGAATCCTGGACGCCCTGCCCCTCCTGGTCCACCAGGACCTCCTGGACCACCTGGCGCGCCGCCTCGTCCTGCGCCGCCACCGTATCCACCTGCACCGCCAGCTCCTCCGCCGCCACCGAATCCTCCTGGGCCGCCGGGTCCGCCCGGACTTCCAGGCGATCCTGTAAAGATTTGTTCGACGTCTTAATCAGTTATTTAAGTCTATAAACCATTACGGATTAGTGAATGGGCTTTAGGGTAACGGCATTTGGTTACAATTTATAATTTATGGAATACATTTAGTAGATCGTGGGAAGATGGGTAGACAATGGCCTTACCTATACGATAATAATATGTTAAACAAACTTGAAAAGCGTGGGAGTAACCCAGGAGTATGTGGGCGAGGAGATTCATTTCATCTTCCCACACAATCTTCCCATAAAGATCACATTGCTTGGATCTTAAGCCGCCAATTTAAACTTGAGAAACTATTGTAATTACTAACCTGGTCCACCTCGACCTCCGCCGCCTCCATATCCACCGGGGCTACCTGGAGATCCTGGAAATATTATATATACATTATTAATTATCCTGCTCAATAAAAAAGATTCTGAAGATATAAAAAAACATTTTTAATGCGGTTTTTTTTTAAGGATTGAGAAATCTTTTTGAGCTTACCGGGTCCACCTGGGCCTCCTGGTGCTCCACCACGACCTGCACCACCTCCATATCCTCCCCCACCGCCTGCTCCACCACCTGCGCCGCCTCCAAATCCTCCTGGCCCACCTGGGCCTCCTGGCGATCCTGTGAAATTTGTATCAATATTTCATATTGTTTAGGTGAATAAAAAGAGCACTATTACTCACCTGGACCACCGGGACCACCTGGCCCGCCACCTCGACCTGCACCACCTCCATATCCTCGCCCACCGCCTGCTCCACCTCCTGGGCCGCCCCCAAAGCCGCCTGGTCCACCAGGTCCGCCTGCGAAGGAAATTGTTCAATTGAAAATGTCATTGAGTTTAAGAAAAGGAACACCATTACTCACCTGGACCTCCTGACCCGCCACCTCGTCCTCCACCGCCTCCGTATCCTGAGCCTCCGCCGCCTCCAAAGCCTCCTGGCCCACCTGGGCCTCCGGGAGATCCTATGATTAAAATGAACCAATGATTAATCAGTTAAAGGTCAAGATAAGCAGTAGAGCTTTACCAGGCCCACCAGGACCACCTGGACCACCACCACGCCCGCCGCCGCCGCCGCTTCCGTATCCTCCCCCACCGCCTCCTCCACCTGCTCCACCGCCGTATCCGCCTGAACCGCCGGCTCCACCTCCTCCTAAACCATGAAATTGTATTCAATTAAATAAATACAAAAGTTTCTGGAATAATTACTCACCATGACCGCCGCTGAAGCCACCGCCTGGCAGAATATTGATGCCCTGGGCGGCCAGGGATTTCGCTATCGCCTCCGGAATGGGCGGGGGAGTTGGAAGTGCCGAGCCCGAGGGCACGAAGCCGTTCTCATCCGCCGTGTACATGATCTCAACGAGCTCGCCCTCGGGATTCGTATACGAATAGGAACCCATCACGGAGGGTATCTCGTTCTCCGACCCCTTATTCTTTACCGTGCCCTCCTCCTGGGCCTTGATTCCATTGCCAGTCTCGTAACTGAATCGATAGTTGCCATCGCCGTCGTTCTCATTCACGAACGACAGGATGGGAATGGGTGGTCCGCCGGCTGGAGGTCCACCAGCCGGAGCATTGGGTCGGGGAAGGGGAACTGGACGCGGGCCGGCTCCGCCTCCAGGAGCAATGGGTTGACCATTGGCAAAGCCACCCAAGCCGTTATTACCGCCGCCGCCAAAGCCGCCTCCTCCCGCTCCACCGCCAAAGCCTCCTCCAGCAGCTCCACCACCTGCTCCGCCGCCAAAGCCTCCACCAAAACCACCTCCTGGTCCCTGCAGTCCCGCTCCTGGACTGCCGCCCGCACTGGCCGCACTGGCAGGTGGCGGTAGGTATTTGTTATCCAGCTTCGCGGCCTGCGTCAACGCCAGCGTCGTGATCAGCAGGGCCTGGAAGAGATCAGAGGATGGGATGTGGGTAAGGCAACCAATTTATGCATGGTAAGTGGAAAGTTCATCGCGATGCACGCTTTCAACTTGGCCTGGAGGAACACACCAACCGTGATTAATGTGCAAAATGTAGAATCAACAAATTGTGTAATATACATTGGTTTTATCTATTGGGTATAGGATAAATCTTTAAAGCCTTTAAAAAATTCAACAACCAATTTAATGAAATTTATGAGCTGTTATTTATGAAAACAATTAAAATTTAATGAATGGAAACTACTCATTCACGAATGATAATTAAGATATGTTTGATTATTCTGTGGGATTTTATAGTTTTAAGTCTGTATTCTAGGAAACTAAGAGGATTATTCAGTTATAATTATAATTTTGGTAAATATAAGCAAAATTCTTCTCGATGTTGTAAGTCCCAGACCTCTTTCTTTGTTGATTTTATGTGGCCATAAAATAGCTTAAATAATTACATTTGTTCAAGTTACGTCAAGTTAAAATCACTTTTAAGTGCCTAAAAATTAATTAACACCTGTTTTAAGAAGTTAAAGAACTCATGTATGTGGAGAATGGAATGCAATACAAGAAGCTAGAGAGGATTCGACCTCGAACCAGGTCAAGAGTGTGGCCAAAATGTCGGCCATTTCATTTCATCAATGAATCGCACCCATTGACATCGCCAACCGCTCACGTTTTACATTTTCCATTGTTGCAAATAGCCCATTAAGGCAGCTAATACCTAGACTATCGAATGACTATATCAAGCTCCTCATCGACAACGACGAACTCTGATATTTATGGACTTCTTGTTAGACAGAAGATGTCTGCCGCTTCGAGCAACCGAAGAAGATGATGCAGCAGCAGCAACATGCAGCAGCAACATGCAGCAGCAGCAGCAACATGCAGCAGCAGCAGCAACATGCAGCGTGTGAACAATCGCTAGAGACTGCCCAGGCTAGCTGGGAAGGTTAAGTAAACGGAACGGATTGGCTGGGAGCTGGGGCAGCTCCGTCTTCAGCGAGTGTCAAGTTGAAGTTTAAACCGTTTACGGACTCCCCTGAACGGCTCCATCAACTGACGATGAGCTCACTTGTCGCCGATTGTCGCACACCTGAATAATGCAATTCTCCGAATTATATGAGAATTCTGACATTTGCCACCAGACTGACTCATCTCCGTGGAGCATGGAGTTTAAAGTATGATGCCACATGCAACCAACGCCTGCCCCTACAGACTCTTTGGGGATTTCGTGACCGGCGAGCAGACATCTTCGACAGTATTTCGCAACCGCAAAATTATAATTGCGGTAATTGCAAATGGGCTGCCAATTGGGTCGCCCCACTGCCAAGACTGCTTCCATTTCCATTTTCCATTTCCATTACGACGGCGATGATCTGCTTTGGAGGCGGTACGGACACGACCGATACTTGGGCAACTTTGCGTGCCAGCAGCCATCGGTATCGTCTCCTCATCCTCCTCCATCTGGGATTGCCAATGGCCTTTTAATTTATGCGTTAGTTGATCTTTTCCAAGACAATCGGATATGCTAAGTGCGATGGGGAAATCCTTCCTTTGCTGGGCTCAACACACTCCCTGCGGCAAGTCAATTAATTTATCGCGATCTTTAATGAATTGGTTGAGTACTAAGTGGCTATAGCTTGGAGTTGATTTGTTGCAACACATTAATCTTCTTTTTTAATTTATTAAATTAAAGCTCCGAAAAGTTTAATTCCCGATAGATATAGAATTGAAATTTATAGACATTTTAAAATGGCATATTTTCGAAAAATACAAATCTAAAAAACGCAGAATCCGATTAAAAAAGAATTAATTTTAATTCGAAAAGCTTCCCTATGTTAGTTTTAATCAGGTTAACAAATCTGCATACTCCATTTCAAATTGAAAAAAATCTAAATTTTTGTCAATTTTTGACCATTTTAATGATGTAACCCCCTATCTTTTTTTGAAAAAATCGTAAAAAATTTGTTTCTTTAAAATATACATAGATTGAACCGCCTTGTAATGCTGATCAAGAATATATATGCTTTATGGGGTCGGAAATGACTCATTTACAAGTTACAAGCTTCTGACTAAAATTATAATCAATTTTTGAAGCGATATTTGTCCATATATTTAACTTAAATTTTTTACTAAAAATCAAAGTTGAAAAATTTCATAACTAAGCCAAAAAATCTTTAATTTCAATTCGGAAAGCTTTCCTACGCTTGTTTTTAATTGGTTGACAAATCTGTATACTCAGTTAAAAACCTCAACATTTTACGAATTTTTGAAAATTTTAACGATGTAACTAACCCCTTATCGTTTTTTGAAAAAATCGAAAAAATTAAAAACAAAATTGTTTCTCTAAAATATAGCTAGATCAGCTATCGATGCTGATCAAGAATATATATGATTTATGGGGTCGGAAATGACTTCTTCATGGCATAACAAGTATCTGACATTTTATTTATAATACCCTGCAAGGATATAAAAGTAGTCTATTGCTCTATTTAAGGGGATTTAAATTCACATTAGATTATTTATTATTTAAAGTATCAGCTTACTACGTATTTAATTCATTCTACATAAAGAATATATTTTTAGAAGCTATTTTTTGTAATTCAAAGACTATTTTCTGAGCTTGAACGCGTTAAATTTTAATCAAATTCTTTAAAGATCTTCCTAGACCTTGTACCTTTCTTAGAATTTCTTGTAACCACTGAACTTACCCACTTAGGAGCCATCTCTGTTACTCTTTTGCGTTAGTATTCCAAGTGATATTTTGCTGAGGAATCCTTGCCACGATCCTTGACACAAATCAAAACGAAACGAAACGAACGAAACCACGCGAGTCCTGGCTGGGAACTCTGATGTGCCACCGCGTGTGATGTGGCTCCTCGATTGTCACAGTACTATTGTGCCGATCGCAGCCTGGGTTCTCCAGCTTTTATACTTGGTTTCGGCTCCAAATGCAATCAAATGGAATGGAATGAGCTCTAGCTCTGGCCGAATCCGAAGCCGGAGCTTGCAGCTCCGAGCTTGGCGCTGCTGAGCGAGTGCTGAGATTTTGATACTTTATGGCATTTATTGCGAATCGTGTGCAGCTGTGTTGGGGCAAAAACAATTGCCAGCCCAAGGGAGGAGGAGAAGAATAACCGACGAGGAGGAGGAGGAGGAGGAGGAGCTGCATAGGTTCGCCCCATTGTCTCAACAACTGCATTGGCATCGGCATCGGCCACGGCATCGGCGGCATCTCGTTTACCCAATGTACCTTGTCTCGTTAAACAAACGCTCTCAGCCACATCTCTCCCGAGTTGGTAAAAATTAGCAAGTTGCCGCCGCTTGCCGCTCGTAAATTGAAATCCAATCGAAACGCTCAACGCTCGAGCGCATCATTCAGCTGCTGCTGGTGCAGATTCATCTCCATTGAATGGCACGTTTGGGAAACAATCTCGCTTGGCGCTAAGAATCGCATATAGAAATGCAGTCTGGCCCAGACGGATGTCCATAAATCCGGACCGATGGGGACTCCGTGGCGGCTCTTTCACAGGGCCGAGGCCCAGGTCCAGTCCAGGTGACCTTTCACCTAACGATTGAGTGGAAAACTGGTAATAAATACCACTTACTATCGACACCCTCTGGGCATTGCGCAAAACAAGTTGCTCCACTTGACGGCAAAGCATCCAACCACAGCCCCTTCTCCAGAGCTACCCACATACATATTTCGGCTGAGTTAAACTTTTGCAGAAAGGGCAGTTGCATGTTTCGGGGGCCAAGTTTAGCGAAAATGCTTGACATCTTTTCAGTCGACAAAAACAAGGAGAATGCTCACTGACATTTGCCAGTTTGGAAAGGCAGCACACACAGCCTCCGAGTTGCAGTTTCGCTTGCATTCTCCATGGGATGGACATCATCTGCGCGGCGGCACAGCTGCGCGGACCAGAACGCCAGCCAAGTGGCAAAAGGAATTTGCACGCACTTGCAGTGCCAGCCATCAAGCAGAAATGCATAAAATCTAAGTTGAAAAAGAATACAAACAAAAACTACAATTACTAAGAGTCCACGCTGCGTATGCGCAACATGCATCACTCATACGCCGCGTGGCCTTGCCAAATTAACACACAAATGAGCAGCGGGACACGCCCACTCCCAGCCCAACATTGCATAAGCATCGAAAAATAATAATCTCGAAGACTGAGAGCCTCAATTAAAATGACTCAAGTCGGATGCAGAGATGCATCTTAGAATGTTTGCCGCGCTTTGGGTTTTTCTACCCTCGTAGTTCCTGCACCAGCGGATTATTTATAGCGTAATTATGATTACTCAATACTCAATCGTACAAATCAAATACAAAAACGTTTATTCAAGCCTCGGGATAGCGGGTAGTAGACAATTAATAGTGACGCGATGTGTTGGTTTTCCACAAAGGCTTACTCGCCAGTCATCATCTCCATGAATTCTGCAAAGAGGAAAAAAGGAAAGTGAAGCAATTAGTAAGATTATCAAATCTAGAAAGAAAATAATTATAAGGAGGACTTCATTTTCTAAGGGCATATATATTTGAAATGAGGCTGAACTTTAAACTTAAGGTATGTCTATTAATAAGGATATATATATGTAAATAAACTCAAATATTAATTTAACTTGAACAAGGGATATTTTATCTATTACAACTTCTTCAATTTACAAAGATAAAATAGAGTAATTTGTTCTAGAATCTAATAAAAATAGCCTAAAATCTTCATCACAAATATGTACTTTCAACAAATTTCCACAACTACAAATGCTTTCCTATCAAGTAACAAACAAACAAAGTCTTTTTCCAAATCCTAAGGTACTGTAATATGCTCTAAAATCAAGAGGAAAATGATACGTCTCCTCTGTCGCTCTGTGTAAAGATCTAAGACTCTAAAAATAGACGCGTCTACAAGGGCAGCAGCTCTCCTGATGCGACTCAACAAATTGATATAATTTGTGTGGAACAGAAAACAAAAAAAAAAACAAGTAAATATGGAAAATGCCTCTCATTGGCATTTGGCCAAAGAATTTTAAATTTTATCGGCCGAGTGACGGCGGCTAATTGGTCGTTCAGCGGACTCACCATCAAAGTCCACGGTGCCGGAGCCGTCAGAATCGATTTCCTCAATCATGATGTCCAATTCCTGCTCGGTCAGCTGATCGTCCAGCTCCTTGAGGATCTCCTTGAGGCAGGAGGTGGGAATGTAGCCATTGCCCTGCTTGTCGTACAGGCGGAAAGCCTCACGCAGCTCCTTCTGCATGGCCTCGTCATCCTCCTCAACGATGAACTTGGCAGCCAGCTGGACGAACTCCTCGAACTCCAGGCGACCGGACTCTGGTTGGAGGGAAAATGACTATATTAGTTTTAGCCTTCTTTTAATGGAGATTAGGTTACTTACTGTCCTCATCGACCTCATTGATGAGCTCTTCGAGGATCTGCCTGTCGAAGGGCTGACCCATGAGGCGCAGGATATCGGCCACCATTTCGGTGGAGATGCTGCCGCACTTCTGGTGATCGAAGCTGTTGAATGCCTTCTGCAGAACGGCAATCTGCTCGGGGGTCAGGTCCTCATCCTGGATGCAAAGGGAATATGGTTTAGTAAGGTAGTCTTAATCATTGACCAACTTTTTTCGTTTAAGATATTCTTTAAAGAATCCACTGCTATCTATCCATTCTACTCCTTAAATTCCAATCTGCTTCGCTCCACTTACAATGTTATCCATGTTAAATCCTGTGCTAGTTGTTCACCAGATCGATCTCCGCCAACGACTGATTCTGTTCCCCACTTCTGCGTATCTCGAGATCCCGAAGGCCCAGCAGCGGCACACACAGCACACACCCACACACTGCGCCACTGTGGCGGGGCATTCCAAAAGTAACAAGCTAATTTATGGTTTTCAGCAGCATTTTCGAAAATAAAACCAAACCACCGGGGGAAAATAAACAAAAGAAAACGTAGAATGTGCTTCTAATTTTCGTTTTTTTCCTTATTTTTGTGAAGTGAAAATACGAAAAGCACTGTAAAACCATTGTGGCACTGGCCTGGCCGCATTTACTGTGCCCGCTGGCCACCAGAAACCAGACCAGCAGACCATCTACATATACCAAGAGCACTCCTCTTCCCTTCGGTGCGGGAAGAGCAATACTATTTTGTAGTGGTTTGCTAAGCTTAACAATGACTATTTTTATGCGGCGACACTGAGCGAAATCAGAGAGGAAATCTACAGATAATCTCTCGCTGCTGATAAACTGATAAACCAGTTCCCAAATGAGATGTCACCATTCATTAAAACTAAACACGCTTAATGGCGATTAAAAGCCTTAAATTAGCTTAATTTAAATTTAAACAAGAAATGAAACTAAGTTCGTGAAGACAGAGATTAAATACCCTTGCAGTTTGGAAATATATTATCGGATCAAATCTGAAATTGATTATAGGTGAAAATATTCGCATTTTTTTAAAAGACTTTTTTAAGTGACAATTTTTGCCACAAATCAAAATTTAAAAACCGCATAACTAACCCAAAAAATCATTAATTTTAAATCGGCAAGTTTTCCTATGCTAGTTTTTATGAGCTTAAAAAATCTGCATACTCCTTTCTTAATTTTAGAACATTCAAATTTTTATCAATTTTTGACAATTTTAACGATGTAACCCCTTATCATTTTTTGAAAATCCGAAAAAAATGAAAAAATTTGTTTTTCGTAAAATATAGCTAGATCGAACCGCCTTTTAATTCTGATCAAGAAAATATATGATTTATGGGGTCGGAAATGATTCCTTCACTGCATTACAAGCTTCTGACTGAATTTGAAATACCCTGCAAGAGTATAATAAAACATCTGTTGTTTTATATTATCATTTTTGCTTTATAGTGGATACTGGTATTTATTTATTGCAATTTAAATGACGACTACTCAATAAACGGATTCCTCTGCGAATGGCAAACTTGTTATAAGTTTTTAGGTGAATTTTAAGCTTTGAATATTAACGAATAATTTAATAATAAAAAAATACAACACTTAAGAGTTTCAGTTGAAATTTTTAATTAAATCCTGGATGAGCAACTTTAATTTTAAAGTCTAATTAATGAAAACTTACTTTACCTACCGGAAAATAACAGATAATACTAGTGTCAACTGATCTTTAATTAAAACTGTGTGCGTAAATTTGAGTAAAGTGTGTAAATCAGTTTAAAAAAAATTCCAAAACCATCAGATACTCAGAACAATAATTTTCGTCAGTGTACTCTTAAGTGGTTCTCCTCATTTAAATATACATATATCATGTATCCCGCACTCATAATTGGAGCAAATTCGATCACATTTTTCCAATTCACAGCTCGGTGACACGCTTTATGAATCAATCACGGGCACGGCCCGCCCACAAAATCATTCATAGCTCGACCAAATTAACGGCCAATTAAAGATTGGGTATAAATTAAGAGGATGGAATCATTCCGGACAAGCAGCGGATCCCCAGCACCCCGCTTCCCTCTCTGGTGGAAATATCAAACGACGAACAGAAACGAGCCGAGTGCTAAAACATTTTTATAAGCGATTCGAATACTGTCTCTTGCGGTTCTGCTTCCTCCAACGTATACGTATTATACGTATTATTGAATGTATATTCAAATTTAAATCAGCCATAATATCAGTTTTCGCTTTGTTTAATACCACACAATGATATGCAAATTGATTTATACATTTTAATAAAATAGCTGCGCTTGTGTGGCACACATTTTCGGAATTACAGACGTGTTTTTGTTTATACACACATAATGGCTATGGAATATTGGGAATATTCAGCGAGAGTATTGGCGGAAAATATTGAGGAAACCAAAATGTTGTTTACGGATTATGACAGCGCCGGCCAAAGCAGCCGACAAAAGTTGACGTCACGGTGACATATTGACCATTTGTTTATGTTTCTTATTAATTAATTAGCGGCCAAATAGATGGGGCGCATAACTCAAATGCCACGAATTAGTAATTGACAACAGCTGGACTTTGGCAATATTTTTTTCGAAGCGCCATAGGGAATCCTAGAAATTTTTGAAATCCCTGCAGGCAATGATGAGTGCCTATCACTGCAGGTTACACAGCGAAAAAGGGATTATGTTCGTTTTTTAAATAAGTTAATCCTTTATGAGCTAAGTAACACGCAAAACAGGCTTAGATTTTAAAATTTACCATAACTAAGTCAATGTTAAGCCAAGAAATTAGATTAATAACTCTTCTTAAATATGTTTTCTGTACAACCAATTAGCAAAAAACTTACTCTTTAATATTAATAATAATCTACTTTTATTTAAATTTTAATAGACCTAAAACAGCTTTGTTTTTAATAAGGTAAAACTACAAGTTTGTTTCAATACATTGATCACTTTGATTTCTTTCAAGTTATATCCTTAAAACCTCAATTAATTTATTCTGTATTTATTTTCTGAATGAAAATTTGCCATTTTCCCGCTGTGTTTCGCCAGTCTCCCCTTGACAGGCACATTGGCATGTTGACGTTTCCCTCTCAGCATTTCAATCCATCATCATTTGGTACTCGTTATCTTCACTTGCAGCCGCCGTCTTTTGGAGGGTATTGGGTTTTCTGATTTCCATGTCGAGCTTCCAGAGCGATTAGCCTCAACGACCCAGAATCCAAAACCGAATCAGAATCAACGGATTTGGTGGCGGAGCGTAAGCGTCTCAATGTTATTCTGACATTTCTAAGACGACGACGACGACGACGACGACGATGAGGTGTAGCCTTGATCGTCGCGGCGGCCACTTTGGTTACTTGTACCTTGGATGCGATGCCCCTGGGTTGGAGGCAGCCAGCCAGCCAGCCAGCCTCATCGTAATTGACGACGGCATTCACTTTGCTCATTGTCATAATTGCAGTGGCATTACTCCGCACTGCATCGCATCGGAGCGGATCACTTTCAAAGGCTTAAAGTCTAACATTTTCCATCTGAACTTATGACAATAAAGAGCCTGATTGTCCCATGGTGATATAAATATGGTTAAATGTCTACCAAAATTACAGAGCAGAATATCGAAATCGACTTAAACCGGATATTAACAAAGAGATTTGTGTGATAAGAAAACTTGATGCGTAGTTATTGATTAAGAATAGATTAAAATTCTAAACTCCGTAAACTAATAGAACATATACAAAAAGATTCCTCTTAATTCTTCCAAAGCCTTTCTGATATAATCTTAAACTTATAAGTGGTTGTTTGTTAAATAAACTTGAATTCCCTAAATAGTACTTGTTAGTTTTTAGATTAAGATATTTTAAAAACTAATATTAACCACTTGACTATACAATCAGTACATTTCTTGGCTGTGTAAATCTGATTGCCAAGTCGGCGCAGCTTTGTGATATTCAAGTTAACTTATATTGTATATGGGGAAATAACATCGTGGGTGAATAATAGCCATAATAAAGAGTTACAGCCAAAGATACCCTATGGGTCCTCCCAAAAGTATGCAAAAGTAATGTCATCACACTTTTCTCGCTTTGAAAGAAGAAACGGCCAATGGAGAAACTTTCAGTGGATGCACAAAAAGCCAGTTCAAGTTCAGGGTTAGTTTATCATTAGTGGTCATCTGTCAGAGCTATACAAATACTAATATTTATCTCTTTTCTTTCGTGTCCGTCGTTGGCTGACCTTCACTTGCTTGCCGCATAAAATTAGGGAAACTTGTTTCTTAACGAAGTGTGTTCCATTATTCAAATTATTTTCCGACACAAGCTGCAAACGAAGATGCATTGCGAATCCTTTTCGGCTAAGAACACAGGCTCCGGGGGATTTACTTTTTAATGCTTTTATTTTTTGGCAAACATAACTTAGGCATCCTTGGAGGGGTGGGCAGCGATCCAATCCAGGGCCTTCTGGATGGCCTCTGGGATTGGTGGGGGGTGGGCAGTGGTGGGTTGGCGGACAGCACCTGGTAGCCGTTCGCATCAGCGACGTAAACGATGGACACCTGCTCGCCCTCGGGAGAAGTCCAGGCTTGTTGTCCGTTGACCTTCCACTCCTCACCATGCAGCTGACCAGCCTGCTCAACATCCACAGAATTGTCTAGCTTCAGCGCATACTTGAAGTTGTCCACATTAACTTCCTGCTCGCTGCGGAGGACACCGGCATCTTCGTTGGCAACAGCCACGGCCAACAGGCAGGCGAAAGCAATCTAGAAGGATCAAGGCACTGGTCAGTTGAGAGATTCCTTGGGGCTTGGCTAGTGATAAGAGCCACTTACGAAGAATTTCATGTTGTTGATTGGAAGACTTGAGAAGGCTTACTGATATCGTTGTGGAACTTCTGGCTGCTTTTTATATGCTACTGATGGCAGCGGAGCATGATGATGCTTCTGCTTCTGCTTCTGCCGGTGGCGCCCAAGTTCAAGTCAAGTGACGCGGAGGATTTAATTTCATTAATTATGCATAAGATAAGCCAAAATACAAGTTTATGTTCGGGCCTCGTTATTGCTGTGCGGATCGGGTAAAGATCATGCAGATCGGCAGACGGAAGACGAGTTCGACACGGAGACATTAACTAAGTATGTGTCAACTAGCAGACACATTGTAAAGATATAATTAATTCTCGAATTATTTTCGTCAAAAATATCGTCAAAATTAGCATAATTTCGCTTTCAGCCAGGCAAGCGCGACCGGTTTCCAATCGCATCTTGTGCGTATCTCAATTTGAATCTGATCGGCACTAGCTTCGGGCGGGGGCACCTTGACATCCCTCCTGAGAAAAGACAGATAGCTCCCCCAAAACCCGTGTCCGATAAATAATTCAGCTTTATTGTTAACTCCGCCTTAATCTACAGTCTAGGCATTGCCGCTCATCAGCTTCTGTACAGCGCGATCGAATTTCCTGCAAGTAGAAATGGTTGTAGTGGGTGAAAAGGTTTCCCAAATGAGAACGCATCCCAGCTTACTTGGAAGTCAGCGACTCGCCGGGAATGTAGAAGGGATTGCAGACGGCGTCTGTGTAAAGAATATGAAGATTGCGAAAGATCTGAAAAGGAGCAGGGGAGTATTTATACTATCCTAAGACCCAACGGGAAAAATAAACCCACCGCTCGCACCTCGTTTTCCCGCAACGCGACGTTGCTGGAGTCGATGACCACAATGAACTTCACTCGCGAGTTGGTCACGAAACCGTAGCTGCAAAGAAATCTATTCTTAAGATACAACAATTATATGGATAAAGGTATTAAAAGTTACATTTTGTGATTCTCCGTGGAATATAGCAACCCCAGGTAGAGTTCCTTCGACTCGGTTGCTCCCTTGCCAATTAAACACTTTTCCTCCACGACGTCCAGGGCGGCATGGACATGGTACTGTAGCTCTAGCTCCTGTTCCATATCGGATGTGGTCAAGTACAACGGGGCGTTCTAAGAAAACCAGAATCATTAATATTGTGTGAGACCAAGAATTTATAGCTTACATCCTTGCCAATGACTGCAATGCAGAATGCCATGTTGGGAATATTATGGGTTAGTCTGTTCTCCGTAATTCTACTTAAGTTGTTTTAAAACAGCTTAATTTACTAAATTCTCAGTAAAATACAAATTTACTAAACTATTTGTTTACTTTTTTCATTAGAGAAGGGCTGCTTGTTATCGATAATCTTCTAGTCGGCAGTGATAATTTTTATTACTTTATTTGAGGGAATATTAGAGACTGCGAAAAGCAAAACCGTACATTATCTTGTAATTGGCGATTTTAATAAATTAATTTGATGTGTGTTGTACATATTTCATTAATTTCATTTTTGTGCATTTCAATTACATACAAAAGTAAAATCGGCAATCGCAATCAACAGTTATCGGCAGCTAGCCATCCCTATTATCTATACTTGTTGTTTGCTTGCAGTCAGAAAAGAAAAACAAAGAAAATTGATTTAATAGCCATCGCGGATAGATTAGGCACCCTGGTGGAGATGGCGCTCCAAATAGCGCACAACAACCGCGACGGCCGGCTTGGGGGCCCTGCTCCGGGCCTGGTGGAAGTGTACGTGCTGTTCGTAAACACGACCAACCGCACTGTGGATCTCTACTGGGTGTGCGAGAGGGACCGGGAGAACATATACCTAACGCTGAAGCCCTTCGAGGAGGTGCGCGTTAATACCTTCAGTACGCACAGCTGGTTCTTCCGCGACTACTACACGGGCGAGCGGATGCACGTGCGCTCGCGTAGAATCTTCCAACCGGTCCGGGTGCGGGTGCCCAAGAACCCGCAGCATCCGGACCAACTCTGCGACGTCCGCAGCCAGGTGCTGATCCACTTCCCCATCCGATCGCTGCGGGAGAACTGCCTGTGGCTCATCGCCCGCTGGCTGATACGAACGAGTAACACGCCGCGTCGGGTCATAGCCGGCTACAACATACCGTCGACGCTGAAGCAACAGTTGCTCCTGCTGCTGACCACCATTGAGTCGTATTCCCGCGTCGCTGGCACCCGACGGAGGCGTTAGGATGAGGGTGGGAACCCATAACAAACTCGTAGTTAAGCAAATTTTGGGCGGGTTAAGGAATGAGAGCCAAGCTTGATTTCCAAATAATTTAATAAGTTTAATTTTAATTGATTTTTATCCTGGCTTTGCTTTTTGTTTTGTTTCATTACGTTTTTTTTGTTACTTATGTACAAATTGGCTTGCATAGAGCGTTTTACAGGTTGGATTTCTACAATTGCATTGATTTTTTGTATCTTTAACAGATTCTTTAGATGTACTTACGTTCTATGTATATAATTATATATATTTATAAACCTAATGTGAAACAATTGTGAATATTACATACACATAGGCGCAATTCCCTAGGTCTAGATGCTTCAGATGCAAATACATGTAAATGGTATGTCTGCAGTTATCTACGTGTGTGTTGTGTCGCAAGCTTAATTGTTATAAGTCTGAATCTGAAGTACGCGGAAAGAGGCGAAGTAAAACAAAACAAATAGGAGCACGAGGTGCTCTTTATGTGAAATGTTTAAACATATTCCTCCTCGAATGACAAAGACGTTCATAAATACATATAAAATGGTTAATCGATCTGCGCCAAATCTCATTCTCTATCAATAATGCATCATCGGTACACTGCTGCTGCTGCTTCGGTTAGGCGGGAGATCACATACCAGGCGTTCAATACTTGTTGCGCGTCACGCGCTCCAGGCTATCCCCGATCGAACCTGTGGGGGACGACACAACTCACAGTTAGGCAAAAGGCAATCATGCGTTATGTTTTTGCTTTGTGTGTGTGGTGTGGGCTCTATCTCTCTTCTATTTACCATCGTAGTTGAAGTTCTGCTTCGTCTTGTACTGAAACGTAAGGTCGGTAGATTGCTTCCAGATAAAGTGGCGCACCGTGCGCAGGTCCATATTGGGATCCACAACCTGCAATGGAAAAGGCATTAGCTTCTACACAGGCTACAAATCCTTCCATCTTACCACATCGTTGCACCACAATTCAATGCGCTCCTCCGCCGGCAGTTGCGATCCCTCCGAGTTGGCATCGCTCTGGCTATTTTGCAGGGAATTGTTAGCGTTATTGCCACCGCTAGGCGTGGTCTCCGCATTGAGCACCTTTTCCAGCACATGTTCGCACACCTTGCGACACTGTATGAACTCATTGGCCACCAGGCGATCCTGTTTATAAAGTATTTAAAGATTTGAAAATAAACCTAAATCGTCTTAGAAAGCTTACCTTCTTCGTGCGCTCTGGCTTGGTCATTTGCGGATGAGGCTGCAGGAAGAACGGTATTTTCAGGAACTTGGGTATGTTCTTTTCGATCACCACATCGGTCACCCACTGTGGCGCCGTCTCGTGAAGCAGCGTGCTCTCGCTATCGCCAGCTGCGTCGCGCACTAAGAGCCTACATACGGTCCGGCCGCCCACTTCGCTGTTTGGTTTCGTGGAAGAGATTGGCAGAAATTAGAGAGATTAGACATAACAAGAAGGGCAGCCAAGTTATTGTACCCCTGCAGTTTGCAAATGAATTATAAGATCGAATTGGGAAATTGCTCGTAAATAAGCTTACAATTTTTGCATTCTTTGAATCAATACTTAAGAGATTTTTATATGAAAGTTTTTTGAAACATTTTTTTTTGAAATAGCTAGACCGATTAAACTATTGATCATTATCATGAATATATATTTATAGATCCGAAAATGGCTTCTTCACTGCGTTTAGGGCTACCGACTAAAATTAAAGTACTTTGCAAGGTTATAAAAGTTGGAGTCACCTCACCTAAAGATAACGGGCGTATGTTTTGGTACTTGAAAGTAACCATTGCCATGCATGTCCGGATCCATTTCGTTTGGTGGTATGGTATGCGGTGGTGTCCAGTACTCGAGAAGGGCCTCTAGCAGCAGTTTGCCATAGTTTATCTGGTAGAGCAAGCATTAGTATCAAGCAAGCCTTACTATCCAATGAAAAATATATTAAACTCACCTTAATCTCTGTTGTGGGATCCACGCACTCCGGCAGGCCGGCTTCAATGGACACCCAGGCCGCGAAGCAATCCACTTCCTCCTGGCCCAACACAATCGTGGGCATCTGTACAGAAAATAACAATTGTAAGATATAAAACTTTATGTATAGCCGGTCTCCAAATACTCACCCCTGTTTTCAGATCGACAGTGAACCAATTTGGAATGTACACCTGCTTGTTGCGCTTCTTAACTTCCGCCTCGTAGTCGACTGCCCCCAGCTGATCCTTTTTAACTACTCTCAGCACGTCGTAGACGACAACCTGATCCTCGGAATCCTTGGTTATTATATAACGCTTGTCGTTAAGCACCGTGCACTCTTTGATGGCAGCCCCGCCCTTAATGCAGGCGACTTCTGTGCCGCCCTGCGTCCACTGGGCGTCCATGCCGCCGGAGGAGTTTAACGTACACCTGTCGTACATGGGCAGCTTCCAGCAGCGGATGTCCGAATTCCAGGTGGTGGCCCACACCCCGGTCTTGTCGATGTTGTAGCCCAAACTAAGCACGGGTGCCTGCTCTTCGCACACCAGCATCTTGTTGCTGGGATTCCGCATTTCGGTTACTATGATGTTCCGATCTCTGCTGCCGGAGATGATGTACTGGAAGTTCTCGCTCATCAACAGCGACCACACGCCCTCCTTGTGCACGTGAATGGTTTGAACGCATCGCTGCTGGCCCAGGTTCCACACCTTGATGGTGCCGTCGGAGCTGCCGGAGACCACCTGATTACCGTCGGGCGAGACAACCAGGCAGCGAACGTTCTCCGTGTGGCCGCGTAACTTCATGCTGCGCATGCAGGTGCGTGGATCCCAAATGCGCAGGATATTCTCGGTGGACCCGCTCACGATGACAGTGCCTGCGGGATTCATGGCCAGGCTGTAGATAGAGTCCTTGGACCCGGTCAGACTAGATGTGGTCACCGTGTTGTTGCTGGCAGTCAGAGCTGTCAATGTGTTCACGTCCCACAGGAAGATGGCTTTGTCCAGCCCGGCGCTGGCCACATGCTCCCGATCCTTGGCGTAGGCCAGCGCCTGCACGTAGTCCCGATGGGTGCGGAGGGTGGACATGCAGAAGCCCTTCTGGGCGTTCCACACCTTCACCGTGGTATCACAGCTGGCGCTGATAACTGGGGATCAGATGATAGTTGATGGAACCACAGCCTAATGCGGTAAAAACTTACGGTTTCGTCCATTACAGCAGAGCACTATGTCGTTGACCCAGTCGTTGTGGTGCTCCATCGACTGTATGTACTTCTCACTGGACTCCGTGCGTGTGTTCCACACCCGGATGATGGCATCGCGCCCTGCCGAGTACAGCTTGCCGTTGTTTGGGTCCAGCTGGAGTGCATTGACGCCATTCCGATGCTGCTTCTCCTCCGCGTCCCGTATCACAAAGGAAACCTGCGACGACGGATGTCCGGAAATTTAATTGGATTAGTTTCGGGTAGGCCCACCCGTCCCCGCTCTCTCACCTGCATTTTCTTACGGGCTTGACAAGTTTTGTGCGTCAACATGTCTTCCGCGGATCTGCTGCACTGTGGGCTTCGGCGAAATCTCTGGACTGGACTGGACTGCGCTGGTTCAGGCGCTGGCTGCGGATGTGGCGATTCGCGTCGGGTGCTGCTCGTGGGGCACGCACATCTATCGGTGTTCCTGTCCGGCACTTGCTATTTACTTTTCTTTGCGGATCAAAATCAAGGAATTTCCAACCAGCTACAAATTTTTCGCACCTATTCCGCTCTCTTTCGCTCCCCATTCGTTCCCCACACTCTCCTGTGCCTGTTGGGGTTGCCACCTGGTTTTCCGTGATGTGCCGGCTGTTCCATAGTGTTGACATGTTTTGTTCGCAAGTAGTTCCGCGAGCAACTGAAAGAAATTAAATAAAAAGCTTAATTTAAATTAGATTTTAAGGTCACCCATAAGAATCTTTTTTAGTTATTTATTTATTTATTTATATAAAGCTATACGATTTTCTTAAACTAAAAGCTAACTTATTTTTTGAGGCCTTGGCTTCTGTGGCCAACCGCTATAGATATAACTTTTCCGAACTCGAACACAGGAACAGTTTGTAAATATGTCGCACAGTTTTCCCTGATAGAACAAATTGATATTTTAATTCTTTTGGCTAAAGAGAAGTATATATTTTCCCAAACATTTAAAACTTTTGGTTTTTGTTGTACAAACAGAGGTTTCACCCGCGGTGAAGACTCGCGAAAACTTTAATCTTCGGCGGGATTTGGCAACCCTGTTCTTTACATAACAAGAAGAAGAAGATTCTCCACACACCGGGAAATATCACGGATTAATTGCATTTTTAAAGAAAATAATGGTCAGCACACAGAACAAAGACGCCTGCAGCATATGCGACAAGGTGGGCCTGAAGCCCTTCACCCGAGAGAACGTTTTCAACTACTACATACCCCTCCACGGCCTGGTGAGCTATGGTGCCTTGTCGGTCAATGTGATGAACCCGCAGATCGTGCCCAAATTCCTGCCAAAGAAGGATCTGACCAACGTCTTTCTGATCTCCGCCGTGGTGGGCAGTGCTTTTTACATCTATGGACGTCCCCACCTCAAGGACGTGAAGAACAACAAACGTGGAGCGTACGCACTTCTGGGAGCCACCCTCTTCAGCATGGGATCCGTTTTGGCCTGGGCTCTGATCAAGTCCGCCTTGCCGAAGGACAACGCCCTGCTCGCCACCTTGGCCGGGCTGGGAACAGGGGCTGTCATCGTGAAAGTGGGCACCGATTATATTAATGAAGTGGACAAGCTGCAGAAGAACTAAGTGGGAACTGTGGAACTGATTATTGACCTATACTGGGTTCGTACGGATTAGAAAAACGTTTATAAAACACTCGTATAAATAAAAATTAACGATACTGTAAGTCAGGAACTCAATCTTCCGTGTGTCCAATAACAATTTGTTGAGAAACAGGTCGTAAGTGATGACCATATCAAAATTAATAGTATCAAATAATAGAAAATCTTGTTATTTAATTGTATATTACATTTCTGGCATTTAACAAAGTTAAAGACGACTCGACATCACTGGGTTAACAGGTTACGGTACTCAGCCAGGATATGCTCCTCCTGTACGAGCGGCAGATCCAAGTAGTCCTGATCGTTCTGGCTTAGATCGGCGTTGAATCGCTGGTACGCCTTGTAAGTCTCCATTTCGGCACGCGCCTGTCGGAGAACAGACTCGATGATGGCCGGAGGCGTTGGATTGGAGTTCGAGGTAGAGGGCCCATCGCCTTCATTATTGGCCAGATCGGTGACCCGTTCCATAGCTTCCTTGAGCTCCCCTTCGCTGCGAAAGGCGCGCAGCAGGAACTCTATAGCCCGCTCTAAGTTGTTACTTGTGCTCTCGAGAGCCGCACGCACCGAGTCTTCGTCAAAACCTAGCTGGCGAAGCTGAGCCAGCTGGTCGGTATCGACGGAAACACTCCTTTTCGGCAGTGCGGCCATTAGCTCGTCAGCTTGTGATTGCAAAAGATCCACCTGGAATAAGATATTAGCGTAGTATAGTAAAATGCACTGTTTCACTTTTTTTAAGGACTCACCGCCTGGGGAATGTCGTTATTGGATCGCTTCAGAGCCAGAGCGGCCAGTCGACGATCATAGCCCATATTGGTAAGGGTGCAAACGCTGCGAGGATTTACCCAGTCCCCACTGTCTTTGACATTGGACATTCGACGGTTCAGGGATCGCTCCGACTTTGATTGATTGCGGGCATCCTTTAGCTGTTGGCGTCGCTCGTGGATGAACTGTACGGCCCGCTGCACATTACCACCGCTACCGCCACCGCTCGAAGAAGAGCGCAGGGCCAAGCGGGCCTCACTCACCTCGAAGCCCATTTCCACCAGCATAGTCAGCTCCTCCTCGTTAACCTTCAATTCCCTCAGCAAAGCAGAAGCAGCTTCGAAATGCTCAAATGCCTCGTCCCGAAGATTTTGATGGAATAGCACAACGCCCTGAAGCAGCTTCAGACGCATAAGCAAAGCTCTTTCCGGACAGGCCTTGCCCTTTAACGAATACAGTCTCTCAAAGTTTTCGCCGTAGCTGCGCCGAAAACTGCGTGTACAGATTGCCAAACGGCGCTCCGCATCCGGAAGCTGTGTGACGTTCTTCAGGCAGAGATAGCACCACACTATGTCCAGGTTGAGGAGAGCGTAATTGTCCACCTTCTCGAGGAACTGCGAGTTGCATGTGGCAAAGCGCTCGTCGGCCTCCAAGAGAAGGAGCAACGCCTCCTCGAAATCCTCGCGCTGCATCGCCACCTTCGCCTTCTCGCAGAACCCCAAACCGATGAGCAGAGCCCGATTCTCGTCTGGCGGCAGAAAAACGGGACTACCATTCTGGTCCTCCATCTAAGGGTGAGAAATGGCATATTATAATGCGAATCAATACAGCATCAATTTAAGCTTACCTCCATTAGCTGATTCTGGGATGATACCACTGCCTCTACGTCGGCTTTGATTCTGTTGATTCTCTCGTAGAGAGCTTCATTCTGATTATCGCCCCTGCCGGTCACGATCACGATCAGCTGCTGGTTGTTCTTAAGCTGCTGGGAGGCAAGTGTGGCATTGGAGGCCACCATCTTTCCGGCTGCAATGCATTTGACATGATTTGCGTCCTGCAATTGCAGCTTTGCCGCGATTGCTGCCTGTAGATCGGACCCAAAGGCGTTAAGGTCGCACTTAATGTCCTGCATTGTGGTGGTGCCGCCCCCACCTCCATTGTCAACGCGCCGCACCTTGAACGTGGCCAATCCGGTGGCGTTAAATTCACGGCGAGCGGCCAGTTTCCGAAGCGCATTGTCCTGGAGTTCGGTGAGCACGAAATAGCAGCGATCGGAAGCGATACCCAGAAAACGACCGTACTCAGCAGCTAGGTTCTATAAATAATACAAAATAATTAGTTCTACTTTCTAAAGAATACACGCTATAGAACCAATCGAATGCCCATACATTTTAGCGTATCATATACTCCAGTAAACATACATACATACCTCCATCGCGGCTTCGATACATCCGAGGCCTTCCGAGAAATATGGCTCCTCCCACAGCTTTACGCCTTCGGCTTGGAGGCGTGCGCGGACCTGGGTAAAGATGTTATCAATGTGCGACATCTCGCGGCGGAACAAAGGCCAACAATTTAACCAAAAACTGCGACGTCTAGTGGGAAACTATAGCGTAAATATCAACCCGCGCCACAAAGGCAATTTCATAATATTTACCACAAATGTTATTGTTCTTCTTCTTCCTTGCACATGTGTTTTCGGGCAGTACAAAAATAATGCGCAGTCACCAAAAGCCAACGAGTTGTTCCCAATATAATTTTAAATAATGGAAAGAAGAGAGAGCAGCTTCTTTCGACTGCTAAACTACAAAAGAAGCTCTGCAACAGAGAATGACAATTCAGTTTATTTTGTTTATACAAAAGTTTTGTGTTCTGTGACAGGTTATCGGCTATCGATAGTAATAAAACAAACAGCTGAATAGCTAAGTATAACAGTTTTGACAAAAGACAACACATTATTTGTTTCTATTTTAAATTTTAATTAAGAGATTTTTAAGTTCAGCAATAAGACTTGATTTTTATTTGTAGCAGCGAACATTTAAATAAAAATATCAAAAAACATAGCTGAAACTGAAGTTAAAAACGGTTCCATTGCACTTTGGAAAAAGCTAACTATTTTAAATCTCCAGATCCTCAGGATGATACAGTTCCGTGAGCAGCCGGTACACATATGAGGGGGCGTGGCCACCGGTGTTGGATATAAACAGAGTAATCAGCTCCGGTGGCACATAGTCGAACATGGGACTATAGACCTTAGCCTCTCGAGCGGGAATGGAATCGTAGGGTATGACATCTTCGGCACAGCCCACCATATTGAAGGCATCCTGCTCGCACAGGTGCAGCGGCGACAGCTTGTACATGGGCGCCAGCACGATCACCGGCACAGAATAGTGCTTGGCGGCCAGCGCCACCGTGTACGCACCACAAGCGGCCCGCAGTCCACCGTTAGCAAGGACACTGTGCGTCCCTATTATAACTTTGTTAACACGTGACATCATCGCAAATATGGCCGCATCCGGGATCACAATTATCTCTACGTTCTTCTCACTCGCCAAGCTGGCAGCCAGGTTGTGACCCCGACATGCTGGTGCACACTCAGCAACGATTATGGTAAGGGACTGGCGCTTTTTAATAGCTCGCTTCAAAAAGTTTTCAACGCTGCGCGAGTGGCCCAAGGTCAGGATTATCTCCGACGAATGGATGTGCTCCTCGGCCTGCACGCAAATATTCTCCGAACTGGTCTCTAGCTCCGTTTCCACTTCCTGAAGGTGATCCAGCAGCGCTTCCCTCAGACCCTGTTGCGGCACCGAGTAGTCACTCCTCACGTTGCTCTCGCTGGTCTGGGTCACCAGTTTGTGTAGCGACAGAGAGGCCTGCGAGTCGTCGGCAATGTGCTGGACCTTCGCATGCAGCAGGTCAAACTCCTCACGGGTGAGCTTCAGAATCCGCCTGGCTATGTTTGATGACACCGTCTCCTGGGGCAGAGCTGATTGCAGGATTCTACACTGGGCGCGGACTATTTGCATGAGAGCATCGGCGTTTTGCCAGCTCTTGCTCATAATTATGTACTTGAAGATATCCAGCGTCTTGTTGGTTATATTGTAGGATCCCTCCACCAATCTGCAAGGTATAAGCGGCTTTAGTTGCCTGACGTTTAAACGGTTTCCCAAAGCGATTTTCATACCCCACTTTGATGGCGTGGATTAGCTGGGTTACCTCCTTCAGTGGTTGTTCGTGCATCCTGCTATTCCTCGGATTTATTATTTATTTATATTTACTTTCACAATTCTGCACAAAAATTGCCACACCAAATACTTGTTATCGATGATGGCGAATATCGATTAGTTGTAATCAAACTGTATAACAGACAAGAAAGGAAGCTATCTTCGGAACGCCGAAGCTTGTATACCCTTTCAGATTGCAATTCGATCATGAAAAATTTTAAATAATTATAATAATTTTTTTTCTATTCTAAGTTATGAAATTCAAATTAAAAAGGAATCAAATTTCTTAAAATTTTTGAATATTTTTACGATGTAACCCCTTATAATTTTTTGAAAAAATCGAAATGTTTTTTCTTTAAAATATAGCTAAATCGACGCGGCTATCGATTCTGATCAAGAATATATATACTTTATATGGTCGGAGATTACTCCCTCACTGCGTCGCAAGCTTCTGACTAAAATTATAATCCACTACGAGGGTATACATTTTATTTGAATCTTATATTTTCTAATTTAACACTGCTTTTGGCAACCCCAAAAAGTGCTACGGACATAAAGGAAATCTTCCTATCCAGCCGTTTGGACCCATCAAGGTGCTTCTCATAATCGAATTAGGAAACACCTCGGCACCTGTGTAAAGTTTAAAATTGGCATAAAGATTGAAAATGTTTGCGTTTATTTTAAATTAAATGTACCTTTAATTGCCGTCTCTTAACTGCTAGTAATGCTTAACAATTGAATTGTTTTAATTTATGTTATTTAATGTTACGTTATGCATGTGTATGTGTGGTATATGCGTTACCTTTTTATTAATGGTTATTTTGTATATAAAAAAACATCCAATCGGAACGCTCTCTAACGCCAATATGTACATTTCTATCGGGTTAAAACACATCCTACAAATTGCCTTAGTTGGCGACTCTGAATTGACGACTAATTTATCGTAAATATATATCATTTAAGTATTGTGAAACATACTCTTTTAAACTTAGCTTAAAACTCTGTTTACATACTTTACAAACACTCAATGGTCGGACTTAACTAACAATAAATCAGTGTCTATATAATTATATATATATATATATGTATATGGATGCAGTGAAATCATTGAAAATAGTTGCAAACGGGTTAGTCCTCCAAGAAGTGAATGCTTTTCGCGCTGCAAAAAATTCGAATCAACTAAATTATGAATACATATTGCATTTACAAAAGATCTGCGCGAAATACTCTAAATACTAGTACAATAGTACAATAATTACACACTACGGCCTATGAACAAGATAAGCATTATTGGAAGATGCAAGCTATTGCAAATGTCTATGCAAATATTGCAATATGTTTTCCGCGGATTACAGTACAAAATCAACAGGTTGCAACAATTTAAATTACATTTAAACTTGGCCCGCCTTGATCAACAATAAAACCGATGTGTTGTGGTTTCGCCCACTGACTGGATTAGTTGCTCCCGCTGCTGTTAGTTTTCAGCTGCACCCCCAGCACTTCACGCAGCTCATGCAGCTCCTGGGGTCCCTGCATCAGACGCTTGACTCCACGCGGCAGGCCGCGGCAAGACGCCAGGTTGATTGAGCTCATGTTCGCGCAGTTGGTGAGTATTTCCTTGACTGCCTCGTCCGACACGGACGAACCGCACAGATTCAAATGGCTGCATTGAGGAAGTAAATTGGGTGTAATAAAATAACAATAGTTTAATTTTTTCATGCTAATACTCACGCCAACGGCGACTCCCTGCCCTTCTCGGCGAGGGCACGCAGGGCATTGTCTATAGGCTGCTGCACATTCGCCCAGGCCAGATCCAACTCAATGAGACTGTGCGCCCACTTGGAGGCAATGAGTTCCAGACCCGACCTACACAGAGGACTTATATAGATTGGCTTTCTCTTAATCGTAAACTATCGGAACGTACCCCATGTCTCGTGTAACTGAGCAGCCAGACAGGAATAAATGCTTGATATCCCAGGCTGGCAGGCGAATAAGGCTCTCGTGTGTCAGCCGCGTGCAGTTGCGAACGTCCAGTAGCTTCAGTTTGGAGCTGCTCTTCAGTATGCGCTGCAAATGGTCGTCGCTAATGATGCGTGACTCATCAGTCAAGGCAGCCACAGATAACTCCTCGAGATTTGGAAAGCCGGGAGAGTCCATCTGACAAGAAGAATGTATAAGCGGAAAGCAAAAGATAGAAGTTAGCGGGCTTACAATTTCCTGCATTGATGCTGTGCTCGGCGTTATATGAGAGTTGGTCACCCGCAGGACCTTGAGCTTCTGGCAGCCGCGCTGTAGCTTTTCAATGTGTAGTACACCGTGTGATGTAGCTTGAGTGGTTACGTTCGAGAGATCCAGTAACGCCAGATTAGGGCAGTGTGTCTGTAAAGATTTAAATAGCATTAAAAATAGAATTCATTGAGCCTGGAGACACGACTACGCACCGACAGTATGCCGACTATTTGTGGTATTCCCGCAAGGCGGTTGTGCGCCAAGTAGAGATGGGTTAGGCGACTGCCCATAGTCTGGAGTGCATTGCACAGGGAGGTGATGCCCACAGCGCTCTTGCTGGCATTCATCTCAACCTGGTAGAAGACCAAATAACATCAGAAGGGGCTTAGGGAGCACACCTCACTAAAACTTACATTGATGGAACTCAAGTCTAGTCGCTGCAGCTTGTGCAAGTTATCCACCAAGTAGGTCAGATTATCCGAGGTGAAACCCTTCCAGCCGGACAGCGTGATGCCAGCCAGATTCGGACAACCACTGGACAGCTTGGTCAGGAAGCAATTGATGTCCGTTATTTTCCAATTGGCTGAAAGGCAAACAATTTGTCAATCCAGTTTAAATTCTTAGGGGTGTGTGTTCGTCACGTACAAACATTCAGCTCTGTGCAGGCACTGCAGCGGTTGTCCACAAACCACTTGAGCTTCAGTTCAGTGCGATACTTCTCCTTGACCCAGGTGGTCAGATCCATGGTGCGCCACAGTGTCGGTCTAAGGGAAACCTGACGCCAAAGCGAGCAAACTCGTCCCAGGCGAAATAAAGTGGGCAGACAGCCCTCCATGTCAACGGCATGTTCAAAGATCTAGAAGCAATAAGATTGTGTGTGAGTGGGGTTCTTTCAAGCCATTGCCACTTCATTCTCACCCTGAAAAGTACTTCCTCTGGCAGCTTCTGGGCCCACACGCTCTGCTCAATTGGCTCGTCCGTAGCCGCCGCATCGGCACTCGTAGAAACCTTCTTTTGGCTATCTCCTCCTCCTCCGCCTTTCTTCTTGCGCGGCTCATACTCAGCCTCATCGCTGTCCGGTTGCTTTGGTTTGCGGATGCGCTTGCGCACAGGTTTAGAGGCCGCGGGAACGGGTACGGGCGGAGAAGTGACTGTCGGTACACTGTCTCCGGCATCGGATTTCTTTATGCAAAGCTTTATGCCCACCTTGTGGTCGCTGATCTCGCTCTCGTACATGGGCAGCGCTTTGGGCTTGCGGGCTCGGGAGGCACGTGGTGACGTGGACGCCGCCTTGCTGGGCTTCTTAGCGCTTAGGGCCGTAGCTAGCGGTTTCCCCGACTTTGGTATGGAGCCATTGACCGTCGACGCCGCCGTCTCCGGTTGCTCCTGCTTGGGCGGCGTACATGCCTGAAGCTGCTGTTGCGGTTGCTCCTCCGCTGGAGATCGCTGGCCCTCCGAAGCGGGGGAGCATGATGTGGATGTGGCCGTGTTGGTCTCATCAGTCTGCGTTTCTGACTTGGGCGGAGACAGGATGTTCTCCGGTATAATTGCTGCAGTTCCCGACGCCGTAGTTTCGCCGGCCAGCAACTGCGGGGGCGTTTGCGACGGCGTAGACGGGGTGAGTGTGTTGATGTCCACTGTAGTGGATTTCTCCTTGTCACCCGGCGGTAACGGCGGCTGCTCACCAACGACATCCGTGTCCACTTGCATGGCCGATCCCTCGGCAGCTTCAGCTTTCTCTTTTACGCCATCTTCGTCGGACACCTTGGTCTCCTCCACTTGAGCTGGTAGAGATTCGCTCATCACTTCACTAGTTTTGCTGCAATCGATTAAAAAAAACTAGTTGAGGAATTCGCAATCGGACTGAAATTAGAATTCGCATTTTTCCAACCGGGAAAATCGATGCAAAAGGAACTCTCAACCCATTTTGGCGGTTTTTCACAGTTTCCCATTCGCCCCCGTTCTCAATACGAAACTAGAAAAAACACGACGCGAAGCGCTCTCTCCAAACCCCACGAACAACACACAGTCGTAAATCTCACCTGCTACAACAATTACATATATATATTTTTTGTTTTTATTTTTATTCGTTTGTTCGCTCTTAATAAACAAGTCGGGAGCAGTTGGGGTCGCACCGACTTGTTGGTGACCTGTGCGCAAACTCCCAGCGGATTCCCGCCATAAATCTCACTTGGAGGGACGTTATATACACGGGGCCTATATTAGATCGGCGTAATCGCAACGGATCAATCCAATCTTTGGGAATTTCTTGCTTTTTAACCGTGTTTTTGTGGCACTGCACTTCACTTAATATTTTCGTATGCTGCTCGGCGCGACGCGTGCAGGGTGCATAATCGGCATTCAACTCACCACTTGGAAGAGAGGTAGGTACACAAATGTATGTTATCTGCCGAGATACTGTTCGCTCGCTCGCACTCGCTGCGGTACTGTACTGCGCTGCGGTGTGTGAACGGTGCGGCACTATGTGTGTGTGTTTGAATTGTTCGATTTCGATTCTAAAGATTTTTTCTCCTGGCGTTTTGTGGTAACTGTGGCCTTTTTGGTGTCCGAACGGCCGCTTTCACATTATTGCCACGCACTCGAGGCACTGCACACCAATTGGCCACGGCATTGGCGACAATTCGTACATTATTTGGACACACAATCAATTAAAACTTAATTCCATCAGCCGAACGACGTAGAAGCAGAAACACGATATATTGATATGTGCGCGACTCATCGATAGCAGTGTTGCCAGATGAAACTCTAGCCTATCACCTAAAAATCCCGAACAGTGAAGATTTGGTCCTAAAAAATGCAACTATCGATACGTTTCGTGTAATATAACGGTTTTTGAAAAGTATATACAACAAATTTAATATTTACTACACTAATATATAAAAATAGTACCACAGAAAGAAGTCACTGTCAGTTAGTAGGCATAATTTATGTTGGCCACCTCCGGCAGCACGGTGAGACCCTTGTGCACCTCCAGCCATCGCTTGGCGTCGTACGTGGTTTTGCCGTAGGTGCGTCCGAACTTGTACATTTCGCCGGGAACGTGTCCGGCGTAACTGGGCACCATGCCGTCGGTAGTGTGATAAACGACGAAGTGCCCCACTGGCGGGCAGGTGATAGCCGGCCGGCTGAGATCCTGGCCGCAGCACCAAGAGTCCCTCTTCTTCTTGTACATGTAATCCGAGAAGCTGCAGAGTGCCCTGTGGGTGAGCACCTGGTTGGATTCTCCGAACCGCGTTACTGCCATGGGAATGTGGCCTGCGTAGCCGTTAATGATGTACTTGTCGTCATCCTCGTCCTCCAGGAAATGGGGTGTCGTGAACTTGCTGTAGCAGAGTTTCTCCGTTTTTGGCGGACAGACCTCGTCCTTAATGCCCTGGGAGACGCCGGTGACCGGGATCAATGGTGACCGGTAATAGGCTTTGGGCAGCAGCCGCTCGTTGATCTTGCGGTCGAAGAGGCCCTTTCCGCTCTCCAGCAGATCCCTGTGTCGTAACGTACGACTTTCACAGCGGTAGAGCTCCATAAGTGTTTCGTGGTCGGCCACTCCCGCGGATGCGGCTGCCAAATAACGCTTGCCGATCTGACGCACTATATTAGGCACAAAACCGGCATACCCCGGCAGGATGGGGTGCCTATACACAGAGTCCACCAAGTCTTCTCTCGTTCGTAGCACCTTCAGTTCATGCGGCGTGGGATAATCCTTGAGACCCCCCTTGGTATGGATGGGAGCTACAATCAGTTCCGGCGCATGGGAGACACAGGGATCGATGAGCAGGTTGTGCGACTGCCGGCCATAAGTGCGACCCACTCGATAACGATCGCCGACGCAGTGACCCGTATATCTAGCGATTACCAGAAGCTAAGAATCCAGGTTTAAATTAGTTTTACGTGGCTTACCCTGGCACCAAGTGCGGTTCCGGGGTTATAGATTGGTCCATCTTTGACTAACTTGAATTTATATCACACAGGAAATTTTCCACAGAGTCTTACGGATTGTTTATAAATGAAATTTGTATATTTACACACTAATAACAAAAGATTTTAACGACAATTAAATAAAAGGAAGCTAGATGTCTAAAACAAAAAAACACATTATTGTCAGCCACCATCTAAAGGATTAATCTTGTTAGACTCCTGCAACTCTCAGCATCTCCTCGATTCTGACGATTTTCTCCCTCGGCTTTCCCTTGGCCTTGCCCGCCACGTTTTCAAACTCGTCTATCCTTCGCCAGCCATCCCAAGTGACCACGCGCTTGTTATCCGCATCATAACCAGGCTTGGCGGAACTAGTGTCCAGTACATTGGCGGCTATGTCGTCGCAGATGCTCTTGGCCACCGCAAAAGCGCCGCTCATTGTTGTCAGGATAACGCCAGTGGGGCCGGTGCCCAACCAACCGGCCACATACAGTCCGGGATCAGTTTTGTCGGCATCCTTGAGAACTCGTCCCTCTATGTTGTGCACTCGTCCGCGTCTCGTGTCAAAGTTGATGCCGGAATCCACGCAACTAGATTTGTAGCCAATGCTGCGCAGAATCAAGTCCGACGGAAGACGCTCGGTGGTATCGGTGGCCACTGCGGAGTCCTCTTTGAGTTCCGTAACGGAGAACTCCATTTCTCCTAGGTTTATCGCCTTTGGAGCTCGCAAAAAGATGGGCAGGAATTGCTTGGAGCCAGAAGAACCTCTTCCCTGTTCCTTGAGGCTCTTGAGCATGAGTTCGGTGAGACGCTTGCGTGGTCGTTGTAGTTTCTCCACCAGCGAGTCCACTCCTAAAATATGAGCTTTAGGCATTTGATTCTTCTTCGGATTAATGTGGATTCGCACCTGAGAAGTCCTCGGTTCGCCAGCGTGTGTCCACATTGGGCAGCTTGAGCATTTCTCGCAGCTCTTTGATGGTGAAAGCGGCCTGCAGAGGACCCCGCCGACCCACAAGATGCACACGCTCCACCTGACTGCGGGAAAGGGCTTCTAAGGCGTACTCCGTGGCGTCCGTAACCTGATCAAATAGAGATTAGAACTTATGTTAGCTCGGAAATACGATCACCCTACCTTTAAAGCATCCAAGGGACTTAGGAGCATCCTAGCTACATCGACTGCAACGTTGCCCTGGCCCACAATCGTAACATCTCGCCCGCTTAGGTCTGGAGCGAGGTTTTCCGCTCCTGGCAGACCATTGTACCAGGCCACAAATTTCCTGGCAGATATTACATTGCCCTGCTGCTCGTTCTCCAGCTCCAGCTCTCGATCCTGATCTGCGCCGTAGGTGAGGAGCACGGCGTGGTACCGCTCCCTTAGCTCCTTTAGGCTGACATCCGTTCCAAGCGCAACGTTGCCAAAGTAGCGCAGACGCGGATGCTCGGCGGTCTTGGTGAAGGTGTTGATTACGTTCTTGACCTCCGGATGATCGGGCGCAACGCCAAAGCTGCAATGTGCGATTTGCATAATGGGACAAGTCGTTAGTCGATAAGTGCGATGGATGGAATGCATGACACGCAACCGGGGCGCGGATAAAAGCGTTTGAGCTTGAAGTGCGAGTCACAGTTTCACTCTCAAGATGCCTATAGCGGCTGGTTTGTCACTGCTCCTCTGCCTCTTGTTAATCTCCAGCTGCAGCCAGACGGCAGCCAGCACTCTGTGGGGTGTTGACCAACTGGGCGGTAAGTTTCCCGCTCCAAAAACTTCTGGGAGCTATTACAATCTAGCTTCACCCACAGCCTACTTCAGTGGCATCTTTCGGTCCGTTGTGGGTCCCCTCTTCGGCTTTGGGCCAACAGCGAACAACACCGCCTCGTCCTTCTAAAGCTAGATTCAGTGCCTGCTTACCGCACCAGTCCGAAGGGCACCGGCAGCTTCTCCACCACGTCCACCACACAGTCGCTCAGTTGCTTTAGCAGTAGTTGGGCGGCATAGAAGCCTGCGGGTCCGGCGCCCACAATGCAAATCCGCTTGGTGGGTGTTACGCCCTGGATCACTTGCAGTCGGGCAGGAGACGTGTGGAGACCTCGTCGGCAGATGTTAAGCAGATTTAGGCCCATGGTCCCCGGGTTTTGTGGCTTGGACCGCGATTAAACAGATCTGGCTTAATAGATGGTGCAATTTGTCCAATAATGATGATTTTTGTTATTTACTTTCTTATCTGCGGATCGCTTTCACCGTTGGCCGCCAAAATCCCAAACTTTGCCTAAGAAAATTTAGGGTATTTTACCACCATTGCTCATTGGTCACACGGTGCAGGTGCGAACCGCGTGAAATTCGAAGGTGTACTTATCATTTCTAGGACTTTCTTAGATAATAAGTTATATTTTCCCACTGGTAAAGCGTAGATTAGTCCGGATAAGGGAAATTTATTATTTATTTTTGCATTGGTGTTAATTGCTTTTAAATTTTGCGGGCTTGCATTTATCGATAAAGAGATGAACGATTATTAAGACGTTTGATTTGAATTTTCTTTTATCATTTTTGTACCCTTGCAGGGTTCTTTAATTTTAATCAAAAGCTTGTAGCACTATTATTAATTAAATAAAAACCAACCCGGTTTTACCAGTAACACATTTTATACGTTTTATTCTGGGTGCTTCTCCAAGCGTAACACAGAAATTTTGATTGGCTATATAAGTGACCGAGGGAGGCACCTTAGGATTGAGGATCAATCGTGATTAAGAGCCAAATGACGCTTGGCGTCAATGGTAGAGCGTCCCCAGGTGTTGCCCACGCGAAACTTATTGCCAGGAACATGGCCACCATAACGCGGAATCATTCCCACAACCCTTGGATAGATCACGCCATTGGGATTTGCGAAGGAGCGACCGACGCCAGCCTTCTCCACGGGGACCCACTCGGCGCTGCGGATGAAGTGCATATCGTCCTTGGGATAGCACCATCCCTCATCCGGCACATGGAAGGCGAAACCAAAACCTGCAGTGTCTTAGTAAAGTAAGGGATAAGATAGGAGCAAGGATATACTTACGGTTGGAGTAGGACATGGTGCGTGTTCTTTTTGCAATGCTCCAAAAGTAGCTGTGTTGATGCTTGCTCCGAGTGTTGCTGCTTAACTGGGTAAATAGAAACTGAATCTGGCTATTAATAGAGCCGTGCCTGACAGGAGGCGCTTCGACAAAACGACCCGACCGTTTCCCCTGACAACGGAGGCCAAAAAGGAGCTATGTAGATAGCAGCAACAAGTTCACAAGTCACGACACCGATTTGCTCCTGATTTGCATTTCCTGATGGCGCCGGCGATGGCGTACATGGCGTACCTTAATGGCAATTAGCGCGACATTTAGCATGACATTTACAAGTATCATTATTATTACGGGGTACTGTTTATTTCATTACGTTTTACTGAACTCATAATTTAGTCATTTACAGGGGCGGTGATTGTATTGATTAACAACAGTTGGAAGGTTGCTACTTAAGGGACTCTCCTCCTCCTCGCTCAGTTGGACTTCTTGGCCTTCTTCTGCTGCTTGCTCTTGAGCTTCTCCTGTTTCTTCAACTCCTTTTCCGTCAGCGACTTGTAGAGCTTGTAGCCAAAGAGAGCTGTAATGGGATTAGGAAATGGCATCTGGTTAATGTGGGCTTCTCACTGAAATAACGCAAGGGTAACTGAGACCGAAGATGGAGACTAGGAGGAAGATCACGGCCATCACTTTCGAACTGGAGTAGGTCTGAGCAATGTGGGCATGCTGCGCTATGCGCTGCTCGATCCGACCGATCGTCGCCTCGAACTTGTCCTTCATCTCCGCCAGAAACTGATGCCGGTCCGTGTCGGCAAGGGATTCTAGCTTGCTCTGCATATCGCCAATCCGCCTGATCAGATCCTGCGAGAACTTGCTGCTTGGCCCCATTTTGGCCACGATATCCTCCACAGACTTTTTCAGCTGCTCGATAACGCCGACTTCATGCTGGCTCATGGTGGCGGCAGTTTCTTGGCAACGAAGCTCTCGGTTCTGTCTGTGTGTGTCAACTTCTCGCCGGCATGGATCCCTGTCGAGTACTGTCTGGTCGTGGTGGTGCCTAAGTCTGTGATGGATTCTACCTACGCTGCCCTGTGTTATCTTATCGCAAATCGAACGCCTATAAACGAAGCAAACATTCTAGTTTGGGACTCTGTGTAACTGTGAGTGTGAGGGCTTTGGCAGGGCCCCCTGACACTTATCGCCCCCAGCTCTGCAAAAGTGGGTGCGGATATCACACCCGATAAGGCTTTACGATGACGGCGGTGGCGGCTCTCGTTCAGCTTACCAAAGACGAGCAGTATAAGGGCCAGCATCACGAAGAAGAATATATATTCCCGCGAACTGTGGCCAGGATGTCCGTACTGGCGCATAAAGTCCTCCGGCGATGGCGGCTTTGGGTTGTAGATGCTATCACGCAGCTCAGCGCGCTCCTCGTCCGAAATGCCCTCCATGCTCTCGACCATCTTCCAGATCTCATCCGCACTTGGCATCTTGAAGTCCGGACTGCCAGGCTGAGCGCCAGCAAAGCCTGCCGGTCCTCCGGCCGCAGCAGCAGCTGCCACGTCGTCGGCGAATGCCTGCTGGTTTATCGGATCCTCAGCCATGGTCTAATCGCTCTCTTTCTCGGATGGGCTCTGATTTACGGTGCTGTCTGTCTGTGGGCTCGCCTTTAGCGGTTGGCGTCTGAATGTGGGATGAAAACATAGTATACGGTTCTGGGTTCTGGTTTCAGCGGGTATCGGCATGCTACTGGGGGCAAAACTAAATCATAGAAAACAAACAACGTGGCAAAACGAAACTAAACAGATACGAGATTTTGTGACACCGGACATTGATTATCTTTGGACACGCGGCATGCAGAGATTAAGACGATCGAAGGGGAGTTTAAGTTCGTTGGGATCGAGAGGTGCCCCCAGTGCGCGGTGCTCGGGCCCGGTAATTATTTAAATTTTTTGGCCACTAGATCGCCGCCGTTGCTTACGTGCTCCGGCCTTCTGCTGCTCGGGAGGACTGAGCGCTCTCTAAAAAATCATATTAAAATCAATACGAAAATAAACTGACACTCGTGTGTAATCAGTTGCTTATATTTCATTATTCTGAGATATGCCCGGTCGCTACTAGTAGCTGTTTTCTCTGCGCTTTTCGCTTTGCCCCGGACCTGCCTTCGTCAGCATATATTTCCAAAGGTAACAGGGAGTCCAAAGAAGTTGGCATGGTGGAGAGCGGAGTGCGCCTGAGTATAGCTACATGTATTGGGTGTGCTGCGATAAGGTAGAGCCACTCGCTAATCAGTGCCGGACTTGGCTTATATAGAAACGGCCTGCAGAGATCCACCAACACAAGTCTAAGCTGTAGGCAGGTGTATTTCTTGGGGTATTTACAGTATTGCTTCCTCGTATAAAACTATACCAGGGTTTACCACTAAGTAGACTTTTTCTAACCGAAAAAAGAAAATTTTAACTATGCAAGTCTCATAACACCATATTCCCACTGTTCTCTATAGAAAAGAGATATGGTTTCCTTCGAGGTCCGACTGTACCACTTGCACAAGTGAATGGTGGCCGGCCTCTTATCAGACGCCCCTCTTATCGGTTCTGAAACCAACAAACTTTTGACTACGTACGCAAAGAAAACTAGAATGATATGATGGGCCGAAAGAACACGTAAGACAATCTAAATCAGAGCCAATTCAAACCAAAACAGATAACAGATAAAACCAAACACAAACGACGACATCCAACAGCTGGGCCAAACCGGAGGCACCAGCATAGGGGTTAACGTTCTAGTTGCTCGCTTGGTGAAAGTCTTTTGACCCAATTCGCACTCTGGCCGGGATCTTGACCAGGTTATTACATGCATTACAAAAGGGAGGGCAGTAACGTGACGTCTGGGAGGGGGTAAAAACGAAGGGAGGGGGGAGACGGACTTGACCAAAACTCACCTGCCAAAGTGAAAACAACAACAGCCGGCACGTAGAAGGCGAGATTCGGAATGGACTGCTGGAAGGGCGAACCGGCGTCGGTGAGGTCGACCATGTTGCTTATTATGATAGAGTGTCTTTTGGGGAGCACTTGGCAGCTAGTTGTTACACTTTTTCACGTTTCAATGCCGAGTTTATCTCAGTAAAATACAAAAACACTTCGGAGGCTGTGAATTAGAGTTGTTGAAAAAATGTAACAAAATATATCGATAGCACCCAAATATCGATGATTAAGTATCAATGTTTTGAAAAATTTCCTGGTCTTTAACATTTTACATCTGACACGTCTATATAGCAATATTACACGTTTAAAGAAACATGGGGTAGAATTCTGCCTTTTGGGGTAGAAGTCACATGTAGGAAGTAGATTTCTTATGTAGGATGTAGAATTCTCATGTAGGAATTAAAATTCATTAACAGACTTCTCTCATCCAGAGAGCGAGAGAACCGTAGAGAACTCGTAATGGCAAAACACATATGAAAACATCGATGCATCGATGAATTTTCTAAATCATCGATTTTTTCTTCTGCGCGTGCAGCTGGTTACATTAAAGTGGGGTATTTTCAAATTTAAATTTATTTCCTACTTTGTTTATATGTACAAATCCAAATTAGATTCAAGCAATTAAGCCCCCAACCCGCACTGCGTAACATAAGCCTTGGCTAGCGAACATTGGGCATTCTGTGTCCAACGGTGCTCTGGACAATTCTTAAAGTACTCCATGTAGGTGCAACCGAGTACAATGGCAGAGAAGGGACTGCAACGTTGTTGGGGCGCTTGCTGGGGTTTCTGCTGAGCCTGTTGCTGCTGCTGCTGCAGGATAACTGCCAGCCTGCGTTGAGATTGGGGCTCGCACTTGGAAAAAGCCATCGTCATGGCCTCCACATAGACGCTGTCGTTAGAGAACTTGGCAGAGAGGTCACTGCGTATGTTGTTTAAGTTGAGCTTCTGCGGCTCCTCGAGGTACTTGGAGGATGTGAGTATGCATTCGGCCAGGCACTGAAAGGGATAAGGAAACCACTACAGTAAGATTCTCGGGATCACTAACTTATGTTACTCACAGCAGCAGAGTCTATAGAAGGAGGACCTCCGTTATTCTTTGCTGTTCCCAAAATCCGCTGGGCGCATTGGTCCACCAACTGGTCACGACCGCCGTCCTTGCAGCAAAGAGCTGGGTCCTAAGGGGATAACCAAGATAACCAAGTAAGGAATAACTATAATGCCAAAGAATTAAGTTAAGTTACTTACAACAAGTTGTGGCGGCCTTTGGCAATCGATGGTGGTTTGACTCAAGACTTGGGTCACAAGTCCCAAGCCAATGGAGATCAAGAGCGTCTGAGTGGGCGATATAACTGCGGCTGACTAACTGCGAGATGACTGATATGGATGTGGACTGGCAAGGCCCATTTTATATCCCGCACCGGACACACATCCACATCTAATGGAACGCGAAGAGTAATGGCCACTTAATATTGCCAGCCACGCATGACCAGAAAGGCCCAGCAAAAGTTCATTGTTGCAATCGGCTGGGTGCCGCTTGCTTTGGGGCCAATGTCATAAATAATGTCATATTTTGGGCCATTGACATTGCACTAAGGTTATAGTTTGTGGATTATATAAGCATAGAGTGTTGTACGCTCAATTAACCAGCAATTGCCGAAAAAAATTCTGAAGAGCTGGGCAAATCCAGTTAAAAGTATGTCATGGTGCCTTAAAACGAGTCGCAACTGTGCTAATTATGTTCAAATTTGGTTCGAACAGAACGATTATCTGTTAAATATATTATTAAGCATAAAAAAAGCATATACAATTAAATCTTAGTTAGTTGTATGTTTGAGTTTCGGCGCCTGCAAGCTCAAACCAGTTGGCAGCACCATCCGCGATGAGCATGGTTGCAAAAAGAATCGATCAACCATTTACCGATAACATGGACGCGGGTACAAAAATGTAAGTAATAAACACAAAATTAAAAATTGTGATTTAAAGGTAATAATACTATAATTTTCTCCTAGCTTAGTTGTGGGCGATGTGCGGGGTCGTTTCAAGCAACTGTTCCAGCGTGTGGAGCAGGTCAACAAAAAGGCGGGACCCTTTGAAATCCTGTGCTGTGTCGGAGACTTTTTCGGCGACGACAAGCAAAACGAGGAACTGATTGCCTACAAGAATGGATTTAAACACAGTAAGTACATATGTTATTGGTATTTTCTGATCATGTACAAGCTCTTATCATCTTTAGTCACCGTGCCCACCTATGTGCTTGGTCCCAATAAAAAGGAGCACGCCAAATACTTTGCGGATCTGGCGGATGGCGAAATCTGCACAAATCTCACATATCTCGGCCGGCGTGGTGTTTACACGCTCAGCAGTGGTGTGAAAATTGCCTATCTAAGCGGATTTGAAGCAGTAAATGCTGCGGAATCTTCTGCCTCCGAACACGAGTTCACCAAAGCCGATGTTATAGCCGTACGTAACTCCTGTCTGGTGTCGAAGAACTGCTCCACAGAGTACAGAGGAGTGGATGTTCTGCTCACGTCACAGTGGCCATACGGTATGCAGGAGGAGGAGAATGTAAGTTGTATATTGTAATAATTATGAAGATGTTAATCCTATGAATACATTACAGGCCAACGCGTCCAAGCTGGTTTCGTTTCTCTGTCGGGAGATCAAGCCGCGTTATCATTTCTGCGCCATCAACGGCACTCACTACGAGTGTGCTCCTTTCCGAATGCCAAAGGATGAGACCACCCAATTCGAGCTGTGCACTCGCTTTATATCCTTGGCCGACGTGGGAAATGCCAATAAAGCCAAGTACATTTACGCGCTCAGCCTAAAGCCTGTGGATAAATCACGTTTACTGGATTTGGTGCAGAAGACCACCAATGAAATACCTTGTCCCTTCATAGGCCTAGATCTGGGAGGAGCCGTCAGCAAGAATGATTCGGTCGGTAGTCTTGGCATCTCTCTTAAACCTCAAATAGTTTTTAATATATATCTTTTTAACAGTCGGAAAATCGTCAGTACTTTTATGACATGGATGGTGGAAATCGCAAGCGGCAGGGCGGTGAAAACAACAGAAGAGATAAACGGCCGAGGATTCCCCAAATTGATCAGGGTTTGTAAGGGGTAAAAGTTTCTGTGCAGCATTTATAAATAATTTCCTTGATTTCAGAAAAGTGTTGGTTCTGCTTGTCTTCTCCCGATGTGGAGAAACATCTTATTATCACTGTGGGCGAGCACTTCTACTTGGCACTGGCCAAGGGACCCATAAACAAGCATCATGTCATGATACTGTCCACCAAGCATGTGCCATGCGCTGCCCAACTTAGTCCTGAAGATTGGGAGGAGCTGGATAAGTTCAAGACAGCCCTACGAAAGTTCTTCAAGTCCCTCGGTCAGGTTGTGTGCTTCACGGAGCGGCATTACAAGTCTGTGCACCTGCAAATCAATGTGCTGGCCTTCGAGGAGGGTTATGCGTGGAAAATCAAGCATAGTTTCGAGGACAAGGCGGAGGAATTTAATTTGGAATTTGAGACATTGCCGGTATTGGATTCCGTGAAAATGCTCCCAGAAATGGGACCATATTTCCTCGCCGAGCTGCCTGACGACAGTACGCTGATAACGCGCCAGATGAAGCATTTTCCCATTCATTTTGCCAGGTGGGCTTGCAAACTCTACTTATTACTCTGAATTAGCTAACTAATTCTCATTCCAGGGACGTTTTTTGCTCGGAGAATCTCCTGAACTGCGACGAGAAGGTCAACTGGAAGGAGTGCCTTCTGGAGAGAGACGAGGAAGTGTCGTATGTTGATGACTTTCGAAAGGCCTTTGCTCCCTTCGATTTCACGGACGATTAAGCCAGGAACCAAGCGTGTGTATGTATAGCTAAAATTCCATTTCGTTTGTAATTGCTGAGCCCATGCTAACAGTTCATCCATGTAAAAACTAAAAACTACAATATATAAAAACCGATTCACCTAGGAGTCACGTTGGTAGATTTTGTTGAGGATTTGCAGGAAGGTCTGGTGCGGCACCCCGCGGGAGGTTTGTTGTATGTGGGTTTTGATCATGTTGTAAGATTCCTCCTCAAACGTGGCATAAGTAGATGGCAGTCCGAGCTCCTTGTACAGCTCCTTGACTCTGTTTACCTTGGCGGGATCTGTAAATAATTAAAATGTGTTAGTTAAGCAGTGACAAGCATTAATTTTAAAGTTTACATTACCTTCCTTGCCATAGCAATCGATCATGATCTGTTTCTGCTCGGCATTGGCTCGTTGCATAGCCACCACAGCCAGCCAAGAGCACTTGTTGTCCTGAATGTCTGTCCCAATCTTGCCCGTCACTTCCGGATTGCCGAAACAATCGAGGAAGTCGTCCTGTACCTGGAAGAAGTTGCCCATTTCCAGGAGAATGGTCTTTGACTGCCGGAAAGCCTCGGCGTCTTTGTATCTAAACAATAGAGCGGGGGATAAGCGTTGGGAAAGGGGAAAAATATTAAAACTTACCCAGCCAAGTGTAAAGCAATTGCGAAGGGCAGGTAAAAGGAATAGTAGGCAGTCTTGTTTTCCACAATCGCCTTGTAGTTTTCCATTGTGAACTCCGAGACACTGCGATTCGAGTTGAGCTGATCCAGCGACTGGCCGCAAGTGGTGATGTAGGTGATTTCATGGAAGAGCTCCATCAGGGCCACATAACAATCCAAGTGGCTGAAGTGCATCTTCAGTATGGCATACATGGCATTCTCGATCATTAGGGCATCATTGATGGCGGTCAGCCCAACGTTCTCGACCTTGTGCCAGCACGGCTGGCCTCTTCTGGTAGTGCTGTTGTCCATCACATCGTCCGAGATAATGAAGAAGCTCTGGAGCTGTAAAAATGTGAAAGTTAGTAGTGTAAGAAGCATCTTTTGGCCTAAAAATGCTCACCATTTCCACGCACCAGCCCAGGTACTGGGCCAGCTTTATGTTCTCCGGAGTGAGATCCTGTGCCGGCACCAGATTCTTGTAAGTCAAAACGGTAAGGATGCCACGGTTCTTCTTGCCCCTGGGCACATTGTATTGAAGGACCTGGGCGAACCACTTGGCAGCATCATTGCAGTTGTACGTCTTTGTCACGGTGGTGATGTCACGCACAAGATCTGCAAACAAAGCAACGGATTCGGCATTAGTATTAGCATGATAATTGACATAAACAAAACGAAACGCCAGCTAACCTGGGAACACGGCCATAAAGTCGCGGCTTTCATCTTTCGACACCGTGACGCGGGCCGCAATGGGAACGGAGTGATTTTGGAGCGTCGATAAGGTTCTGTGTGGAGAAGAACAAACAAAACAAAGCCAAGACAATAGAATGCAGAACTATTAACGCATACACACACACACACATCGCTGCTGGCCTACGTGACTGCATAAGTAGGTACAAACTTTCTCCCCCTCTAGCGAGTAGCAAGAAACCACGGAGTACATCGAAATTCCTGGCCAGAAATCACACCCAAATCAGGCACCCGATTAATGCGCATACCGGTCCAAACGTAAACAAAACAAACAGGCAAAGGTCAAGTGCGGCGAAAACCGGTAGATAAGTGTACCTGCTCGTCTTCTTCAGCTTCTGCTCGGTGACCAGTTCAGTGGGCAAGCCGCCAACCGACTTGATAATGGGCTCTGAGTTGACTTCGTTGCTGGTAGAGATAACCCGAGGCAGGCCCACGGCGTTGGCAAGGATCCGCTGCTGCGGCAGAAGCTGGCGGACCAATTTAAACATTTTTATTTGATTTAATAGGCGCGATTTAGGTCGTTCTTTCAAAATTCAGTTTTTGGATATGAACCCAGTGCGAAGTACTAGAGGTGAGTAGAAATCGATCGAAGAATAATCGATTGCTTCAATTATTTGAAAGTGAACTCAATCTAATGCACGATTTTGGAAAATAAGTAGATTCATAACTTTTCTAATGTTGAAAAATAATTGTTTCATTTTATACCATAATTATTTCTGTTTTATTTTGAATTTGCGCGAAAATAGAAAAGTCGTTACCGAACAATCGAATAGAAATATTCTTATAAACTATCGGTGGTGATATTTTGGTACATTTTCCCATCGCTAAGCTAAAAACACGAATAAAAATGATGGACGAACAACTAATTGACGAGGTAGCACAACATGGAGTGATCTACAACCGGCAGAAGTACTACCTGAACGGCAGCACCAATGGCGGCAAGTACGAGACGAAGGACGAGGCCTGGCAGCTGATTGCGATGAAGCTGCGCACGGATGGTAAGCGGAGCGCCAGAGGAGGAGCCGCGTCTCGGGCTAGGCTTAGGTATCTAATTGGATATTATTTCTGTTCCTTGCAGTGGACACGTGTAAGAAGCGGTGGAAGTATCTGCGCGAACGCTACGTATCGCAGCGGAAGCAGGGCGATCCGCCCGTCTACGAACACCTGTCGCGCCCATACCTAGAGAAGATGAAGTTCCTGGACCAGCACATCCAGCCCCGCAAGTCCTACCGTCATGTTCCCAACTTCCTCACTTCTCCACAGTCGGCCAACAGCTCCAGCTACAACGACTACCAGGCGCTCGACAAGTCGAACAGTTCCAATGGCATGAAGAACGTGTCGCAGTTCGTCGGGGGCTCGGGTCAAGGCCATCACTACCACCAGCCAGATCAGCACCAGCATTCCATGAGTGCCTTGAGTACGGCGGCGGCCTCGGCGCTGGAGACCGTCAACGGGCAGGTCAAGATAGAGGCGGATCAGGTCTTCAGGGACTTTGCGGCGGCCGTGGCCTCGCAACAACTCCAGCAAATCTCACAATCACAAATGCAACAACAGGCGGCTGCGGTGGCCGCGGTTATGGCGGACTCCTCGCAGGGCTATCAGGAGTACAAAGACAGTTCCGTAGGTGTCTCAGGTGTACAGAACAGTGGAGGCAGCCTCACCTCTACTTCTTCCTCGATGAAGTCGCCGCTTTCTTCGCCACTGCAGGTGATCGGCGCTGGCAGCCTTCACTCTCAGCAGCAGCAGCAGCAGCAGCAGCACCAGCAGCAATCGCAGCAGCCACAGCAATCACCGGCATCGGGGGGCCAACAGCTTCCGGTGGTACATTCCTCTTCCAGTGCCGCAGGCAGTTCCATCAGCACCAGTTCCAATATGCAACAAATGCAGCAGCAGCAACAACAGCAGCCGCACGTCTACAACTCCAAGGCCAGCAGTGATCTAGACTCGTCCTCGACGTCCGGTAATTTTCATATGAAGAAGCCCCGGGTGCAGATCAATGGCCACAATCAGATGGCCAGCAATGGCGGAGGAAGTGCCGGCCACTTTGGCAACGACTCCGATGACGATTCCGACGACAATAGTCATGATCTGATGGAGCCGCAGGTGATGATGCATGAAAGCCACTACAGCAATTCCATGGGTATGCAGCGCGGGAATAACAATGCCAACAATAACAGTGGAGGCAACAATCAGCAGCAGCAGGCACAACATCAGCAGCAGCAGCACCAGAACATGTTTCCTTCGAACACGGACTTCCTCTTCCAGCTGTACCAGCAGTTTCCGCACCAGGCCAGCGGGTCGCATCCCTCCAACTTCGGGAAATTCCAAACGCCGCCCAGTCAGCAGGGCATGCAGCGTTTGTCGGAGCACTTGCTGGGCGAACTGGTCACCAGCGAGCTGCTCAAGATGAACAAGGAGCGCAAGAAGAGTGCCCAGAAGCGGATCCTAGAAATACTCTTCTTTGACGATTAATAAGCTAGCTCGCAATAGGTTTGTATCTGTAAATAGTGTAATTTAGCAAACTAGAGTTTGTGTAAGCTGTTCCCCTGCCCTGTCCGGATCCCACCAAGAAGGCATATGGAACACTTTCCATTTGTGCTAGTCAACTACAAGCTGCCAGGCGCTGGCCTGGATTCCGTATCTGCAATAGTTTATACACGTATTTATAGGTTTTAAGATGAAAAGTGTTAATTTATTCGAAACAAAATGGTTATTAAACTCTAATTGTAACTGGTGAAAAGACTTGAAGTGTACCTTGGAGGTAACTGTTCCGAATGGTATGCAAAGGAAGAGCGGTTTCTAATGCCTTTTTAAATATTGGTTTGGTGACCCACAAAACCAAAGAGGTTCCAGCTTCAAGAGCCTGATTTATGTGTTAGCCTCTGAACCGATCCTGCTGGGCAAGTGCTTGCCACTAAGCCCCCTCGGGCTACTGTCTGGCAACGGAAACTGCCACTGTAAGTGCAACTGCAACTGGCAATTGGAACTTGCAACTTGGCCCCACTCGTTAACCCGCCGCCTAGTCACAGTGCCTCCACTTGGCTGCTGATTGATGGCCTCGTTTGCATTGCTCTCTCTGTTTGGCCACGAAGGAAAGGCTTCGTCAGTGATATGGATAAGTTTAGGCTTTATTGCATTTCATATCTTAGCTGTTATAGAGAATAATTAATGGGGTTTCCTTCCGTTTTGTTAAGGCTTAGATAGACTATGTTAAATACTTGGATATTGCTCTGTGGTGCAGTTCTTAGGCTACTTGGAATGGAGCTCTGTATATAAAGAGCCTCCCACGCATTCAGCTAGCGTATATAGATATTGATTGAGTTTTTGTTTGATTAAGTTGAGAGCTTTCTTTATGCTTTCTTTAAAACCTTTAGCTTATTTACAACTAATCACAAGAGGTGCCTGTAGCTTCAGACCTCCTGATTATCCTCGGACTCGGCCACCATGGTCAGACTACGCAGCGATCTGTGGAGGGTTAAGAAAATATTGAGATTTAATCAGTAAAATTAATAGAATATATGTAGAATATATTTCAGTTGAGAGCTCAGGCCACTGGGAGAGATTATTTCCCAGACTGATACTGATGCGGTTTATCGCCCATGTCAAGCTCTTGACTTATTCAGTTCGAATCTCTCAGCACATCAACATGGAAGGCCTGCGCCTCTGTCTGGTTATTTTTGTATTCTCCCTGGTTCTTCTTGGAGCTGCCCAAGCAGCAGGCAAGTTTGCTGATTTGGTTAAAGCTTCCGCTAACTAACTAACAAACTAACTAACTACTGGTTTCAGGCATAGGCGAGTTGCCCACGTTCATAGGTCTGTGCCAGCTTCAAGGAGATATGTGTGGCACTCAGTGCCGTATAGCAGGAGGTGGGGATGGACTTTGCAACAAAGTGGGTCTCTGCGTCTGCCGACCCTTGTAGAGTTTGTTAGTGGCGACAAATTGGAATAAAAGACCAACAGATATCTGTAACCGGGAATTGTAAAACTGCAACTAGCCTGGAGCGCTCGAAGAGCGAGGGATCCGTATAGATGGGCTCGCTGGGATCCTCGAACTGGTGGGCATGGGCGGCGCTGCGCATGGGATTTATCACTGGCAGCTGGCACATGCGCGCCAGGTTGCTGTAAAGACATTAAACACCTCGTAAGTGGACCGGTCGAGTGACTGGAATGGACAGTGCTCCTCACCCCGTGGCAAACGTCTTGTGTAATGAGCCGCCGAACATGGACATGTTGGTGCGAAAAGCGTTCGAGGCCCGATTCGATGCGCTCTGATTGGCTCCGCCTCCAGTTCCGCCGCTGGCACTTCCTCCTCCTCCACTGCCAGACAGGTTGGGCATGTGTCCGATCTCCGTGAAGCGCTCATGGGTGCGTATGGATGAATGGGAGTGGCCCAGCGAATGGATCGGCGAGTGTCGGTCCACCAAACGGTTCTTGGATATCGATTTCCAGTAGCGTCTATTCGAGGGAAAGCACCAATTAGCCAACGATTCTTCGCCTTTAATGGAGTCTTCTTCTTTTGCTTACCTGTAACCCAGACCTGCTACAAGCGTTATGCTGAATAGCAGGATCATTAGCAGGATAATGGCGGTGATCAGGCCATGGTACTCCGCTGGAGTCATGCACACCGTTTCCACGGGAGCCACCAGCTTGCGTGGATACGACTCCTTCTCGATCTCTTCGCGGGTTTCGAACACCTAATGGAAAGGGGGGAGGATTAACCTGCGAAGATTGACCTTTGAAAGCACCAAGCACTTACCTCGATCATTTCACGAACTTGCTCCGGTTCCTCGGCCTCCTTGGACTTCTCTCCCATTTGGGTCTCATTTAGGGGAACCTGTCCCAGAGTAGCACTCACTGTGGTGCTATTGACCACGGTAACCTCATCGGAGTCCAGTTGGTTGCCGCCTCCTCCTTCTAAAGCGAGAGCCTCGGGTTCCGTAGATTCCTCAGTAGCGTTCAGAGATCTTCGCCTGCGTCCGAATGACGGCTCCTGACGACCTGCTGGCCCGGGGCAATACGCCGGCTGGCACCCCTCGCGACAGGAGCGAACTGTGGCCTCAAAGACCAAGAAATTGGATTCGGGTATCTTAAAAGCATTGAATCTGGCCTCCAGGGTATCGCCATCTCTCAACTTGTCCAGTTCTGGGAATACGAATGGATCTACAGGGCAGCCAAAGCGATCTATCAGCTGGATACTGCGTCCGGAGTAGGGATCTCGGGCCACCACATTTGTGGCAAAAATGTCAGTGACATGGTTGTAGCCATCTTGAGCCTCCAACCGGAAGGTGAGAGGATCTCCCACAGCTATGGTGGTGGTGGGTCTGCCCTGGTACAGAATACTCAGTCGAACCTTGGAGCTCAAAGTATTTTCCGCAGGCAGATACTCAATGGGAATGGGGCTACCAGAACTGGAGGGGTATTTTGTGAGTAAAGGAAAAGTTTGAAATGGATTTTAGGGATATCTTACCCTGCTCCTATGTAACCAGAACTAACCACCGCCTCGCCAGGACCCCGGAAGATGCAGGTCAGGTTATACCGCTTATCCCTGCTCGTTTGTACATTGTCCGAGAACTGGACCACCACGATGTTGGTCAAGGTGTCGCCATACTACGAATAAACTCGATTAGATTTAGCTCTAAGCAAGTCAAGGGAACTCACTCGTTGGGTTCCACAATCCGGATAACCCTGTGGACCACTGATCCTTAGGACATTGACGGTGCCGCCGTTGCCACGGAAGAAGCAGCGATCGTAGAAGCCATAGGTGTAGATACGTCCCAAGAAGCCTTCCGGTGTGCGGATGGTGAACTCCATTCCCTCTTCATTGCACGTCTGAGTCACTATATGGAGAGAGATCATTTAACATAAGATTGTGTGGCTACATGTGAGCACTTTCTGCTCCTCCACCTACCATCCATGCACTCGCCATCGCCACTGCGTCCAATGCTGCGCTCATAAAAGTCATAGTTGGAGGCGTCGAAGGAGCCCGGATCGTGGATGTCCAGCTCTCGTGAGTCTCGGTCACTTAGTTCGCAGTTGGGTGACTCGCGATCTCGATCCCTATCTCTGTCCTCGTAGCTGGAGGCGGCCGTGTCTCTGCAAATTGAAATTTACCATGCGAATTTGTAGTTGCTTGTGTAGAGTATATCTGGATCTGAGATCTCCTGTTGTCGTCGTCGTCACCCACCTGTAGTTGAAGCTGCGGCAGACAAAGTCTCGGCTCTCGATGCACTCCCTCTCGCACTGAATCAGGCTGGGAACGATCAGAGATCGTCGCACAAAGTGTCGGCGCATCTTGTGCCTGGCGGCAATTTGCTTGAAATTATCGCTCTCCTCACAACGGGTTATGGGAGGACGTGGTGGTCCGGAGTTAACACCAATGCCAAGTCCAACATGTCCTCCTCCGCCGCCATAGGGTGTAGGGGGATGGGAGAGACCTAGTCCTGGCAGGGGAGGACGGTCGTCGAGACCATTGCCGCCGCCATAGGGACGATTGAAAGGAGTGTCATAGCGTCCATAGGGCCCACCCACTGGAGGCCTGCGTCCAGGAGGACCATCATATTCCCTGTCGTAAGGTCCGTACCTATCACCATACCGCTCCTCGTAGTCGTAGTCGTAGAAGGGAGGCGGAGGACGCTCCAGGCCTAAAGGGGATAAAGTTATCATCTCTATCTTTTAACTCCTGATCTCTCCTAGAGTTACTGGTTACGGGTTGGTAGTTGGTTAGTCCCGGAGTACTTACCAGGTCGCCGGCCTCCAAGATCATTGGGTCCCGGCCGATTGCCGTACTTGTAGATGTCAATGGGATACCGATCGTTACCTACCGGAAACCGATTCGGCGTGGAGGCATACTTGCTGGCGCTACCCGTGGGCGCAATTGGAGCCGGTGGATATCGCTTGGCCGAGTCCGGCTCTGGCCTCCTGGCACTGTGCACTATATCATCGTACCTGCCCGGCGGTCCACGGGAATCCGGCAAATAGGGATACCTAGGCGAATCCATGGATGAGGGTCGGTAGCGTCTGTCCGGAAAAATACTATCCGGCGCATCCCTGCCGGTATAGCCACCCACGGGATCTCGCTCTCGACCAGGTGGAAATCTGGGCGGTGGATAGCGGCCCTCGAATCTGTTTTCGCCATAGCGACCTCCTCCATAACCATTCGGCCGGAAGGGAGCATCATCGTCGGTGGGATAGGGTCGTGTGTGGGGCAGATCGCTGGGCAGGCTGTTGTCATTGATTCCAGGATAGGGCAGCGGGCGGTAGGGTAATCTCTCACGATCCCGATCCCGATCCCGATCACGGTCCGGATACCGTCGATCACCATATCTGTCCGCATAGCGATCTGGAGGATAGCGATCTGGAAATCGATCCCTGTCTCTATCACCTGGATACCGATCTCTGTCAGCTAAGGGGCCTGGGTACCGCTCACGATCTCGCTCCCGGTCCCGATCCCTATCCCCATTGGCACCGCCCGCCGTTGGGTAACGATCTGACGTGGGGTTAGTGGGGGGTTAGAAGGATTAGTTGTCAGTAGAAGGCAGTGATCTTATTTAGGTTTCAGGTGGCATTAATTGTTGTAAGATTGTAATAACTCTAAAAAGAACTCACCATAATCATCTGGATAACGATCATAGGGTCTGCCATAGGGTCCCATGGCATCGGGATAGCGGGAGCCATAACGATCCGGGGGATAACGATCCCGATCTCGGTCACTGCCGCCGCCCCCATACGGATACCGATCTGCTAGGTAATAATGCCATAAATGTATATTTAGTGGCCATAAGTTATACAGACTATATCTACCATATTCGTTGGCCGCATAGTCGGGATAACGATCGTATGGCCTGCCATAGTCCACGCCCTCGCTGCCCACCGGCAATCTGGAGCCACCAGAACCTGTCCCGCCATGTGAGCCAACTCCGCCTCCGCCTCCGCCGACTGTTGATCCGCCTGACCCGTACCGATCGTCGTGCTTATTAGGCTGTCTCCAGTTGCTGCCCGACTGATCCCCGGGTCGCTTGCCATCGCCGCCGCTGCCACTGCCACTGTGTCCATGCCCGCCACCGGTGTCCCCATCGGCGCCTCCGCCCACCACATTCACTGGAATTGAAGGAGGAAAGCGCAGAAGAACGGTTACCACTAGCCCGCCATTAGCACCTCCTCTAGCCACTTACACATTAGATTCTCGTAGTAATCATAATCAGCATCGTATATAATGCGCATGCCGTCCTTTTGATTGTACCGACTCAGGCGACAAGTACGAAAGCGATCGCTATACACGGCAGACCTGTAATTTGCGAGGAGAAAGGGGATCCAGTATGGAGCGAAGATCCAGAGTGGAGATGGAGATGGAGTGGATGGGTTAGTGAGGCAGTAGGAGAACAACAAGAAAGGTGATTTCGATTCTTAAAGACGAAGGTGGCAATACACTTTAACTATGGATAGTTAGATATTATACAGGGAGAGTTTTAAATCATAACTAGGTCAGAAATGCATTAATTTCAATTCGGAAAGCTTTCCTATGTTTGCTTTTAAAAGGTTAACAACTCTGCATACTCAGTTTAAAACCTACAATTTTTGGCATTTTTTTTTTATTTTTAACGATGTAACGCCATATTATTTAAAAAAATATATTTTTTTTCTAAAATAAAGCTGGCCTGAACCGCCTTTTAACGCTAATCAAGAATATTTATGATTTATGGGGTCGGAAATGACTTCTTCACTGCATTTCAAGCTTTTGAGCAAAATTATAGTCCATTTTTTAAGGCTATCCTTATCCATATATGTATTTATATGACAATTTTTTCCTACACATCAAAAACTAAAAATCTCATAACTAAGCCAAAAATGCATTAATTTTAATTCAAATTGCTTTCCTATGTTAGTTTTTAAGAGGTTAATAAAGCTGCATACTCAGTTTAAAACCTAAAATTTTTGCCATTTTTCGGAAATTTTAATGATGTAACCCCTTATCATTTTTTACAAAAATCGACAAAAATTGAAAAAATGTATTTTCTTTAAAATATAGCTAGATCGACTCGCCGTTTAATTCTGATCAAGAATATATATGATTTATGGGGTCGGAAATGACTTCTTCACTCCATTTCGAGCTTCTGACTGACCAAGGGTATAAAAGGCTGATACCACACTCCCTTTAACATTACATAAAGAAAGTAATCTAAAATGAAATATCTAGAATATATATCTGAGCTAGTTTCATACTATACTTAATATTATTAAGCAAAGTCGGGTATCTTAGAAGAAAACTAGTCAGAGATAAGCATTTCAAAGCAATAAAGTTTCCTCCTTTACATCAAACTTCTGTGGAAAAAGCTCTTAAGTTAGACCCACCTCTATCGAACTATAGTTACAAATATCCCTCAAAAACCTATATACCTTCTGTAAGGGTATTAAAACGAGAAATTTGCAACGGCAAAACGGCAAAACGCACCTGCATTGGAAGCTCGTCTGCCGCAGACACTCGTCCAAGCACTCGGACAGAGAACGTCCCGTGATCTCCGAATGGAACTCGCCGCCCAGACGGGAGTTGCGGTACCGCTGGAATGCTGTATCTGGCCGCCGGCCGCTCGAGAAGAGGTGCGAGGTGACTGAGTTATCGGGATAATCGTTGGCTCGTTCTGCAACGGGAATACGGGAATACAGCAAATACTTATGTATAACCGGGGACGTGGAAATGCAAGTGCTAGGAGTTGGCTGCCAGCAAACGGAGGCAACCGTTGTGATGGGCTTTATGGGGTACACTGTAATACCACATATAATCTTGTTGTCGCCGTTGACTTTTGCACAGAGGAGGAGTCTTTACAGTAGCCACTTACGATTATCGAGGCACACGAGATCGTAGAAATGGTGTGTGGGACTGGAGCTGATGCTAATGTCATCCTTCTGCGAGATGGAGTCCTCCTCGGAGAGGATGCACTGTTTGCTCTGGTCGTCGAACTCCACCGAGCGGCAAAAGTATCTGTAATGTGTGTGCAATTAGCCAAATAGAGCTATTAGGCCCCCAAGAAGATCACTTACTTCTCGGCCCGCAGGCACATGGTCTGGCACTCCTCCAGCGTCATGTTGTTGAAGATGTCCACCTCGAAGGGGCCACCCAGGCGCTTGTTCTCCTCCTTGACGAACACGGCCAGTCCATCGCAGCGCCGTTCGGCTAATCAATGGTTCACGGGGATGAATTATGGCACCTGGTGTGGTGGTCTCCCATCACTTACCATTCAGACAGGTGTTCTCCAGGTAATCAGAGTTGGGATCATCCTCCATCAGTTCGGGGTGAGTGCGTCGTGTGAATCTGCTCAGCGTGCAGGATCTCATGGTGGAGTCAAAGTTGGCCGATCGACAGACAAAGGAGAACTCATTCAAGCACTTATCCTCACAATCCGAACGATTGGCCGCCGTGATCTCCTTGATATCGCTAATGGGCAGCTTCAGTTTCTTGCGGGGATGCCGCTCGAACACATATCTCCGGCTGGGACACTCCCTCTCCGGTCTACTGGCTGTAGGGGGGGATCAAAGGAGATGGAGGATTAAGATGTATTCAATGGGTTTGCTTCGGGTTCATCTTACAGGTCAAACATATCTCATTGAAGTGCACACTGTTGGGCACCAGCATCAGGCTACCAATACCCTCTGGCCCCGCCTGCTCCGAGGTGAGGTAGCACAGCGACTCCTCGTACTCGGAGTTGCCGCCAAAAGAGGTGATCCGGCTGCCTGGCTGGAAGTCGAAGCTGGTGCAGGTGCGCACCAGGTTATTGGAGCCAGTTCGATCGCGCAGGCACAGGTCCTGGCACTTTTCCAGCACTCGAAACGGTGGCGCCGTATCCCGAACCACATCGTCATCATAGCCCTGGAGCTGCTGGTTGGGCAATCGTTCATAGAGCACTCTCCCAAGGCCATTCTTGCAGGTGGTTTGACCTATAGGGGGGAAGGAAAAGATTTATATTTATCTACAAAATAATTAAAACCCCTTCAACTTACCCTGAATTTCGTTGAGACAAAGACCGACCACTAGGGCCGTCAGCAGCACGTGTAAATCCCTTTTAGATCTCATTATCATTGATCTTTTATGGGTATTATTTTAAAGAGAACTTTGTCTGGGTTTTTCCTAGCTTGATTGCGGCATTATTAGCCACAACCTGGTGGCTTTTCCAGTAACTGCGTGACTTTTTAGCTGGAATTAAAGTTTAGAATTCGTGGTGGTTAGTCGGTTTATCCGACATGATCTAATTAGTTCATTGGCTGACAAAATGACATGAAATATGCGACCTCAATAGGTAGAATTTTCCCCCTTTTCGGGGGAAAATCACATGAATAGTTAACTATATTTTTCAGCCTTTCTGCCGCCATAATGTGCACAATGCGTAACGTGAATTTGGATCATTAAACTAAAATCTAGCCGAGCTATGTACGTGTCGCATAGCGACTCATATCGATCCGCAACTCCGGATGTCACTTCCGGCTTATTGTCCACTCAGCTCTTTATGCTCTCCGCGCAGCACAAAAGCAAGAATAGAGCTTGGTTTTTTTATTTTTAATTATTCGGAAAAGTGTTAGCTATTGACCTCAGCGAAAGGTGGTGGCTGTACTTGATGGAAAGTGTCGCATTTTAGTAATGAAAGTCTTTCTGGAATGGTAAAATTTAGTCAGGAGGATAATGTAATATGTATTCAATATATTTATAGCTGTAAATTAAGATCAGGATCTCTGTTTCCAGAGGATCATATAGATCTTTTAAGAAAGATTGAAGGACCCTAAAAATCCTTTAATAAATATTTAAGAATAAATGTGAACCTATCGATTAGTTTATTTCACAAATATATTTTCAATACACATCCTTGATCACTTTTATTTCAAGTTAAGTTTCTTTTCAAAGGCTAAACACATTTTATTATTATATATCAATATCTTGATAATGTCCTTAGTTATCCTTTGATATAATGTGCCTTTTAATCTTTTCAACATTTAAAATCTTTTTAAAACTCTTTCATCTATTCTGAAAGTCCTTTATTACTATTTTCCTTTAAAAGGATCACTGATTGATAGCACCTCCTTAAAAAGTATATTTTTGCCAGGACACTGTTTAAACACTTTTAATTTATTTAAATACCGTTTATTAACCACTAGGATATCCTTTTCAAATAAATTATTAACAAGAACAGATCGAACTAAAGTGACTATTTAGGGCCAATATTTTACTTTAATTTTTGGGGGGACCAAACCCGACCGATCGTTAGAATAATGCGCGACAAACTGAATTCGAGAACCCAACTCCACCGTGGGTCTGCACTCGGATCGGTGGTTGGCCCATTACGATTACCATTACCATTACTATATAGTTTACCATCCATCGCGATTGCCATTGCGATTACCATGAGCGAGGGGCGAGGAAGCCAACTCCATGGCAACAATGGCCGAAACGAAGGGGATTTAATTAGATGTGGAGACAGCAACAAAGAGCCATGGACACACAATGTTCTAAATGCTCCGTACCTGGATTGCCATTCAAATGTTAATCAGTGCGGCGAGCAGACCAAAGTTGACAAAAGCCCACGGGCCATCCCACTACCAAAAATATATACATATACATATATGAAAAAAAAGAAATAGGATAGAAGAGCGACCAACCACCCATTCCCCACCCTTTTAATTCTTCAATTGGGGAGTCAATGGGTGCAGAGAAAAATATATAGTAATATTTTACTATATAGTAATTACAATAAAATAAATATTACTAGTATAAGTTTTAAGTAGAAATTGTGAATCTATATTGATCCGATTGATTCTTCCAGTTTCAGATCAGAAATTATTAGAATTTTGGCAATTAATATTTACAAATGCAAGTAATGATTTATTTTAGATTCAAGATTCTAAAAACGCTTCTTAAGATTGAAGGTATAAATAATTAGTTAAATAATTTAATATTTAAAGCCCGACGACCATGAGAATACGAAATCCTTCATAACTAAGCCAAAAATTCATTAATTTTAATTCGGATTGCTTTCCTATGTTAGTTTTTAATGGGTTAACAAAGCTGCATACTCAGTTTAAAACCTAAAATCTTTGCCATTTTTTGGAAATTTTAATGATGTAACCCCTTATCAATTTTTAAAAAATCGAAAAAATTTACAAACATTATTTTCCTTTAAAATATAACTAGATCGACTCGCCTTTTAAGGCTGATCAAGAATATATATGCTTTATGGGATCGGAAATGACTCCTATCAGCGTTATAAGCTTCTGAATAAAGTTATAATACCCTGAAACGGTATACAAATACATATATATTTTTAAATCCAAATGCCCTCTCTCTAAATTTTCTCCCAGTGCACACCCACTCTCTGCCCAGAATTGGGTGTGTTGTTTGGGCGTTTTTAAGTACGAGTGTGTTTGTGTTGGAGCTTTCGTTCTGGCCGAATGTGCACATGGAGCACATAATGACATTTCGCCCGGTCAACGTTTCATGGACATGGGCGACTTTCCCACTTGTGAAGGGCATGGAGCAGCAGCAGCAGCATCTGGTGTCCCCAAGTTGCCACAACTCCAAATGTTGAATGTTAAATTATAAACGATCACCCGCCGTCCGCCGTTGGGTCAGATCATGACAATGCGTGTCACGACTGAATAAGTTCGAGGCTGGCTAACGACCCACCGACCGACCACCGCCTCCTCCGCGACTTGCAGCCGGAGGAGGGTTGCACCTGTCGCCGCTGGGTGTGCGTGGGCCGCCTCCATTGTTGGCACTTGGATGCTTTGGAGTGGTGTCACTGGGCGCGGCGGCGACAACCCAAACGAGCCATGCAAATGCAAATGCAAGTGCCCATAAAGAGGTTCAACTTTTATTTTCAAAAGTCATAAACTTGCACACAGAAAACTACATGGATTCTCGCAGCAGGGCCAGCAGGCGATAGCATTGCTTAAGGACCTGCAGGAGAGAATATATTTACTATATAATCTGTATGGAATATATTTAAATCCTCACAATCATGTAGGTTCCTAGGGTAAAGGGCACAAAGGGCTCGGCCACATACATGAGAGGCTTCTGGGCACGCAGAATCACAAAGGAGATGTCCCTTTGGATTTCAGGTGGCTTGGTGTGCCAATCCTTGATCTCAAAGGCGGCCTGAGCCACCTCCAGGGACTGGTGAAAGAAAGGTAATATATACTATTTATAATTTTTGAAACCTCAAATCCCACCTGAGTATAAACCAAAGTTCCAGAGATGCACCAGGTGGACAATTGTATAAAGGCCACCATGGCCAGGAGCACAAACTTGGCTGCCATTTTGGGATCCACCGAGGCAGCTGCTATGGTCTCAAAGGTGGATATAGAGATCAAGGAGAAGCTGGCTATCATTTGGGCAATAAAGGTGCCATTGAAGGCCCTATTGGCTCGCTTTACAAGGCTGAAAAGTAAGTAAATACCCGATTTTATATACAGAAATCCCTCACTCTCATCCACACCCACCTGATGATGTGCTGATGGAACCTCACCACGCGACAGAACTCCTCATGGAAACGGGCATCGCTGACCTTTCTCATCTCACCCAGGCGACGGATCTCGATGCAGAGCAGCTTGAGATTGAGGGCCGTCTGGAGGAATGTGGTTATGCCCACCATGTCCACGTGCAGGATGCTCATGAGGTTGTGCTGCGAAGTGCAACTCAGCCAAATATACAGAATCCAGAACATCTTGGGATGCAGATCGGCGCGATGCCATTGAAAGGGCCAAATGACATGAAAGGGTAGCTTTCCCTTACTGATCAGCGGTTGCAGGAAAACAGCGGCACTGAAGAAATTCACCAGAAAGAAGCAATTGATATACAGGCCCGTTTCGGCCAGGTAACAGAGCCGCTGCCAGCCCAGAACCTCCTCATCCATGTGATATGGTCTTAGTTCCCTATTGTAGTAGTCAAAGTCCCAGATGATCTCATCGATGTCATTGCAACGAAGATGCATATAAAAGATCTTGGTGAAGACAAGGCCCATCTGTAGACACATATTAAGAAGATATATAAATGTATATAAATCAAAATTATCTCACCCCCGATAGCCACACCAGATCGTCGCCCAAATCAATCACATTCTTGGACTCGGGCAGAGCCAGGACCATGGTCCAAAAGGCCAGCATCACATTGCACATGATGAACCAGTTAATCCCTCGGTATAGAGCCAACTGGGCCAACTTCTTGTTGGGATACTGGCAGAGCAGGCTGTGGAGAGCAGAGCCTTGGATTAGTGATGGATGAGCCGGCAACACCACTTACCCACCTCAAGGAGGCGCGATTGTAGTTGAGTGCCAGGCGTGGGATGCGGCCTGGAGTCTCCTGCCGGAGTACCGAACGGAATTCATCCAGGAAGTGGCGCATAATGCCCAGGTTTGATTGATAGCCCACGTCTGCCATGACCAAAGGTGCCTTAACTGTGTGTCCAATTGGTGGGCAGTTCCTTTTATATAAGAACTATAGTTCTTCATATGCAGATTACCCTCGCGGTTGGAGGGCACCTAATTACCATGTTTATAGACAATTGTTTTGCCAAAGGAAACGCCCACAAAGTAGATTAACTTAAATGATTGCAACGAGACTGTAGAACATGTGCTAAAAATCGCACTACATCGATTGATTTGAAATAATAACCATCGAATGATATGATATGATATGATATATATGGGACTCACCTCCCTCCATGGCGTTCATTGAACCCGCCAGAGCTTCGCGTGACTCGGTTGCTCCATTAGATCATCAGCATCATTAAGAACAATGAATAATATATCGCATAAATGCTGCCCCGTCCTCTGTTTATTCACAGTTTTTGAAGCGTATAGCAAAACATGATCATCGCAAAGTGAGTAGTACTCCTCCCTACTCCCCCAAGCTCCCATTTTTAAGCCACCAAAATCCGCCACGGGTTCGGTAGGTTCAATCAACTTGGCCATAAACTTCCTGTGTCTTCTCACTTACCCAGCATGAAATAAATCAGAAAAACACATGAGTTATGTCTTAATCAGGATCGGAGACATCGATATATAACTGAACCTGGGAGAAGAGCATAAATCCAGTTTTTTATTCAAATTTCACCAGCACACTTTCCGTCACTGAGGAGGATACAGATACTGGTTCTGCTTCAGCTTCTGGTGTCTGGTGTCTTTGCTGGACATCCGCCTCCGTGTTATGCTAATGTCTTGCACCGTTTAGCAAGGCCATTGGAATCAATCTGGGATTAGATATACAGACCAAGAGAAAGAGGAGTCAATAGACCGTAATATTTGTAATACAGTGTTTTTTATTATAACCCACGGACTAACCATATAATGGCACCCATAATGGGCCAACTATTAAAACAAATTGATATCAATTTTCGCAAACAATATGTGTGCACAAGTCTCGTCATTGAACTCCCATTGCAAAGCCAAGCCAGAGGCATTGGCACCACCTCATCCTCATCCTCATCCCCATCCCCAGCCTCATCCTCATGCACAGTTGAATAGTTGAATAGTTGGCTTGGTGGCCACCACTACTAGAGAGATACCAGATAGTGCAGCTGTAACAGTATAGACCAGTTCCGAGTTGGCAAAGCGCCGTTTGATGCTCTAATTTATACAGCATACTGATGAGTTGACCGCTGTTCTGGAATTGTTCTCCTACGGGTTTGGGTTCGCTTCGGCTTCGGCATCGGCATCGGATTGGTTTCTGTTTTTTACCCCAGCTCTTCGGTCACGAAAAAGTGGCAGAGCACAGAGCACACCTGACCAGACCCAGAAATGGAAATATTCGTAGCGGTTAGCGTTTAATTGAAATGCATTTGGCTTGTTGCCTGTCAATCAGAGACATGCTCCTAAAGCCGAAGGGTAATGGAGACGCATACACGCAACCCCATGGAGCTGTCATACGCCACTTGGTCATCAAATCCATACATACCCACACGCGATGGGGTTCTTTTTATAATGATTCTAGTAGCTCCTGCCAGGACTTTAACTATCCCGATGGAGAGAAGAAAGTAATAACAATTATCGGATGTGCTAAGCTTCATTGCATCCCATAAACACCTTGAGGTTTTAAGTGTTCATAAAAACCGGTGTAAGACTTGTCCTGAATAGCTTTATATTCCTATTAGATTTATAGGATAATTAATTTGCTTTTTCATAGCGAATTAATTAAAATCGATTAGCAATTGAACTAGAACACAATTGCTTTCAATGCTCACAAAAATACCATAAATTTTACCTGTTAAGGAATTTAAATAAATTTCAAAGAAAAAGTATTTTCAAAACCGTTTAAAATTTACAACCTAACCATTTAGTTTTTCATTGCTGACTTCGGCATCTTTAGTAGCACTTAAAAGATATATTAAAACTCTTGTAGTTTAACTGCCTCGGGCTTACATTTTAATTATTCCATATTCTTGGTAACAACCCGAACATGGTGGGAATATTAAGCAATTTATGGTAGCCAATTCTCACCAAATTTCTACCGTATTTTCCAGCCGGCATTTTGGCTCAAATAATTACCAATGCCAACTCGCATCCTCCATTAACCGTTATGGAGTCGCCTTCCAATGTGGACCAAGTTCGATGAGCGCATTTTCATGTTTATTGCAGAAGCAATTGGTAATAAGTGCGCGACCGCAGACCAGGACTTGAGTCTTGAGACTTGGATAAAAAAATATATATATACAAGAACACATTTCTCAATCGTTATTTATGAATACAATTGCAAGTTTGTTTAGCTTCGTAGCCGGAGGCCTCACCTGCACACTTCACTCCGCCGGCAGCGTATCAATAACTAGCTGGAGATTAGGTGGAGAGTATACATAGGAGGAGAGGTATCTCCGGCAGGAGGAGCACTTTGATTCCTATAAGACACTGAGATAAAATGGGTCTATAGTCTGGGGTGGCTTTAATAATATTGTAAAGACATATTCATGTGGCAACTTAAAACTTTCGATATCTTTGTAGTAAAACGTAAAGTTATGAGCATTTCCGGTTATCGGTTCTATCGATATACTACCTTGGTAATTCTTAATAGTAATTAAGGAAATTAGAATCTTTTATTAAGCGATTGATTAAACCTGGTATAGCCTTCTCTTACAAAAATATAAATTTTCTTTATATATTTGACTTCTTATCACTTTTTAAGGGTACTTCCGGTTATCGTTCCCATCGATAACTATAAAAGTAGTAATGGTAAACTGTAGCTGGTATAATAAACTAAGAGTTATATTATAATTATAGGTTTTTAAACAATTTTGCATAGCAAGAACTCTTTTTTTTCAGTGTGCTCATCCCAGACATGAACTGGTTTTCCTCTTTTTCCAGCAGCAACAGCGGCAGCAGGCGCAGATCAGACGACTCACCGCAGCCTCCGGCCTACCAGCGACGTGTGCCCAAAGTTTGCATAAGTTGGACCCCGACATGGACATGGACATGGATGTGGACATGGATGTGGATGTGGATGTGTCCATGTGGACGCTTAGCCTCGAACCGGGATCTGAACCTGGAGCTGGCTTCATTTTACAGTTAAAGATTTATGGATCATGCATGGCCAAATGGCAAACAGATACGCGGGTAATTGTGTGTAGGTAACGCATTCAACCACAAATTTATACCGTCCAAAACGATAAGAGCCATAAGGAGGAGCATTTGTGGCAACTAAAGATCCCAATCTTTGAGAAACAAATTCCCGCATTGAGCGTCATAAAAGGCAGATGCGAGACGATGGACGGATGGCTAGCCGTCATAAAAGACCAAATAAAACCGATCGAAGGCCCATTTTCAAGAACTGTATATAGAGTCGATAATGTTGGGGAATAGGGGGAAATCTATATCCATTAGATAGGAGATCTACAAAATCAAAACTTTCTAAATGACGGGCGGCAACAAGAAGAAACCAAAACTGTAAATGCAGCAAATAGTTGCAACGGCGTCGCCAACTAAAGTATAATTATTGCCCAGACCAAGACGACGACGAGATGGGAATGAAGACGTGGTCCGAGGCCAGGAGGCTGGAGCTCCGTCTCCAACTGGGCACGTACGCAGAGGATGCCAATATTTCTCTCTCTATATATATTTCTATATATTTTTTTAGTTTTATTTTTGTTTTTGCTAGGCCTGGCAACTGTTTAACTGTTTTTAATTGAAACCAGTTTGTGGTAATTGTCTTTTTGGCTCTATGACTATATATGTTATAACTCGCTTATGTCAAAAACAGATTGCAGTCAGCGTGTAATTTGAGTCCAAGATTTCACTTGTTCTCCGGATCTTGGAGCGCATCGAAAGCCAGTAAATTGTCATATAATTGTGCCAGAACCAATGACAAATGATGGACCGAAAGGCTTCTATCAAATTGGAGCGTGCAGTGCAGTTTTCTGCTTCATTTCTACGCAGAACCAGTCACTGTGCCTCTGTTAATTAGTCTGCCGTTGGAGATATCTTCGCCTTCACACATCACAACACAACTATGGCCAACATAATTTGTCAAAACACAGAGCCCAATCCGAACTTATACTTTCGAGATATAAGAGCGTAACTCGGGGGAGAAAAAAGAAAAGCCAAACCCGTTTAAGAGCAGCAGCAGTCTTCTCTCAGCGAAGCTTTTCCTCTGCGGCATTGCGGTTTCTTCGGCGCTCCAACTTCTTCAGTCGCTCCAACGACGGCGACCTTGATAGACGTATCAGCGGTTTCAGTCCGAGAAAACCCCAAAAGAAAAGCCGCCGCTGACTTCGCTTTCTTCGAAACGAGAAACAAAAGAAAACTTGGCTGGAAAAACAATAACAGTTAGCGGTCTCAAAGTGTTGTTGTTTAGTGTTATTGTTGTTCGCTGTGTTGTGGCACGAGATGTTTCAAAAATGTGGCCAGAAATGATAAAAAACGTGCAGAAAATGCCAAAGAAATGTGTGTGAAAGATGCAAAGTGAAGTTAAGCCCACGACAAAAAATAAATAAATAAAGAAATCAAAGAAAAAGAAAAGCGACCAAGTTTATGTGTGAAGCCAGGCAGTCCTTGGCATAAAGAAAATTAACAGCCAAGAGGTGTTAATTTACGAGTGTTTTTGCAGTACATCTCACCCACCGGTCTCTGCTGTGAGTGAGAAATATTTAAATTTTAAGTTAAATTTAAATTAAAATTTGAATCACAGCTTGGGAGAAAGGGCTCTAGTTTTGGTTGTGTTGCCCTTGGCTTTTGGGGCTTATTAGACCATTGCCAATTGTGTTTAGGTCACTGGGCACCCAATTGAAAATCTTCTTGTACATTTTTGGGAGAAAGTAAAAAACAAGAAATAGATATATATAAAGCGGCCATTGCACTGCCGTAATGTTGGTCTTAACAACATTTGGCCGAAACCGTTGCTGGCCCTAAGTCCAGAGCGGTGGAGCAACAGGTACACATTAAAGCACATTAAGGCGGCGGAGCAAATGATGCGCTCCTCTGGCCACACAATGGACACGGCCACCTCCAGGGTAGGGCAGGGTAGCCGGCGGAACACAGCCGCTAACACAAAATACGAGTAATAAAACTAAGAGCGGAATAAATTTGAAATTTGTTATTATGCGAGATGGGAGGAGAGGCAATGAGGGATCCGAGGATGGGCTGGGATGTGCGATGCTGCTTCTGAATCTGATTCTGATTCTGCCACATGTGGCGTGTTCTAAGTGTTAAAAGTACGCCGAGTGTGACGTCGGGTGCACTCGGAAGTGTATAGCGGACTGGTGGCTCCCGGGTGCCAGACAATGGCCCCCCAGAGCCCAGAGATGCAACCAACTCCAGCTCCAACTCCATAACCATACTCATAGTCATAGTCATAGTCATAGTTGGTGCATGTTCATGTGAATCGCCATGGCCAGGTTAGAATGCGTTGTGGTAATTTCCACACCCTTTAAAGTGTGATTTGTATCATTTTTTGGGGCATGATCAACTAGAGCTTAGAGCCTAGGGATTCAGTTTTAGGGATTTCAAAGTTCCTAAATAAATGGGTGTTAAAACCTCTAAAGAACAGAAAGTACATTATTTTATAAAGTGATATTGAGGATAGTCATTTACTTGGTTTGTTGCAGTATTTATATATAAGTCTCCAAAAACTAAAGTTCAGTGAAAAATCCATGAAGTTCTTAAATAGTTCCCATATTTTTATCACTTTTCATATATGTCTTAATCATTGTGTAAAACGTTTATCTCAAGCTCATAACAATTCTTCCAAGCTGTTCTCAAAAGTTACCATAAAAAACTGTTTATAAGAAATTTTTTAATAAGAATGTTTCTAAGAAGTTTTATTGTTAAAAAGAAAATTTAACTCACTAAACCTTGGCAAGCAATACAACATCTTATTTACGAAGCCATGAAAAATATGATTTCCTATAAAAATAAATATTTAAAACGTTCCCAAAGTGCTTAGAATATATTCATTTAAATCAAAGAGTCTGAGAGAGAGATACATTAATTCCTCAAATACAGTTATACATAATATTTTTTAAACTCTTAGTATTTATAGGTAAACTCTTAATATTTTCAACCTATTTCAAACCACTTTCCCTCCCCCGAAAATGACCATGTAAAAACCCATAGTTACACCCAATAACAGTGTTCAGTTTTTTGAAGTTAACATATTAACGCTTCGCTGATCCCATCCAGAATAATATCCAAAGGGGTATGTCCGGCGTCGAGGCATGTTCCCTGGTTACACTTGTTGATGTTTATTATGGTTAAATTTATGCACAGACTTAGAACAATGCGCACACGCTCTTTCGTGTTGGCCAATAATTAATGATCGCGTACACGACTATGGCCACGGCGGCTGCAATAGAGAGATGGTCTGAAATAGATGGAATATGGCTTTAATTTATGCAGTTGGGTTCAATTACCTGTTAATTGAGTTTAGTCGAGTGCGCAAGAGTCAAGACCCGGGGCTTGGTGCCCCACGGAGATTCCAAACGGCAAACTGCAAACGGCAAAATATATTATATATCTCAGAACTTACAGTTGGCTCTTTTTCCGACCTTTTCTTTATGATTTTCCCAGCATCATCAAAATCGCATCAGTTTCAGTCGCAACTTTGCTGCTGATGTTGCAGTTGGAAAACGAAATAAACAAACGAAAAGAGAAAAAAGCAGGTCATTACTGCCATTAAATTCGTTTCGAAAATGCAGACTGGAAAGAAAAAACGAGTGATAAAAACCGAAAACCGAAAACCGATGGCCGAAAACTAAAACTAAAACTGAGGCAAAGTCGTAAACAAATCGAAAAGAAAGAGAAATAATAGAAATGATATTGTATTTTATATATTTTTTAAATGCCATAACTGTACAGCACCCTGAGTGATAGATGGAGCTCAAGCTGGAGCTAAGCTAAGGTGATTATGGTGACTGGTCAATCAAAAGACTGAGGAACCGAACTTGGTCTGTGGCATGTTGTTTTTGCCGTTGTTGTCGCGTTCTACTGCTGCGTTTTGTAAAGAAATTTTACTTTCAAATTAGGCCGCAACTGTTGCTTTTTTTATCGCTTTCTTCACCACTCATTCATTCGCGCGCTGAACATTATGTGAATGCTCAGCCGTCCCTTCCCCTCCTCAATGGCTTTTGTTCTTCTTTTGAAGAGCCCAAAAAATAACATAGAGAACCAGATATACGCACACTCAGCAGCAGCAGATCAGTAGAACTCGGTGATATGAACAGTTAGGAGTCCCCAATAACTTTTTCCCCCTCTATGTGTGTGTCGTTTTTTGTGTGAAATATTTATGTAAATTGGCCTGGCCGAAAGCAGCTGCTAAAGTGCAACTGATTAGCGGTATAAACGGGGCTGGGGGTTGTTCTAAAGTCTCCAACTTGCAGCGGCTTTTAATAACGGTAAACGCAGCAGCAGAAGCACAGGTAGAAGAAGCTCTGTTCCCACTGCAGAAACGCACTTGATCCAGTGCAGCACAGGCATAACAGCATAATGCCACCTCTACACCTCTATAAGTATACACTTTGCAACGCCGCCGTAGAAGAACAAGTTTTAATTGCAACATTTGTTTAAATGCTGTCCGTTAGTCTTTGGCCACAAACTAGTACAGAGTGACTAGCTTTAAGCAAACACACCAACTGGATGTAGATGGTGCTCCATTTCCCGCAAAAACAACAGAACGAAACGGACGAAACAATTTCTGCCTCATTAACTGAGCCAGTGGCGGCCCAAAGAATGTCACCACCAGCTGCAGGCTACGATTTTGGATTTCTTAGTAATTAATTAGTGGTTCTTCTTTTCGATATCTTTGCAGTGCCAGCAGCTGCACCGGAGAATCCCCCAGAGTGCGTTTGGCTCCCAGCTATGTTGCTGTTAAGATGCAGCTCCAATCCTTACCGCTGCTCCACCAGCTCCTCCTGCTCCTCCTCCTGCTTCTTGCTTATCGCGCCACGCCCGCCCATTCGCGGGTGAGGAGCAACCTCTATCAGAGCCATCACCAAGTCCAAGATCAAGATGCCGGCGAGGATCCTCTGGTGCCCGCCAGCCTGCTGCTGGAGGAACTGCACCAGACCAGCGGTCAGCTTGTCAATCTGACGCGACATCACGATGGCGATACATTCCACACAAGCGGTGAGTTACACTCGGGAAAGTGGGAGATATATATATTTTTTTGATTATAAGAGATTAGGTTTTAATATAAGTTGGGTAATCTCATGTTTCAGAGCTGGAACATTCATAGTAATCGATTTTGAATAGATATATATGTTCTTTAAAATAAATCTGTTCAAAGAATGCTACTATAATTTTAGTCATTTTAAGTTTTTAAAATTTTAAGCCGAGTATGCATATTTGTTACCCTATTATAAGAAAACATAGAAAAGCTTTCCGAATTAAAATTAATGCATTTTTGGCTTAGTTATGAAAGAGTTTATGTTTCAATTACAAACTTCAAATGAACACCAACTTCTGTTTCCAGAAGAAAGATGTCTTTCTTGTTTTATTATTCATAAAGTCTTAATAGAGAAAAACTAGTTACATTTTTAGCAGTATTTCTAATTATATTTGACAATTAATGTTGTTCAACATTGAAAAGTTTACTCAGTCTGAGCTGAGTGATTAATGATTTTCAATATAAACTGAAATTTTAAAAGCCAGAGAGTTGCACTTGGAATATAAAACTTTAGTTCTTATTTAATGCATATGTAAGACTTTATTATATTAGTAAACTAAATAATAGTAATTTAATTTCAAGTTGTATAACTTTTCCGGCCTTTTTCCTACATTTCTTCTTGAAATTTATGTACATGTTAAGTTTGTATGTTAAAGATACATATTTAGTTCTGCAAATTTGAACTCGCTTTTCTTATACAGGAAACAAATATATGTTAATTTATCTAATTTAGATTCCTATCTATATATTTTTTAACTCCATTCCCAAGCATAGTCTGACTTCCTTTCTTAAAGTTCTTAAGAAAAAACCAACTTGGTTAGCGCCCAAAACAGTTGCTAATTTTTTCCATTGGCTATTGGCAGTTGCAGTGTCATTGTCAGTGCCTTGACCACTTGGCATGTGGCATCTTCAACTGGAGAAGGAGCTGCAGAGCTATAGAGCTATAGATAGAGATTAAGCTAGAGCCTCGGATGGGTGATGCTGCGCTTTTTGCCCGGCTGATCCGGCTAAACCGCTGACAGCAGCATTAATTTTTGCCTGCAAAAGGCCGGGAGACTCGTCTGATTGGCCGTCAAATCCGCCAAAGCACCGATGCTTGTTGTGAAGTCCAGAGTCAATCCATCTTAATGCTTTCCCCCAATAATCCCACTCCTCGTTCTCCATTTCCACGCAGGTCTGGGCAGCGCCTGCAACGCGGACACCTGCATCGGACTCTCGAGCGGCACAGCCTCGCTGGTGCGTCTCCCCAGCGAAGCCGTCGGTCAAGGCAACGGTAACTCACAGCAGATTAGCATGGTAATGTGTGCCTGTCATAAGCTCTCTAACACCCCAAATCCCCCTCCGCCAGATGGACGCGATCCGGCCTCGACCTCGTTGGCTGGTGGTCAGAGCCAGATGGAGTTGCTCAGCCGCCGGTTCAAGCTGCAGAAGAAGGGTCGCCTCCCAGCAGATGGGGAGCAGGAACAGAATAGCTGCACTTGTCGGTGTCTGCCGTATCTAAGGGCCTATCGGGAGGATCTGGGCATATGTGTGGACGATATCCACGGTGAGTATATCGTATATATACAGAGTACTCTCAACCATTATCCATTATTGCGGAAGGGAATGGGCTCGAGGCTGCTCCATTTCGCGGCTGTGGGAGTTACTATTTCTCCCACATGGTTGGGTGTGTGGGACATATCCAGCCATTGTTTTGTCATATCCAAGGCACAATGGTTGCCCAACTTACAAAAATAAAAAATGTAAAAATTAAAAAAGAAAGAAATGCTGTAATAACAGGCAGCAGCAATGGCAGGGCTGAATGCAGAATGAAAACGAAACGTCGTGACGCAAAGAGGGAAAAAATGCCATTATTATTGAACAAATCGCTTGTTTCCCCGCTGCTAATGAATGAAAGGAAACTTTCGCCGCCGCCATCGTCGTCGTCGTCGTCTGCCAACATAAACAATCTCGGCTAGCTGCCAATCTTGGAATCCAACTCAAAAATCGGACTCCCAGTTGGACTCGCCGGCACCAAAAAAGTAAGAGCTGGTGCGGAAAAACAACCTCTGGAAATAGTTTCACCGAGTCCAAGTCATAATCGATAAGCTTCGATCTTTATCGCCGGCATAACTATACGAAATATACATCTATGTTATTTTATATATTGCAAGCATTGTCTGTGCTTTCCCACAACCTTAGCCCAAGGCTAATCGTTTCCTCTTTAATTATTATTGCATTTCTTTACAGAGTGCTCCCTGTCGCCCTTTGTGAGCGGTTCCTCGTCGGAGAAGATACCCTTTGTCTTCCTGCCGCTCAAGGGTCAGATCATCTATCCCAGCAGGGAGATCAGCTTTGCCAGTAAGTGAATTTCACAGAATAATATTTAAGGTTTAAGCAGAGACTTTAATAAGATTTAATAATTCTGGAAAAGTAAGAGGTTACTTTTACTGGAAATTTTAAAATGTACTTACCATGAGTAACAGCTGGGGGTTCTTCAGTTATTTTCTGAGATTAATTAAGCTTTTATTGGTAAAAGTAAGATGGTAGTGAAACTAGGAATATATATTCAGAGGAACAATATATGTACATATAAAGAAAGCCAGCCCTTCAAATGCTTTATTCTTTATTGATTACGAACTTGATTACAAGCTGAAATATATGTATATGACTTTAATTAATATTTTTAATTAATAATAATAAATAATATTTTTATATGCTCATTTTTGAGTAAATCACACTTTTTCAAATATCATAACTAAGCCAAAAATGCATTAATTTCGATTCGGAAAGCTGTTCTGTGCTAGTTTTTAAAGGGTTAACAAAACTGCATATTGAGTTTTTGAATTTTATAAATTAAATTTTTTATCAAATTTTGACAATTTTAACGATGTAACCCCTTATAAAATTTTCAAAAAAGTAAAAAATTTAAAAATTTATTTTTCTTCCAAACATTACTAGAACGATTCGGCTGTTAATGCTGATCAAGAATATATATGATTTATAGGGTCGGAAATGATTCCTTCACTAAGTTTGAAGCTTCTGACTAAAATTAGAATCCATCTTTTAAACTGATATTTATCTATATATTTATATGACAATTTTTATTAAAAATCAAAGTTTATAAGCCTCATAACTTAGCCAAAAAATGATTATTCGTTAGTAATTTATAATTAAGTTAGGATGTTTACTTTGATTACACCTCTTTTTATATCCTTAAAACAAGTTGCTGTAATGGGACACGTGGCAATAAGGGTCTTAATTGGCAAATAAATAAATAGCTAGCACAGGTGATTATAGTCCTAAGCCTGATATCCTATAGCATCTATATATACATATGTGTATGTCATGATATAATTAGTTAAGACTTACCGCAGTGGACACGTCATTGTTTAATTCCTTCCAGTGCAGAGTTATATTAGTGGTGACTTTAATTAGGCTTCTTCCTGATTATCCAGATGCATTGCGTTGATCAGACGATATAATTGAGGTCGGAGGGTAATCACTATCACTTATCACCACTATCACAATAGATGTTGACAGAGCGAAGGCCAGGCACAGACTGAGGGCGGAGCGGCGGCAGTGCCTGGTATTTATAGTCTCCGAGCAAAGAGAACAGAGAATTCGAGAGCGAGAGCGAAGAGCGAGCATCTCTAGCGATAAGCCATTCCCTCTAACTCCCTCTTTGTATCTCAGAGATACTCAGAGCATGAGAGAGAGGGGGAGAGTGGGAGAGAGGGAGGCACATACATTTACCGAATGCTTCTGTGGCAGCTATATGATATAGTCGTCCGATCTTAATAAAATCAAAATAGAAATTATAGGATAATACCAAAATTAAGTACTGATCAAGAATGTATATACTTTTTATGGTGGGAAATGACTTTTTCACTGCCTGCCAAACTTTTGATTAAAATAATAATACAAATATTATTAAATAAATTTAATGATAATTATATAGTATATATATATATCTTTAATAAATATTCAATTGCCAGGCATCCACACACCCGTTTGTGCCGTAACGGGTGCCCAGTACTTGGGCTCCAATGGCTGGTCGGATCTGCGGAATCCCATTGACACCGACTATCCCTTCCGGATGTTCCGGGATGAGGGACGCAGCTTCCTCCTCTGGCTGGGCGAGGCGGATCTACGCCAAAAGATGCAGGGACGCCTGATTGTGGTGCATTTAGTGTGCCGGGACATGACAGTGGGGCTGAATGCCACCGGTTATCCCAAGGTTAATCCTGGCGAAAGGGAGCCCCTGATGCCGCCCAGAAATGTGCACTCGCCGTGTGTGGCCTTTCGGGTGAACGGCAGTCCCGTCAAGTATACGCACAGTGAGCATCTTTAAAGAGTAAAAATATCAGGAGCCCAGAGATAATCGTTCCTTATACTCCTCCTTAGATGTCCCTGAGGTATTCTTTCAGCCCGCCAACTCCACCACTCTGGCCTCCACCTCCGATGGCATGACCATGAGGGAATATGTGGTCATTGGAATCTGCAGCCTGCTGCTGGGACTCATCTACGTGGCATCCGTGTTCTTGTATCTGTACATGAAGAAACGGAAGCGTCACAATTCCCGCAATTCATTGGATAACCTGGCGAGTGACATAAATTATCCCAAGAATGACCAGGTCACCTACGGGGCACCCTTCAGCCGCGTGGGCAGCATTTACTCCGCCAATAGCATGGGCTTGGGTGGTGCTGGTGGTGACCCCAACAATCGCACCAGCATTGGCAGCCTCAAGGAGGACATGGGCATCGTGAAGAATAATCCTCTGCTGCAGCATTTTCCGCAGCTGAGCGAAAGGGAGCACAATTCCGGATTTGCCAGCGATATATCCAACTCGAACTCCGAGTGCGAAATGGAGGAGAAGATCAAGGTGGGTTTGGCGGAGATAATTTTCCTGTTCATACAGCTAAAGGGTAGCTTTTTCTCTTGGCAGACATCTGTTCTGGTCCATCCGCAGCTCAGCAAGTCGCCCAAGCCGTCGGATAACTCCTCTCTGGATACGGATGACTTCCGGCAGGATAACGAGTGCCTGCCCGCCGAGAATGTGGCCGTGATCGATGAGCTGATGAGCGAGGAGAAGCTGGAGAATCTCCGGGCCATGGTCAGTGGCAATGTGAGAAAGAAGCTCTACTTTAATCCAGCCTACTTTGAGCCTCATCTGCTGGCGGTAAGTCTAGAAGGAACACTTGGAACCAGGACATGAATTCATATCCTCACTTCTATAACAGGAACCCCCTCAAGCAGCCATTGAGTTTCTGCAAAAGATCCGCGAGGTCATAGCCATTGCCAAGTACAAGATGGCCGCCAAGCGGTATCAGCCATCCCTGAATATAATTCCGGAGGAGCTGCAGCATGATTCGCCCAGCAGCAGTTCACCCACCATGTTTAATATTCCGCTTCAGCAGAGTCTGGCGGCCACCAAGGGCATCGGAGACAAACGGAACAGCATCGAGCAATGGCTCCAGAGTGTGCCCAATTCGGAGGCTTCGGCTGCTCCAGTCCAGAAGACACCCACGACGCCGGCCAAAAAGGGATCCGGATCACCCAGCAAGGGATCTCTGCGTAGGGAGATCACAGCGCCCAAGGAGCGACCGCCACCGCCGCCCTTGGCCAAGACCAAGACAGAGGAATCTCTAACTCCAGCTTCACCACCGGCAGTTACTCCCAGTCGGAGTCCTGTGAAGAGCAATCCGGATTCTCCCAAGTCCAAGTCTCCTGGGAGCAACTCCTTCGAGAGCTTCTCCGCCTTCTCGGTGGCCGCCAATGTGTATGGCTTTGCGGAGACTGGTGGCGAGATCTACAACAATCCCAAGTTCATGCTGGCCGACTCGCCGGCTGCCTCGCTCCGCAGCGCCTCCAGTCGCTCCAAGTCGCTGCGGAAGCGCAGCGAGGTCCTGGATCAGTTTGCAGCTGCCAATTCCACGCCCACCTCGCTCACCTCCTTCGATCGGCAGCACTACAACATGCTGAGGAGCATGAAGCCAGCGGAGGTGATCTACGATTCCCTGAAGCGGGAGTTTGCTGCCCACATTCCCACGCCGGACTATGACAGCACCATTGAGAAGAAGATCAAGGATATCTACAGCAGCACCCAGAGCAGCATTCCCTCAGTGCCCACGCCGGACTACAGTTCCCTCAGCCGAAAGTCCCTGAAGCAATTCCAGCCGGACTCTCCCATATACCGCCGTAAGTCCCCGCAGTATCTGATTGTAGACTATGAGACGGACAGCCTGGAGCGACTGGAGCCCAGCAAGCGCAAGAGCTCACACTCCTCCAGCTCACCGTCGTCGGATGTGAGCTCCCAGCTGAGTCCCAGTTTGAGCACGGCCCTGCCGCTGGAGGAGGAGATGGAGATCAGTCACACGGTGTACGATCGGCTGGACGGATTTCGCAAGGAGGGCGAGATGAAGATGAAGCGGCTGGCGGGCAAGCACCATCACCAGCATCCGCATCCCGTCCAGCAGCAGCGGCAGCAGAAGGAGGCGGCGGCCAGGATCAAGTATGACACTCCCTTTCGCGGCAGCATGACCATCGAGGTGGAGCACGAGCCGCCCTCGGATCTGGAGCGCACGGACAGCGATCAGTTTGAGCCGGACACACTGGACCGGAAGCCCAAGAAGCAGAGCTTCTGCGATATCTCCGCCTGGGATGGCCACAAGCCCATGGACACGGACTTCAATCAGATCAACTCTCTGCCCGATCTGAGCCGCCAGCAGATGATGAGTCCGGTGCCCAGCAGCCCGGCGGCCATCAAGCCAAGGACAGCCTCGTTCATCCTGCGGTCAAGTAACTCGTTCAGGAATCTGCGGGAGATCTACGAGTCGCCCTTGGTGGCCCAGCAGGAGAGCTGCAAGTGCGAGAAGAAGCCGACGCCGGAGGAGGAAGGTCGGATACTCACCCTGGAGGCGAAGCACTCGCGGCGTCAGCGCGGAATGGGTATAGAGACCTCGCCCACGCACTCCGTGGTGGATATCACCAAGGCGAACAAGACCACCATCCAGATTTCCTCTCCCAAGGCAGAGAAGGCCACTGCTGCTCCACCAGCGCCACGGCCCAAGGCTAGCAATCAGCACTATTGCCCACCACTGCCCAACCAGGGCAGCAAGCGTCCACTGCCACCGCCTCCTCCTCCCAGCTCAGCAGAGCAGCAGCATCAACAGCATCATGCGCCCGAGGAGGATGCCTACAGCCTGCACAGCGAGGTGACCGAGGTCACCGGCGTCTCGGAGTTTGACAACAACACCATGTCCAGTGCGATATCGGCCACCACCGAGGAGCGGACCCACACCAAGGGCTCCACCAGGACACCAGCAGCGGTCAAGGGAGGAGGTAAAGTCCAGGACGAGGATTATGAGGGAATGTACAGCAAGAAGATCAATAGTCTAAGGAATGACTACAGTCTTACCAAGTATCTCAATCGGCGGAAGAGCCAGCGTGAGGAGGCCTCCAAGGGGGGCCAGGATGTTGCTCCAAAAGAAGCCCCAGAACCCGTGGAGTTCCCTGGCAACAACAAGAATCTTAAGGACGTCGATCTCGTCCAGTTTGATGCATTGAGCGTAAGCTCCCGGTCCAATCGGAGCAGTGGTCATCTGTCGGAGCGCACCAAGGAGATGTATCGCAATGCAGGAGTCCCCGTGGGCATTGCCTATCCCCAGCGGGCAGCCAGCAGCTCCGGCGGTCCCAATTCCGGGGGAAATGTCCAGACGGTGTACCGCTGTGAGATCGAACAGGCCCAGCTCACGGCCGGAATGCAGATTGCCATTGGGCTGAAGGATCGGGCCAAGAAGGCCAAGGATCTGAAGAATGCGTGGCGCAAGTTTGTCACAATGGCGGCCAATAAGTTCAGTCCCAGCCAGAGTCCGGCGCCCACCTATGGCAGCAAGAATGCAGCCGGATTCCTGGAGGACGACGGCATAGCCTCCATTATCGAGGATGCGGCTCATAGCGCGGGTATGGGACAACCCGGTAGCCAGACCTACTACGAGCAGCGTTTTGGGCAACTGGACAGCGGCTACATGAGCACCGATTCCACGGAGCTGTACAAGCGCAATGTCTACGATCGGTACAACTTCAAGATGCTATCCGGTGGCCGAGGGCAGGTCATTCGCGTGGACACCATCGAGGACAACGATGAGGAGGAGAGCGGTCCGAACGATAGTCGTTTTGAGGATCTGGAGCATATGGTTTCACCAGGACACAGTCGTCGATCTCCGGACACCATGGGCGTTATGACCAATGGCGACATAAGTGACGCCGACTCCGACAAGACCCTCACGCGTACCCACTCCCAAACGAACTCCCAGGAACTGAATGTTCGCGGTAGCACCACCACAATGTCTTCGTACTCCTCCGATGAGAATGGTGGACGGGGGCATAGCACCTGCTGCGGCTCCTCGGAGACGGACGAGGAGACCAATGCGGAGGACATGTGGGAGTCCGGGGCGGAGAGCATTGAGACTCACTCGGTGCTCTACAAGATGATACGGAAGAGTTGAATATTAGATATAGATAGATAGTCTATGTAATAAATAGTTTCTAGGGACGTGCAATACTATATATCCGAAGCAGACTCTAGACTCTAAGCATATATAGCAAACGATCAGTGCAATAACTGGAGAATCTTGCCAAACCACAAAGGTGCAATTTAATTAGATTTATCACTTTATATTTAGTAGGATGAAGGAAACACCTGGGGAACTGCATCCAATACGCAAAGTGCAGGTACCAACAGGACAACGAACCCAAGCCCTAAGATATCCAAGTGCAATCAATATATAATATATATCGTGTAGTATCGTAACGGATGCGTATTGTGATAAATGTCAGCAGTCTTGGGCCGGAAATGTGCAATCTTAGTTTGTAATGTCGTCAGTTGTAAATGGTTTTAAGATTAGAGCCTAAAACTAAGAATAAATAAAAGAAATCGAATTATGTAGAGTAATAATAAACACTGTTTTTTACTTGTTGGTTGAAAGTAACATACTTTTGGGTAGAAAATGATAGGGTTTAGTAAGTAAATTACTTGTGATTACAATTTTAGAAATTAACTTTGGGGTCAAAATAAAAAGAGCTAGAGGAAAAGATAGGCAGGACATCTATCTAAGGTGGCAGTTCTATTGGCAGTTTTATTACCACTCTTTAAAGGTACTTCTTAATTTATTTATCAGTTAATCATTATTTATAAATTAACTTCCATCTCGAGGATTTTCCAAGAAAGTTATTGTTTTTAGGGGAAATGCCCAGAAGTAACTTGCCTAGATTTATGACCTGTCCCGTTGTCCATGTCTTTTCCCCTGATTAAGACTGCTATTGTTAGATTTTGTTAGATTACCGAGTAATGGTCTATCCCAGCGCAATCTACACCTGCTCGATAAGGCGAATTCTATAAATCTACACATGGCATGGCTTTCGCCTTCAGTTCCCTCCGAAAATGTCACGGATTTTGGTCGCTTTTCTGGTGCTGGGCGCTGTTTGCAGCAGCTCCCTGGCAGATCCTGTCTATCGCAATGGAGAGGATGTGCAAGTCCCTCAGCTGGATGGACGCATTGTCGGCGGCGAGGATACCAACATCATCCACTATCCGCACCAGATCTCCATGAGGCTTAGGGGAAACCACCGATGCGGTGGCACCGTTTTCAATGCCCACACCATCATCAGTGCTTCGCATTGTGTAAACACCCTGGCCTCCGTGGAGAACCTGACCATTGTGGCTGGCTCGTCCAACATCTGGTTCCCCACAGGACCCCAGCAGGAGCTGCCCGTTCGCGAGATCATCATGCATCCCAAGTACAGGTCCCTGAACAATGACTACGATGCGGCCATCTTGATTGTGGACGGCGAATTCGAGTTCAATGAGGCAGTTCAACCCATTCAGCTGGCCAAGGAGCGTCCGGAGCCTGGTACACCGGTGACAGTGACCGGTTGGGGCACCACCAGCGAGGGTGGCGTCATCTCCGATGTCCTGCAGAAGGTCAATGTCAATGTGGTAGACCACGCGGATTGCAAGAAGGCCTACCCCATCTTGCTGACCGGACGGATGCTCTGTGCCGGTGTCACCGGCGGTGGCAAGGATGCCTGCCAGGGTGATTCTGGCGGTCCGTTGATCCACAACAACGAGCTGCTGGGCATTGTCTCCTGGGGAACTGGCTGTGCCCGCGAGAAGTATCCCGGAGTCTATTGCTCAGTGCCCGAAGTTTACGATTGGATCCTGGAGACAGCTGCTGCCTACGATAATGTGGGTAAAATTGAATTCCTGTAAACTTATTGTTTCTGTATTGAATATAATATCTTTTGGTAAAACTCAACTCTGTCTTTGGAGTTCCATGGGATAGGTCTAGAGATCTACCCTTAAGCTTCTTTTGATCAAGGGTTTACTGAAAAGCGTATCCAACTTTTATTAGTCTTTAATTCATTCTTAACGGGTTAATACCTAAAAAATTACATAAGGAGATAAGCACTAGCAAGCATGATACAGCCCATGATAACACAACTGTATATTGTTTGTTTGATTACGGTTTTATTATATTCCATTAGGTAGCTCTATCCGGAATGATAGCGTATCAATTGGCTTTGAAATTCCTTTGTTTATTGTGCTCCGCGGGCGGCAATTGTTTCTTCAATCCAATCCAGAAAACTGGCCACGTAGCTGTATACCGTTGGGTAGTTGGGTCGGGCACAACCACGTCCCCAGGACACCAGACCCACAAGCTGATTATCAATGACCAGGGGTCCACCGGTATCACCCTGGCAGGCGTCACTGCCTCCTTCGGTCACATAGCCCGCACAGATCATCCTTTCTGTGACCTCTCCAGCGCCATAGATCTCGTTGCACTTCTCCGTGCTCACCACCGGCACTTGGGTCTGCTCCAGGTTGTAGCTGGACGGACCCCATTCCTCCCGATAACCCCAACCGGCCACGGTGGCCAGGCGATCCACTGCCGGACGCTCCGGCCGGATGACTGCCTTGCTGATTCCGAAATGATTGAGGTTCAGAGGCGTGTCCAGAAAGAGCACTCCGATGTCATAGTCGGCGGTGTAGTAGTCAAAGTTCGGATGATGCGTCCAGTTGGCCACGGGATAGATGATGCCATCGGGTCCGGTGCGGGTATTGGCGCCCACCACAGCCAGCAGCTTGGTCTCCGCCTCCAGGTTGTACAGGCACTGGGCAGCGGTGAGGAGTACATGCTCCGAGTAGATGACCCCGGCACACTCGTGCCTGTAGCTATCCTCCACATTGCGACGGTAGCGCAGGGAGACAATATACGGATGACGGGCCACATCCACTGTGGTGCCATTGATAATCCTGGCCTGTGGCTTTTCCGGGGCCTCAGAGGACACTCCGATGGCCAGCAGCAGGAGGAGCAGGAGCGGCATTTTAAGCTGAGGCTGTGGGATGCACATGGTCGTCGCTGATTCCACCGATTTGCCCGGGCGAGAGGTTCGCATCGAACTGATTACGGGTCTCGATTTGGCACCTTTTGCCGTTTGCGGCTCTTCAATGATTAGCTTAATGACCGGTCCTCGAGATAGCTCCAAGTATAAACAGGGGTACGAGCAAGATAATGGAGTTCCAGTGACGGACTATGTTCAGTCAATCTTCAAGTATCCAAGGCTTGCTTGCTCTTTCATTGTTTAAAAATCTATTTAAGTTTTTAAGAGAGGTTTTAAGACACTTTTTTTGGTTTGTTTTAAGAAAAGCATAGCCTTATAAACTTAACATTGTGTATATATGTATATTGCCTGGAAATATTAATAATTCCCTAAAAGGAATGATTACACTGACCTTTGGTTCACTCTAATACAATTTCTTGAGCAAACCTTAGCCAACTTTCAGGGTTATTCCTCCAGCCCCTGAAAACCATTTCAACTTTCAGTTTAGATTTCTTAAAGGTAACTTAATCTCGAATCCACCTGTCCAAGGTTGATCTAATCTTCAGTATAAACCGATTACGCTTGGGAAAAACTAATTACATCAAACTTTTGGTATTAGGGAAAACCCCAAGGCACGTGGTTTCAAAACCAATTTATTTACAGGAATCATAAAATGGGCAAATTATGAAATACGCTTTAGAGCTCAGCTAGCTGGGCATCGATCCAGGGCCTGAGATTGGCCACATTAGCATAGACACCAGGATAGTCGGCCAGGGCGCACTGGTTGCCCCAGGACACCACACCGTACAGCTGATCCCGGACAACCAGCGGTCCACCGGAGTCACCCTGGCAGGCATCCGCACCACCCACGCCCCGCTTGCCGGCACACAACATTTGCTCGGTGATGCGATAGGTCTCATCCCCAAAGTCCTCGTAATCCTGATCGCAAACCTCGTTGCTCACAATCGGCACATCGACGGCCAGGAGAATGTTGGAGGCCGAACCGCCGGAGGAGGTAGTGCCCCAGCCGCTGATCTTGCTTATGGCTCCCGGTAGCGGTGCCTCCGAAGCCAACTGAATGGGCTTGATGGTGAAGTTGTTCAGCGGCAGTGGAGGATCGAGGATGAGCAACGCCACATCGTTGTTGTAGGCCGCTCCCGAGAAGTATCCCTCGTGCATGATGATCTCCTTCACGGATGTGATGACGCCATCCGATCCTGTGCGATAATTGGAACCGGCCACCACCTTGTACTGACTGGCCACCGTCCCGATGACGCAGTGAGCCGCCGTTAACACCTTGTCACTGTCAATGATGGAACCACCGCAGCGATGCGAGTAGGCATTCTGCGGCGCGGTGATGCCTTGTATCTCAGCGAGATCTGATACGGAACCTGGGCAATATCGGTCACATAGCCACCAACGATGCGTCCATCGGGACCGTCGTTCTTAGCATCCTGACCTTCCTGGAGGGGCAGACCTCGGACCAGCAGGCAGCAGGCGAGGAAAGCGGATAGGTAAACCAACCAAGAACGCGACATGTCGAGGACTGAGGGCTAAAGCTGCTTGGACGATCATAATAAGGCTTATCTATCGGTCTACACCGCCTATAAAGACCATAAATTTTATTCTGGATACGCTCGGTCATTCGCAATAGCTAGTGATTACGCTTTATGGTAAATAACACTAAACAGCAAAGTTTGGAGATGGATTTTTTTGGTATATCTGAGAAGGTGTAGGTGTTTTTGTGTCCCTTTAAGAAGTTCCTTTAATTGGCTTGAAGGTTCATTGAGTTTTTGGATCTTTAATGTTCTAGAGATATCTTTAAAGGAGATTGTTCTTAATAGTGGAGAGTCCTTGGTTTAATTTTAAGGGTAATTAAGATTTAACTTTCTCTGGAATCTTAAAGAGAAATCTTGAGGATAAAACTCCCATGGTATATAGATTTCAGCTAATAGAGCAGACCTATTTTGAAAAGAATTTTAAAATTCAATAACTGGGACTGGGAATAAGATATTAGAAAAAAAAATCAAGGTTTATTGTTTTTATATCTCTCCAAGGTATTCTAATTTCAGTAAAAAGCTTATAACGCTGAAAGGAGTCATTTCCGACCCCATAAATCATATATATTCTTGATCAGAATTAAACGGCGAGTCGATCTAGCTATATTTTAAAGAAAATAAATTTTTTCAATTTTTGTCGATTTTTGTAAAAAATGATAAGGGGTTAATTAAAATTTCCGAAAAATGGCAAAAATTTTAGGTTTTAAACTGAGTATGCAGCTTTGTTAACCTCTTAAAAACTAACATAGGAAAGCAGTCCGAATTAAAATTAATGAATTTTTAGCTTAGTTATGAGTTTTTAAAACTTGGATTTGTCAACAAATTGTTATAGTCTTTACAGGACTAAAAACCTGAATAACTTAGCAGTTTAAGTTTATTTTTACCTCTAAATTTCTTAACTACATAGGCTCTGAACTTTACACCAATTACAGCCATAAAAAATATGTATGACTCTTTTATATATATCACAAATATTGATAACTGCAGTTTATTTGAAGAATTGGGTAGTAAAGGCAATGCAAACAGGAAATAAGCTAGACTGTTCAAGAAGCTACATTGTATTAAAAGTTAGTATTTATATGTAAACTTTATTCAATTTTTTAATATCATATGTGGAGAACGAGTTAAGTTAATCCCGTTTTCAGATACATAAATATACAAACAGCGGTTTATATTGATTTAAAATCGATTATTCCATTTAAAAACATAGATTATATTCCATCTGCATTAAGCTCCTGTCTGCTTGGCTATCCAGTCCTTGAAGTGGGCCACATTCGAGTAAACTCCCGGATAGTTGGGACGTGCACAACCCTCGCCCCAGGATACAATGCCAGTGAGCTTGCCATTTACGACCAGAGGTCCTCCGGAATCTCCTTGACAGGCATCCTTGCCGCCCTCTGGAACACCGGCACAGATCATGGCCTCAGTGATGGGTCGCCAGTTGTAGGCTTCCTGGCACTTGGCGGAGTCCACAATTGGAACCTTGACCTGCTGCAGCTGATTGGAGGAGCGACCACCCTCGGTGGTGTAACCCCAGCCACTAATGGTGGCCGTGGCACCCACTGTCGGTTCCTCGGCGGCCAGCTCAATGGCCTCCATGTCGTCGAAAGTGCCCAGGGGCAAGGATGGATTGATCTTTACCAGGGCTATGTCATTATCCATAGTGGTGGCGTTGTACAGTTCATGGGGTATCAGTTTCTCCACCCGCACCACAACGCCATTCATGGTGTCGCTATTATCTGATCCTGCTACGACCAGGAAGTTCTCCGCCAGCCGATTGTACACACAATGAGCGGCGGTAACAATAGTCTCCTTGTCCAGGATGCAGCCACCGCAGGTTTGGGCATAGGCACTGGTCGTGGAACTGCGTCTGCGCAGCTGCACCACATACTTTGTGTAGAAACTGGAGGTGTCTGCTCCACCCACAATCCTTCCATTGAGCTCTGTCTCGGGATGAGCTTCCACGCCGAGCAGTGGGAGCAGGAGCATTCCCGCGAAAATCGGTAGCAGAACTTTAATCATTTCGTTGTTCGATCAGTGACTAAATCGATTGTGTTTGGATGTCAGAAAATAGCGAGAAGCTTTGGCCATATCTTGGATTGGTCAATAAATTGTTTTAGGTCTAACGCGACCGATAAGATGGTCAATACAAAAGCGATGATAGGGATCGTTAAGCTTGAGAGTGACTAAGCGGAGAGGCAGTGTTTATGGGTGAGGTTTTTGGATCGATGTAAGGAACCATATAGAAAATATATCAAACATAGATATTTCTCATCTCAAAAATGATCTATAATTAGATTCATAGACCTCTTAGGCTTTCTTTTACACTCTAAAGGCTTTCCGAGAAAGCTTAAAACCTGTCACTAATATTTCATTTGTCTAAAATCCCCAAAACTATGCAGTAACCTCTATAACTTTTAATGAAGAAACAAATTAATCTTCCTAAATTAAACCCGAAAAGTTTAAAACATTTTACTTATTAAAAAACCCCAGAAGTATGCCCACTGATTATCGAATTTATTGCAATGTTTTGGCTTTCTCTAAGATCCATTCCCGCAAGCTTGGCACATCGGCATACACCCCAGGCAATCCGTCCAAGGCACAGGCATAACCCCAGGACACTATGCCCACCAGGGTGTTATTTCCCACCACCAAGGGACCACCGGAGTCACCCTGGCAGGCATCCTTCTTCTTCTCATAGGCACACACCATGCTCTTGTAGATGATATCGCCGTACTTATAGGCATCCGAGCCGCAGGTACGCCAGTCCACAATGCTCACATACACTTCCTGGAGCACCTTGGGCAGGGACATGCACCAGAAGTAGCACTTGGCACCCCACCCAGTGACCACAGCAGTGGTTCCCGTTTGCGGAGTCTCCTTGGCCAGTTCCACATAGCGAATGTCCTCGGTTTCCTGAACCTTTTCGGCCAGCTTTAGGATGCCCACGTCGTTCTCCATGGTTTGGGAGCTGTAGTTCTCGTTGTAGGTCAGATTGCGAACAGCCACCCGGATGCCACCCTCATTGTAGAGCGTGGAGCCAAGGCGGACAAACACCTTGGAGGCCTTCCTGCCCACCAGGCAATGGGCAGCCGTGACCACGGTCTCCTCGTCGAGCAAGCTGCCTCCGCAGAAATGGGAGCCACTCTTGGTCTGCAGCGAAACCTGGTAGGGATGGGCAGCGATCGTAGTGTCCTCGCCACCCACAATGCGACCTTCGTGCTCGAAGGGATCGCCCTGGGAAACCCCAATGGTTCCAGCCCAGGCGGAAGCCACAGCCAGACAGACTAGAGAGGCCAAAATTAATCCTCGCATTCTGTAGACAGAAAACTAAAGCATTCAATGTAGTTCAACCAGTATTTATAACCTTCTGCGAGGTCCAACGAGTGGACCATTGACAGCTGACACTATCGATGGGTCAATCTTTTGAGCCAGGGAATTAGCATACTCTGTGCCCCGAAGGCACTAGTACCCATCAACTCCATGATCCAGACAGCCTTATCAATCATTGTGTTCCTTATCGTGTCAGGGAAGTCTACACTTGAACAGGTGTTAATAGATATAGATGGCACATTCTCATGGGTGTCTTCGGGTTTCACTATGAGTATTGCGTAAGACACACCTCTATTATTTCTATTTAATAATTCCCAGGCCAAGGCCAGGTAATATCAGTTGTAGTGACCTGGAATTTTCATTTAATGTGTCATTAAAAAAACTATTAACCTAAAAGGAATAATATGCGTAACGTCCCTGTACTCAATGACTGGCTGGGTATACCCTTCGTCCATAAGTAAGGGGTGTCTTAAAACTACAATGGCGAATATCAACCGCAAATATCAATGAAGTTCAGGCACTTTCAATTAATTTTTAGATAACAAAATTTGTTTTCTAAACAACATTATCAGCCAGCAAAATATATAAGATTATTGCCCAAATTGTTGTTGCTTTCGACGTGGTAATCACTTTCGACCTCTTTCTTACTATCGATTCATAAAACGCAATTCTACAAGTCACGGTTCAGCCTGTAGAACATGCCATTTCCTTTGGCCGAAAAACTGATATCTGAAATCTGTGCAATCTTATCCTTAACGCCCTTCTTATATGTAGTAATTAATTTTAAGGCACCTGTCCCAGACCCATCAGCACCTCAACTTATCAATGGAGAAGATGGAGTGGAACTCTGACCACGCGATGCACTCGAAGCAACCAAAGATTAGATACATCGTAGCGTCTCAGGAAATGTTTACTCTTATGCCCCAAGCCACTTGAGACCGCTGAAAATCACTTTAAGTCATGCGAAATCATTTCAAATCATTCAAAATCATTTGATATCACGGAAGTGAGTACCCTTGAGCCCTTGAAAAGATATCTGGCAGTGACGTTGGACTGTGTGAGTGGTGTGATAGGGTTTACGGATGGGTGATCTATTATGTAATTTAAATTTTCAGAATATGAAACAAAATAAATCCACAATTTGCATCACACTTTGGTGTAGAATATTTCAAGACTTTCAGGTTGTGGAAAGACAATAAGTTCAGAATGTTACAAGGGTTTGGTATCGTCATATACCTATCTTCCCCTTGCTGTAATAAATCTTGATTTAATTAAACTTTCTCTAGTAGCTACGATTTCTAGAAGTTGAATACTTTAGACTTTATAAAAAATTTAAGAATGTTTAAACAAATGCCTAACCAGTTAGTGAAACTAAATGGGTATTTGGTTTAAAAAGTAAGGGGAATTAAATAAGATCCTATTAGGAAAATCCTATAAAATCTTTTCCCCAAGAACCTCTACTCCATCCAATACAAATTCAGATATTATGCTCTGTACTCCAAAGTTTTATTTAATGAAATTAGCATCCAAGACACGGACTAAGTGCTTAAACGCTGTTAGCGGCACTGACCACCCAGGAGCGAAGGACAGCCACATCGGCGTAGACACCGGGGTAGTTGGCATAGGCGCAACCGTATCCCCAGGAGACAACACCAACAAGGACGCCACCGGAGACCAGAGGGCCACCGGAATCACCCTGGCAGGAGTCCTTGCCGGCGGTGTAGGCACAGATCATGGTGGACCTGATCTGGCTGCCGTATCCGTAAGCGGAGGAAGCACACTGCGACTGGCTCACGATCTTCACGTTGACGTACCGCAGCTGGCTAGGGATGGAGCTAGAGCCGGAGGACTCTGTGCCCCAGCCGGAAACGGAGGCGGCGGCACCATTGGCCGGGTTGTAGGTGGCCAGACCGATGGCCTTAGCGGAGGAGCTGAAGGCAATGGAGGAGCTCAGACGGATCACGGCGATGTCGTTGACCATGGTGCTGGGGTTGTAGCCCTCGTGGTTGCGGAAAGCAGCCACGCTGATCAGGCTGCCGCCGGAGTTCCAGTAGCTGGATCCAGCGCGGACCTTCAGGGACGAGGCGGACACGGACTGCAGGCAGTGAGCGGCGGTCACAATGATTTTGGCGGAGTAGATGGAACCACCGCAGGAGTGGCCACCGTTACGCTGCAGAGAGATCTGCCACGGGAAGCTGGTGATGGTGGTAGCGGTACCTCCGACAATGCGGCCATCCAGCTGGGGCAGGAGACCCTCGGGGATGGTGCCTCCCAGGGCGCAGGCCACGGCGGACAACAGGATCACGATCTTAAGCATGGTGAGCTGTGCTGGTTAGTGCTTGCTTCCATGCCGCCGCAGGGAGCTTTTATACAAAAAATGGGGGTGTTATCTGTCCCAACCGTAAAGGGTTTAAACTACGGCGTAATTGGGACAAGAGGCAGGGGAACAAGAGAGACACACGAGTGCTATTCAATTGATTTTATTTCAAGTGATAAGAGCTTTGTTTTGCGCTCTTCACAGATCGCGGGCGGTATCCTCGATCCAGGAGTGGAAGTGGGCAACATCGGCATAGACTCCGGGGTAGCGGTCGTCAGCGCAGCCATAGCCCCAGGACACAACACCGACCAGGGTGTTGTCGGAGACCAGCGGGCCGCCGGAGTCACCCTGGCAGGCATCCTTGTGGGCAGCGTAGGCGCAGATCATGGTGTCCTTGATCTTGGAGCCATAGCCGAACTCGCTGGAGCGGCAATGCTCCACATCGACGATCTTTAGGTTCACGGCCAGGAGGTGGTCGGGAATGGTGCTGCCACCGGACTCGGTGGTGCCCCAGCCAGAGACAACGGCGGTGGCGCCCTCACGGGGATTTGAGTCGGCGATGCGGATCTCGCGGATGGTGGAGCGCAGGCTCAGGTTGGACTCCAGGCGGATGATGGCAATGTCGTTGACCATGGTGCGGGCGTTGTAGCCCTCGTGGTTGCGGAAGGAGCGGACGGAGTGCACACTGCCGCCGGAGCGCCAGTAGGTGCTGCCGACGCGCACCTTCAGGTCCTTGGCCTCAATCGACTGCAGGCAGTGGGCGGCGGTAATGACGATATCGTGGGAGTAGATGGAGCCGCCGCAGAAATGGGAGCCGGAGCGCTGCAGCGACACCTGGTAGGGGTGGGCCTCGATGGTGGTCTCATAGCCGCCGACGATGCGTCCGTCCAGCTGGGGGACCATGCCATCGGGAATGGTGCCGGCCAAGGCGCAGGCCAGAACGGAGAGAAGTACCGCGAATCGCAACATGTTAATCGGTTGTATGCTGATCCCCGGATCAGAAACCCTTATATACCTTCCTTCCCCGAGAGCGGTGATCCCCCTCGGAAAGTCTGGCATAAGTTGTGCGTCACGTTCGCTAAGATACGGCCCGTCAGCGATACTAGGAATCAATCAGCTTATCGCTCCACTCCACTCTACAGTCCACCCTAAGCGTTATCCAGCTCTGCCCGATGGGATCTCGCTGCCCCCGTCGCATGGAGAGATAGTGTGACCCCTATAAGAGCGAATCCCTCTTAGAGGTGGATTCATTGGATCCTTATCATGCTGAAGTTCGTGATCTTGTTGTCTGCTGTTGCCTGCGCCCTGGGAGGCACCATTCCCGAGGGTCTCCTGCCCCAGTTGGATGGGCGCATTGTTGGAGGTTACGATACCAGCATCACCACCTTCCCGTGGCAGATCTCTCTGCAGCGTAACGGTGGCCACTCTTGCGGTGGTTCCATCTACTCCTCTTACATCATTGTGACCGCCGCTCACTGCCTGCAGTCCGTGTCCGCCTCGTCCCTGAAGGTCCGCGCTGGATCCAGCTACTGGAACTCCGGCGGCACCCTGGTCAACGTGGCTGCTTTCCGCAACCACGAGGGCTACAACCCCAGCACCATGGTCAACGACATCGCCGTGATCCGTCTGAGCTCCTCCCTGGGCTTCACCTCCTCCATTAAGGCCATCGGCCTGGCCAACTACAACCCGGCCAATGGTGCACTCGCCACCGTTTCCGGCTGGGGCACTCAGTCCTCCGGCTCTAGCTCCATCCCCAGTCAGCTGCAGTACGTGAACCTGAGTATCGTGAGCCAGTCGCAGTGTGCTTCCGCCACCTACGGATACGGCAGCCAGATCAAGTCCACTATGATCTGTGCCTACGCCAACGGCAAGGACTCCTGCCAGGGTGATTCCGGTGGCCCTCTGGTCTCCGGTGCCGTCCTTGTTGGTGTTGTCTCCTGGGGCTACGGTTGCGCCTATCCCAACTACCCCGGTGTCTACGCCGATGTGGCTGTCCTTCGCCCCTGGGTGGTCAGTGCTGCTAATAGCGTTTAAATTAAACTTTGCGAATTAAATGGAACTCTCTGAACATAACTCTCTGGTGGCGTCTTTTTTGGGGGAATCAATCATGAACTATCTTGGTAAATTATAGTTAAAACAATTTAGAGAGGTTGTTAATAAATTGAACATATTTTAAATATTATTTGTATAGATATTAAAATATAATTCTTTTGAAAATATATCTTTAAAAGTAAGTTACATTAATTCATGTTTTGATATACGTTTGTATATTTCTTTATTTAAATTCACCTTTTGTCATTTACTTCTTGTTGTTTCGAAAACTAAGAGAGTTTGATATATATTATTACAACTTGAAGCTGGTAATCATGAAAATGCTCTGAATATAAATATTTTCTTGAAATCTTTTATTTAATATTCAGTTTTTATTAACTAATGGCTATCAATTAATCAGAGGATCTCACCTACAGCGAAATGGTAATAGGACTAATTCCTGTAAAACGTCATATTCCCTTTGATAGACATTATCGGTTCAGAAGAGCTCCCATTACTGATAAGAGTTATCTTCTTCCTAGATTGGTGGCCAAGCAGGGCACTACACTGGGAAAAATATTCTATATATTTAATTTCATATAGAACAAACTATTGTTTAAATAATAAAATAGGTTATATCCCTAAGCTAACCATCAATGAATAAACTTGATTATGAGACCCATCAGCATATCAAAAGTCCACATTTGAACTCTGAACTTTGCTAAGGTGTTATTTATACGTATTGCACAATTCTAACAGATATTGTATTAGAAAGCGTGCCTCTTCAAGCCCAATTTCTTATCACTATTTATTTTTTATAAATATTATTTTCGCGACACCTATCAATGAAGGATTATCTGCCTGCCATTTTTCGGGTTTCCCGAACGATAAAGATATGAAAATAATTGAAAATTCTGATTGGGTTGGACGGGTAGATAGGAACTCTGTATAAATAGGGTGCCAGGTTCAGTGGGAAGCTCATTGGATCCTCACCATGCTGAAGTTCGTGATCTTGTTGTCTGCTGTTGCCTGCGCCCTGGGAGGCACCATCCCCGAGGGTCTCCTGCCCCAGCTGGATGGCCGCATTGTCGGAGGTACCGCTACCACCATCACCAGCTTCCCGTGGCAGATCTCTCTGCAGCGTAGCGGTAGTCACTCCTGCGGTGGTTCCATCTACTCCTCTAACATCATTGTGACCGCCGCTCACTGCCTGCAGTCCGTGTCTGCTTCGTCCCTGAAGGTCCGCGCTGGATCCAGCAACTGGAACTCCGGCGGCACCCTAATCAACGTGGCTGCTTTCCGCAACCACGAGGGCTACAACCCCAGCACCATGGTCAATGACATCGCTGTGATCCGTCTGAGCTCCTCCATTGCCTTCAGCTCCTCCGCTAAGGCCATCAGCCTGGCCAGCTCCAACCCGGCCAATGGTGCCGCCGCCTCCGTTTCCGGCTGGGGCACTGAGTCCTCCGGCTCTAGCTCCATCCCTACCCAGCTGCGGTACGTCGACGTGAAGATCGTGAGCCAGGCGTCGTGTGCTTCCTCCACTTACGGGTACGGCAGCCAGATTAAGTCCAGCATGATCTGCGCCTACACCGTCGGCAAGGACTCCTGCCAGGGTGATTCCGGTGGCCCTCTGGTCTCCGGTGGCGTCCTTGTTGGTGTTGTCTCCTGGGGATACGGTTGCGCCTATGCCAACTACCCCGGTGTCTACGCCGATGTGGCTACCCTTCGCTCCTGGGTGGTCAGTGCCGCTAACAGCGTTTAAATTAAACTTTGCGAATTAAATGGAACTCTCTGAACATAACTCTTTGGTGGCATTTTTATTTGGGGAATCAATCATGATTTATCTTGGTAAATTATAGTTAAAACAATTTAGAGAGGTTGTTAGTAAATTTAAAATATTTAAAATATTATTTGTAAAGATATTAAAATATAATTCTGATGAAAAGATATCTTTAATAGTAAGTTACTTTAATTCATGTTTTGATATACGTTTGTATATTTCTTTATTTAAATTCACCTTTTGTCATTTACTTCTTGTAGTTTCGAAAACTAAGAGAGTTTGATATATATTATTACAACTTGAAGCTGGTAATCATAAAAATGCTCTAAATAAAAATATTTTCTTGAAATATTTTATTTAATTTTCAGTTTTTATTAACTTATAGCTTTCAATTAACCAGAGGATCTCACCTACAGCGAAATGGTAATAGGACCAATTCCTGTAAAACGTCATATCCCCTTTGAGAGACATGATCGGTTCAGAAGAGCTCCCATTACTGATAAGAGTTATCTTTTTCCTAGATTCCTCACGAGTGCCTGATTATTGGGGGCATTGTCATTCAATTTGGTTTTCGTTTGAACTTTGCCAATTCTTAAATTAATTATCATTCCACCGTCCGTTGGTGTGTCGAAACTTAAGTGAATCAGCAATGATTTCGAGGATGGGATAACGTTTTTGGAGGTGGTAGTATTCCATATGGGCTTAAGCTGGTATCAGCAGACAACCAGATCTAGCCACGTTTCTATGGTTGAAAGCCCTCGGAAATTCCTGACTTACGTTGTTTAGAGTGTTATAAAGATCAATCGTAATACATACCATAGCCACCATTAATATATAAATGAAACATCATCGATGTTAAAGGTTAGTAAATCTAATACTAAAAAATTTTGATATTGAAAATGAATTATTTATGAGTTTTATAACTTTTTGAAAGTTTAGAAGACAGTGAAGAAGACATTTCCGACTCTATATATCATATATATTCTTGATTAGGATCAACAGCTGAATCGATCTAGCCATGTCCGGTGGAAAATAATTTTTTCGAAATTTTTTTCCAAATTTCATAATTATATAGGGGGTAACATCGTAAAATTTGTAAAAATTGTACAAAAAATTAAAATTTTTACATTTTTAAACTCAGTACGCAGTAAAAATCTTATTAAAACTAGCACAGAAATGCTTTTCGAATTGAAATTAATGCATTTTTTGCTTAGTTTGAATATTTGAAAAACTTTGATTTATCCAAATAATTAGCATATAAAAATATATATTAATATTATATTATAGAAGTAACATATTTAAGGTTTCCTTGCATGTACACATAATTATATTATTAAGATCTTTAATTAATTAATCATTCAGTAAATTTTACATTTCATAAGAATTTCACTACTTTATTTCCCTAGAACTTACAGTACTTATTCATTTATTAGTTTACTTTATTTATAGTGATTTATTCTTATGTGAATTAATGATTTTTATTTTTTTAATATTAGTACCCCCATTTCCTACGCTCACATATGTATTTCAGGAACGGCTACTACTCAACGCCTGAGATTTTATCTGAACTTGTGGCTCACAGCTTTTTTTAGATCAACTTCAACGGACACTACGCCCACTTGATTATTTCTGGTGGCCAAGCAGGGCACTACACTGGGAAAAATATTCTATATATTTAATTTCATATAGAACAAACTATTGTTAAAATAATAAAATAGGTTATATCCCTAAGCTAACCATCAATGAATAAACTTGATTATGAGACCCATCAGCATATCAAAAGTCCACATTTGAACTCTGAACTTTGCTAAGGTGTTATTTATACGTATTGCACAATTCTAACAGATATTGTATTAGAAAGCGTGCCTCTTCAAGCCCAATTTCTTATCACTATTTATTTTTTATAAATATTATTTTCGCGACACCTATCAATGAAGGATTATCTGCCTGCCATTTTTCGGGTTTCCCGAACGATAAAGATATGAAAATAATTGAAAATTCTGATTGGGTTGGACGGGTAGATAGGAACTCTGTATAAATAGGGTGCCAGGTTCAGTGGGAAGCTCATTGGATCCTCACCATGCTGAAGTTCGTGATCTTGTTGTCTGCTGTTGCCTGCGCCCTGGGAGGCACCATCCCCGAGGGTCTCCTGCCCCAGCTGGATGGCCGCATTGTCGGAGGTACCGCTACCACCATCACCAGCTTCCCGTGGCAGATCTCTCTGCAGCGTAGCGGTAGTCACTCCTGCGGTGGTTCCATCTACTCCTCTAACATCATTGTGACAGCCGCCCATTGCCTGCAGTCCGTGTCCGCCTCGTCCCTGCGGATCCGCGCTGGATCCAGCTACTGGAACTCCGGCGGCACCGTGATCAGCGTGGCTGCTTTCCGCAACCACGAGGGCTACAACCCCAGCACCATGGTCAATGACATCGCTGTGATCCGTCTGAGCTCCTCCATTGCCTTCAGCTCCTCCGCTAAGGCCATCAGCCTGGCCAGCTCCAACCCGGCCAATGGTGCCGCCGCCTCCGTTTCCGGCTGGGGCACTGAGTCCTCCGGCTCTAGCTCCACCCCTACCCAGCTGCGGTACGTCGACGTGAAGATCGTGAGCCAGGCGTCGTGTGCTTCCTCCACTTACGGATACGGCAGCCAGATCAAGTCCACCATGATCTGTGCCTACACCGTCGGCAAGGATGCCTGCCAGGGTGATTCCGGTGGCCCTCTGGTCTCCGGTGGCGTCCTTGTTGGTGTTGTCTCCTGGGGATACGGTTGCGCCTATGCCAGCTACCCCGGTGTCTACGCCGATGTGGCTACCCTTCGCTCCTGGGTGGTCAGTGCTGCTAACAGCGTTTAAACGAAACTTTGGGAAATAAATCGAACTCTGAACATAACTCTCTGGTGGCATCTTTGGGCAGCTTTTGGCTCAACATCAAACATAATAGATAATTATTTTGGAACAATCGATGGAGTCGTTCATGTGCCATCCATCTGCCTTTAGAGGAAGAAAACTATCCTGGATCTCGGGAAAAGAAATATTTGTATATCCAGTACCCGTAGGGAGTGAGGCTATTATAATTTAAAGATAAAAGAGAATGTATGTTACAGCCTAAAGAAGCCATCGCTGGCCCAATACAATATACATATATGTTCTTGATCAAAATCACCAATAGACCCACTTTCGCCTCAAAAATAATAAAGAGCCATAATTAAGCTCTATATGTATATGGAATTCGGAATTTGAATGGATGCGATCGTTTCCTTTTTAAATAGATTCGGAGTTCGGAGATTTGGAGTTGTTAGACAATAGTTTCCTAGCAAAATTTGTCTTCCTTTAGTTCTTGCGCAACATGTTCCTAGCAATTGTCAACATTTTCTCCATAAATTTGAGCATAATTAGGCAAAGTAATTAATAAATTTTCCTTTTAATTTTACACACTTAACTACAACTTCCGCGGTGTTTACGCCGATGTGGCTTTCCTTCGCTCCTGGGTGACCACCGCCGCTGGCAGCATTTACAAACAAAACTTTCTAAACATAACTCTCTAATGGCGTCTTTATTTGGGGTAATCAGCAATCACGGGCGGCCGAGTTCCACAGTCTGTTCTTTGTGTTGGCATTGGCCTTGTCACTTCTGGTCACTGGACGAAGATGAGCCGCGTCCACCACGTCCCTATAAGTGCGCAAGTTACTTGGGATGTCTGATGCTAAAAGTGACTTTGGTAATGCTTACTTGAATTCCTCATAGCTCTGGGTATTATACACGGCTCTCAGCTTGGCATCGTTGCGTAGCTGGTAGAGTTCACCGTCACGGATGCACTGCAGACAGCTCTCCCGCAGCCGGATAATTTCCTCCGGAGTTATCTTCCACTCCTCCATAATGCACAATAATACTGCGATTGTTGCTGTTGATTTTCGATTTGAGTTTCGTTGCCTGGGTAACTGTTTGGCGTTTCTATAGCCGGGTGAGAAGTGTAGAACAGGCTAAAGCTACTTGATAGAGTCGATTGCTGGCGATAAGCTCCCATTAGCCGGTGATTAACTTTTACTGCCCTTCGAGGCGACTCGCCATGTATGGCTTTCATGCTCAGCGGCTGGCAGTTTGTACTTGGCTTTCGGAATGACTGTTTATAAAGTAGTGTTCTTCCTCCTTTTCCTTGGATGGGCGGCAACGGCAACACCTGTCGAGACCAATGGCCGAATTGTGGGCGGACAGGATCAGGTTATTCGGAACGCTCCTTGGCAGGTGTCCATCCAGATCAGTGCGCGTCACGAATGCGGTGGCGTTCTCTACAGCAAGGAGATTGTCATCACCGCCGCCCACTGTTTGCATGAGAAATCCGTGACTCTGATGAAGGTGCGCGTTGGTGCGGAGCACCACAACTACGGGGGTACCTTGGTGCCCGTGGCGGCTTACAAAGTTCACGAGCAGTTCGAGACCCGCTTCCTGCATTACGACATTGCGGTGTTGCGTTTGTCCACACCCCTCACCTTTGGCTTCTCCATCAGAGCCATAAACCTTGCCAGAGAGAGTCCTGCAAGTGGAACGACTGCCACGGTCACGGGCTGGGGCTACACGGAGATAGGAGCCCTTTCTGATAGCCTCCAAACGGTTAAGCTGTCGATCATCGATCGTGGAGAGTGCGCCTCGGAAAAATATGGATACGGCTGGGATTTTGTCGGCGAGGAAACCATTTGTACCACCAACACCGTGAATGGAGGCGGGGATGCCTGTACCGGAGACTCAGGCGGTCCTCTGGTGGCCAATCACCTGCTGGTGGGCATTGTATCCTGGGGTTACAAGTGCGCCGATGTCAACTACCCCGGTGTCTATGCCGATGTGGCGGTGCTGCGGCCCTGGATAGTTAAGGCCGCCAATGCCATATAGAGCAATTTGAGAGAATAAAAGAAAAGCATATTTAATTTTGAAAATTAAAAATAAAAGCAGAATCAAATTATTTGGAAATCGCCCCCAGGTGGAATCGAACCACTTCGACGCTAATCGACTACGGATTTGAAGTCCGCACCCCGGACCACCGAAGCTCAGTGGGGCAAAATACAATACAAACGTTCTCCTATTTAAATGCACTCTCTGCTGAACAAAAACTTGGGAATTATAGGAGCACTCAACGAAAAGATTTCGGTTTTCCCACAAGATATCATAAGATAACTTGTGTAAAAGGGAAAGAGCATTTTATCTATCTTAATGATGGTACACTTCCACTAGATGCTGAAAGGAAATCATTATAGAGTATATTAATAATAATACCTATTTGTTAGTAACTTAATTTCAGGTTTCATACCTACAAACAGGTTTTTTATTACAAAATATCAACTTGAAAAAATCAGCAAAATTCATTTATGGAATGCAGTCGCAAAATGAAGTATATAAAGTATATATATAAATCAAATACCGTTAAGAAAGTTGAGGAGAATATTTCAGCAAAAGATCAAGGTTTTGGGTTAAGGTATTAACCAGTCGCATCACTTGCGTGGCTGCTGGATGTGGTTGAGGGGCTTCTGCTGCACAGCAGCCGGCGGTTTGTGCGAATGGGCCACCTGGGCGGAGGCGGGCGTAAAGTCCGTGTTGCCCTTAACGGGAGCACCGCTCACCGAGCCGGAGTTCACGGCAACGGGTTGCTATTAGGGATCGAACGAATGGTGAATATTTGAATGGAATAAAACACTCCTATGAGGACTCACTGTAAGTCCAGTGCAATCCTCGGCATCCTTGGGCGCACGCTCGGCTGTAGGCGCCTTATGCTGCACAATTCTCATGCCGCCCGCCTTCGCTGTAAAGTCGAAAGAAAACCCAATTAGAAGTCGAACTGCATCTGACGTCAGCATAAAAGTCGAAATCTTTTTTTTTTCTTGGACGCAATAGATGTACGCCTTTCTGGGTGTGTGTATGTGTGTGCGAGCCCGGGTTGTTTGTTTACTTATCAGCTTTGGCCGAAACAGGTTAAAATACTGATAAGGCGGTAGATATTGTGGCCATTGATACGAATTGCTGCATTATTAATTGCCAGCAAGGCATTTATGTACACTTCCAGCCTTCCAATTCATTTCGACAAAAACAAAAACGGGCCGCCGAGCACGCACACACGCATACCAATGCAAAAAGTGCACTTACTTGCAGGTGGGTGGCCAGCCACAAGATTCGGTTGCTCGTCAGCCATTTTCTCTTAGTTTTTTTATAGGCTATTGAAGAAAAACCACTGTTGAATTAATAAATAACAACTACTGAATTCTGGACACTTACCGCTTGCTTTTGTTGTAAATAAATGCCGCTGTTTTGCTTTTGCGTTCTAATTGTGACACGTCCGACTGTTGCAACTATATCGATATGTATCGATAGCAATAAGAAAAGCTGCCAGACTTCCCAATAAGGCAAACATTTTCAAGCAACGATTTCAAAATATTTAGATTTTCATGTCCGTCAAATAAGCGTCCATGGGTTAGCGTCGAAATGCAACGGTGGGAAGATATATTTTAATTTATTTCGTAATTAAGGCACTAATTCGAATAAATTAAAGTTTTTAAATGCTAAAATATGAAGTTACTATTGCTTTTACTAGGTTTGAAAGTACATATGCGCGATATATATGCTTACTAGGGGAAGATTAACGAATACTTGGTGAAAATTTCAATTGATTTTAACCGTCAGATTTCGAGAAAATCAAAAAACAGTGGGTGGTTTATACGGGCTAATAGCTAAGGCGCGAACTACGAAAATGGAACCAAATGGGAATCAGCAGAGAACCACTCGCTGAACCAGACCATGGAACCATGATAAGAAAAATACTAAATTTAATAAAAATAGCAAATTGTTGAATAAAACATTAAGAAAAGTATAAATAAACGGAAACGCCATTCGAATCAATTTGGTGGGACTTTCATCTAAACCAGGGAAAATTACCTATTTCGTTCTTTTTCGATTATTTTAGTATATACCACGGCTGAATGTTTTGCACCTCCCCGACAAGCAAAATCGGCGCTAACTTTTTAAAAATTCGGAAATGTGTGCCCCATGAATGGAATTGACATTTCAAGCATTTTGGTAGATGTTTCATCAAAATCCGTTCAGCCGTTCAAGAGAAAACATCACTTTTTCATTTATTTCCATAAATGTTTCTATAAATATATCTGGCAGCACTGTCTGCCTAAAATTAAGTCAAATTGATTTAAACTTATAATAAAACTTATGCAAAATGAAGATCCTAACATTAACGGGATCGCAATTCTGAACATTTTGATCCACGTTTCATCAAAATCCGTTCAGTCGTTTATAAGGAATCACGACTTTTGTATTTATTTTCATTTATGTACCGGTGAAATATAAACATGTCCGGCAGCCCTGCCTGCCTAAAAACAAGAAAAGTTGATTTAAACTTTATGGTTAAACCTATGCAAAAGGAAGATTGTCCCATAGACGGCATCGAAGTTCTAAACAATTTGATATATGTTTCATCAAAATCCGTTCAGCCGTTAATGAGAAAACTCGACTTTTTCATTTTTTGCCGTAAATGTATGCATATGTGTATGTTCGAGGAAGAATATTAAATAAAAGATTGTGAAATAAACTTAATGGTAGGATGTATGTTTGCACAATGGAATATACGGCATTGTAGATCTGAACATTTTAAACTATTATATACTAGTAAAAGTGTATAGAAGACTGACTGCAGTGTTATTTATATAGCTTTAAATATGAGGGTCTAGTTTGCTTATAATTGGATGGACAGACAGATGGACATTGCTAGATAGACTCGACTGTTGATTCTGATCAAGAATATATATACTTTATACGGTCGGAAATAATTTATTCTCTGCGTTGCAAATTTTTGACCTGAAATCATATTACAAAGCAAGGGCATTGAAGCACTAGATTTGAGAAGCAAATTTTCGAAATAACATTTAAAAGTCTGCCCAATCAATGATATTGTTATTCTAAGCAATTTGGTATGTGTTTTATCGAAATCCGTTCAGTCGTTTTCGAGAAATTAACATTTGAATTACTAATTTATATACAAAGGAGGCATGACTATGCACCCCTGGTACCCAACTGCACTAAATAAAAAGACGGAATTTCTCATTAACGACTGAACGGATTTTGATGAAACATAGATCAAAATGTTCAGAACTGCGATGCCGTCTACAGGACAGTCTTCCTTTTGCATAAGTTTAACCATAAAGTTTAAATCAACTTTTCTTGTTTTTAGGCGGGCAGGGCTGCCGGATATACATTTATATTTCACCAGTACATAAAGGGAAATAAATGAAAACTTCGGGATTTCTTATAAACGACTGAACGGATTTTGATGAAACGTGGATCAAAATGTTCAGAATTGCGATCCCGTTAATGTTACGATCTTCATTTTGCAAAAGTTTTATTATAAAGTTTAAATCAATTTGACTTAATTTTAGGCAGACAGTGCTGCCAGATATATTTATAGGACCATTTATGGAAATAAATGAAAAAGTGATATTTTCTCTTGAACGGCTGAACGGATTTTGATGAAACATCTACCAAAATGCTTGTAATGTGAATTCCATTCATGGGGCATGCATTTTGTATGCATTTTTATTAATTGGTCAATAGGAGAATTTTCTGGCGGGCTATCGATTTTGCTTGTCGGTGAGGGACATAATCATTGAGCCCTGGTATATACTAAAATACACAACTTCTTTGTTTTTGGTTTAATCCGAAATGTAGAGCATTCGCTGATCTTTGATATTTATAGGAAAATCAGTTGACTGATTCTTTAACAATTACTGGCAAACATTATCCAACAATGTTTTTTTTTTTTTGTACTATTTTTACATGGTAGGTAACAATGTTTTTTTTTTTTTGTACTATTTTTACATGGTAGGTAACATTGGTATTTTAAGAGAAAATTGTTTCATGTCCGCTACCCCAAATGGTTTTAAATATAATATAAATATAAATGAATTGCTTATGCATCATTCTATGTATATTTATCGTTATTCGTAACCATAACTTGTTAAATAATAGACCTAACTAAATAATAATAATCACTACAACTATCAATCAGCCTGCGAAATATTCTGTGCGGCGCTAATCAGAGTATCGTGTATGTCCTTCGCCGACTGCACATGGACCCGTACAGTATTCAGATAGGTAGGGTACGGAATGGGTCCAGCATTCTCCGGCATGAAGCTCTCCATGCGCATGGGCGTCACCGGGCCGGGCAGGTAATGGTTGGACGAATTCTGCTGCTGCAGGCACTGCATTGCCGTCTTCAAATGGATCTCGATCTGGTCGCAGCAGGCGTAGAAGTCCTCCAGATGCTTGTCGAAGCGCGGTACGTGGGCTCCGGTGTCCCGCTTCAGGTTATCCGCCAGATTGTTCTGCTGCAGCGTAAAGGCACTGGATCGGATGGTGAGGAACATGGACTCCCTCAGTGGTCCGAGCAAGGTCTTCACCCTGGAAATGTTGTCTAGTTTCTCGGCCTGCATTGGCTGCGGTTGTTGTTGTTGCTGGTGTTGCACAGGAACCGGCGGTCCGGAGGGCGAGGCCTGCATTTGCACTTGCATCATCTGCGGTCCTGCCATCGGCATCATGTTCATGTTGGGATTCATTATTCGCTTGCACTTCGAAAATCAAACAATTTACACATCAATGTTGCTTGGGTTTTTCTTTTTTTTCGCAGAAGACGATATCGATATATATTTGCATATCGATAACAGGCGACTGCCAGAACCAGTGATGCCAATTTTGGTAAAAAAAATTACTGTATGCGACAGGCAAAGTGTGGCTAACAAGTCTATAGATTCTGAAAAACAATCATTAGTTTTTCTATATATGTTTTGCGATTTAAAAAAATAACATAATCTTTAGTGTTCACAGTAATTTTAAAATTGGAAAAAAAAAATTTAAGAATAAAAAGCAGCTACAAATTTCAGGAAAATGTCCAATTAGGCAACACTGACTCAGAACAGCTGTGGCGCCTAAAACACATTTTTCTATTAGAATTATCCAGGCGCAGGGCGCGTTGCTAAATCCGTAAGAAAGTGAATAAACGCCATGACCAGGTGAGTAGTGTAGTGTCCCCTGCAGGAAAAGTGCCAGCCCAGGCGCTGCTGCGGGGTATCATAACCTAAAACTAAAACTGGCGCTTGGTTGCACTTGTACCCTTGTACCCCCACCCGCAGGAACAGCATCGAACTGGGCGATGTGACGCCGCATAACATCAAGCAGCTGAAGAAGCTCAATACGGTTGTCTTTCCGGTCTCCTACAACGACAAGTTCTACGTGGATGTCCTGGAAGCCGGCGAGTTGGCCAAATTGGCCTATTACAATGACATTGTTGTCGGCGCCGTCTGCTGTCGGGTTGATACGACAGAGAACCAGCGTCGTCTTTATATCATGACCCTGGGATGCCTATCACCGTATCGTCGCCTGGGCATCGGAACCGTTATGTTCGAGCACATCCTGAACTTTGCCGAAAAGGATGGAAACTTTGATAGCATTTTTCTGTAAGAATTCATTGAGAAATATGCCTTATATGCCTTTCTTTAATAATATTATTAGAGAAAAGGTTTTCTTTTATTATTAATGCCTTTGCTATGAGTTTTTTTAATGCGAGAATTCGCCTAATGTGTTCTATTAATAGTTAAAAGTTGATCAAGAAATTTAAATAATTTATATATATAGACAGATATAGAGGTATTTATAATATCAAAGCAGATTATTTAGTTAAAACTACGAAAATGTCTTGAAATTCATTTACCTAAAACAATAATTCCATATCTTTAAGAAAATACAAACTAATTGCATTTATTTCCAATTTGATAGGCACGTCCAAATCAACAATGATGGAGCCATCGAGTTCTACAAGAAATTCGGCTTCGAGATTGTTGACACCAAGGAGCAGTACTATAAGCGTATCGAGCCAGCGGACGCCCATGTCCTGCAGAAGGCTCTGCGACGAACTGCCGCCGCAACCAATGCGAACAACTCCGCCAACAGCAACAACACCTCCAATTCCAATGCCCGCAGTAAAGCACGCCAGTTCACGTTTGTGTAAGAGGATAACAAGTTTCGAATTCAAATGGTGTGACAGCGACATGGAAAGAGGCGGCCAAAACGATGTATTCAATTAGTCCGATCATATCTATGTGTAATCAATATTAATGAACCACCCCTGCGAGGGAATAAATAGCTCTGTACGGCTCTCTGGCCAGTCCAAATTCAAAAAGGTTCCAACCACACACCAGAGGATGCATCACGACGACGGCTTTGTCTACTGCTATGGAAATCTGTACGGCCTGCTGCTGTACTGGGGATTGGTCACATTTCGGGTACAGAGCCCTGTCCAAGGCGGAGCCGCCTCAACCCGGTGGACAGTGGTGTATGCCCTGTTAACTCGCCTTCTGGTGGTATCCTGCTTCCTGGGCAGCGTTTTTGTTAAGCTGAGGGATCCAGAGATGGCGGCTGCCATGTTTAGTCACCTCACGCCGCTGGTTAAGGCTATCTTTACGTGGGAGTGCCTCAGCTGCTCCATAACCTACGTGGAGTACTGTCTGTCGATGGATGCGCAGAGGTGCAGGCACCTGCGTCTAGTCGCCGCCCTGCAAGGGTTCGATCGGGACGTATCGCAGCAGTTTCCTCGGGTTAAGTGGAACTACCAACGCACCCGATGGAAGTATTGGTATGGCACCGTAATCGTGGGCTTCTGTTTCTTTTCTTTCACCATTTCGCTGATCTTTGACACGGTGCGTTGCACCTGCGGCATCCCGTCCACCTTGCTGATGGCCTTCACCTACACCCTGCTGACCGGTTCCGTTGGACTAGTGGGATTCGTTCACATTGCCATCATGGACTTTGTGCGTTTGCGCATGAGACTGATACAGAAGCTACTGCAGCAACTGTATCAAGAGGGCAACGGTGCCAGCCAGCGGGAACTGCACGATCGGATTGCCCACCTGTTTGTGATGTCCAAGCGCTGCTCCTCCCTTCTCGCGGAGCTAAATGGTGTGTTTGGATTTGCCGCTGCCGCCGGTATCTTCTACGACTTCACTATTATGACCTGCTTTGTGTACGTCATCTGCCAAAAGCTGCTCAGCCGGGAGTCCTGGGACCTGGAATATACTTTCATGCTGCTCCATGTGTCCATACATTCATATAAGGTGATCATCACCAGCGCCTACGGTTATTTGCTGCAACGAGAGGTAGGTTTGGCTGGATATGCAGGACTGAGCTAAATGGTTTCTACGCCTCAACAGAAGCGCAATTGTCTACACATGCTAGGCAACTATGCAAGCCACTTTCCTGGTCATGATATGGCCCGGTTGCAGACGGAAGACTTCCAGCACTGGCGCATGCACAATCGGCAGGCGGCTCTGGTGGGCAGTAGTATTCACTTGAATATATCTACTATTTACCTGGTAAGAGGAAAACAGGGAAATCTAGCCGAGATTTGGCGCCAAGTTTCATCTTCATACTCCTGGCAGGTATACAATGGCATGGCGAACTATGTGATAATCCTGGTGCAGTTACTATTCCAGCAGCTACAGATCAAGGAGCGTCAGCAAAACTTGCCCAGGGATGTGGACATTGTGGGTCATATTGGGTCTATTACTCACATGGACTAAAGACAAAAATATTAGATTAAACTATTTAAAAATTATATGATTAAGTGAGTAACCCTTGCAAGAGTATTATGATTGCAGTCAGAAGCTCGAAACGAATTAAAATTTATGCATTTTTGGCAAAGTTATGAGATTTTTAAACTTTAATCTGGGGGAAAAAATTGTCATATAAAAATATAGATAAATACATTTGTTCAAAGCCTGGTATTATAAATTTCCACCAGAAGCTTATAATGTAGTCAAGGAGTCATTTCCGGTCCTATAAATTATATATATTCTTGATCAGCAATAAAAGGCGAGTCGATTTTTCTATATTTTATAAAAAAGAAAAGAAAATGACTCGGCTAGCCGGTGAATTTATTGCTATCAAATGACAATTAAAATATATCTTATTATTCTAATGTTTTTGATTAGGATTTTTGGAATTTTATTGTCAATGAGAATGTTAATTAAACATAGTATTGGGGTAATTTTTTATTCATCCCCAACGAAGTGCCAGTTGCAGCGCCCAAAAGAAAGATTCTCTTGATGTGGATAAGTCTTAAGTGTCATGTAAGCTTCGTTCAAAACTTTCGCGTATTCAGCGAGCTGATGTGGTTTAAAGTTAAATAGAAGATTTAGCTCCTCATATGAGTAGTAAAGTAGGAAGTTCTTCTCGAAGGCGTCGCACAGATCATCGAGCAGCTGCAAGGAGAAGTGGTTTTTACTCATAATATTACTAGTTAACGTTTGTTAACTACTTACATCCAGAAAGATATCTTCTAACGAATATTCTTCAATATCTTCGCTATCCATTAACCACAAGGCCAAAGACACTAGATGGTAAAAGCGAATCTTGGGTAGGCCTTTCGATTCGCATAGCGCTTTTAGCAGGATCACTGCATCTTGGATCATCACACCACCCCCATTGAATAGATCAAGTTCCTCTGGAATATTGTGTACCATGAAGGTACATCCGCTGGAGCGCTTCGGTCCTGGCATAGACTTAGGCACAACCTGAAGGTCAATACCCTCAAATAGGACCTTAATAGCCGGCACAAAGTCAATGGAGAACTGACGGTTCTCCGATGTTGCAGTTATGGTATAACAATTCTTGCGGCGCTCGCAATGTAGGCGGTATGCATAACGCCTATTATTGACCCATATTAGGCGGTCGTGGAGATCACTTAGGATACTATCCATCCAATTACGAACTCCCTTGCGCTTCAGATACCAGCGATGGTCCAACAGCGTGTCCTCTACGAAGTTGTGCGAGTCCAGTTGTTTGAAGCACAAATGCACCATTCCGGGACGATGTTGATCCGGTCGCACAAGGATTTGCTCGTAGTTGGGGAACTCCAACTCGATCATAACGTCGTACTCGTCGTTGTCGTACATTCGGACTTCGTGGGCGGCGCTTCCTTCAGTTTATAAAATCAACCGTCAATATCGGTAATAAACATTTTATCAACATTAGGAATGCACAACTCACCAAAGATTAAGAATCGTGGATGGCAAATAGATCTTAGCAAACTATTACCCTTTACGGTTATCATTACAAAATCTAGGACTTCATAGAAATCGTCATGATCACCAGGCGCTTTAAGATCTTCAGCTATGTCAAGCAAGTAATCTTCAAAAACGGAACTCATATTGTTGTCTGCAATTGTTCAAATATTTAATATCATTACACGCTTACGGGGAAAGCTTGAGAGTTAATCAATGAGGTCAAACTTTATTGTTGCAATATGCCAAATAATGTTGGGTCTATGCAGAAACTATTCCTGAATGGGGCAGCATGTGAGAATGATTTTTGGGGTCAGGTGCATATGTACATATGTAAGTAAATATGTACGTATTTGGTGCAGATTGCATCAAAACTCCGTTAGGCGGCCAACAACATATAAAAACCTCCTACATTATGTACAACTCACACTTTGACCGTGTATATTATATATATGCCTAGCTGTATATGTATATAGGCATTTGTATGTACATATGTACATACATATGTGCACACGCAAAGCGCTCGCTCGCCTACTCCGCAGTCCGGACATCGTTTATCGATTTGCGAAAGGCAGCAGCAGCAGCAGCAGCAGCAGCGGCAGCAGCAACATCCACACCAAACAACACAGCAACCGAGCTCCACCAGCGGCGGTAGGCCGCTCTCCCCGCTCCAGTTCGCTGGCATAGAGCAATCCCCTCCCTTCCACCCACCAACACCACCCGGTCGCCTCCCTTTTCCTCTCGTTTTGCGGCAGCCATACGCACACACTGACAGCTATACGTACACACAGATACATATAGACAGGCCTTCGCCGCCGAACGCCAAAAGCGCCCAGCGAACCCCACTCTATGCCCCTTCAAGCCCGCCCTCTATTCAACGAAATGTTGTTGTTGTTGTCGTGCTCTGTTGTTGCTGCTGCTGCTGCTGTTTGGGGGCTGGCAATGATGATGACGATGATGGCGAATGGCAATGATGATGATGATGTTTGGAACTGGCAAACCGGGAGCTATGCGAATGTGTGTGTGTGTGTGTGTTCGAGAAAGAGGAAGACAGAGAAGCGGGGGCAGCCGGCCGCCAGGACTTGGGCAGGCGGTGAGTGGGCGGGAGAGAAAAGCGAAAAAATACTTATAATAAAAGCAACAAAAAACCCGCACAAGCTGAAGAGATACAAACATACAAGCACACGCAGCCAAAGCACAAGCATATACATACGTACATACATACATACATACATATATAAACAGGCGCCGCCGCCGTCGTCGTTGTCGTCGTCGCCTTGCTATTAGTATACCCGTGTGTTTGTGTGTTAGTTTGGGGCCGTCGCCATACCTCGCTCCAACCTACCGTACCTCCCCACCGCACTGACTGCTCTGCTGTTGCTTCTTCTTCTCGCAGCGGCGCGGTAAACCCGTGTCAATGGGGGCGTGGCGGGAGGCTTGAGGAGGTAGGTAGCCTGACTGGTCGTAGGTTCGCAGGCAACAAAAACAACTTGGCGGAAAGGCAAAAGAGTCGCAACCAGAACAACAACAATAACAAGCTCCAAGGAGTGCGAAACAGAGCTTAGGGGGGCGCAAGGCAGCGGTGGGGCAGAACGAGACGGATCGATGTAGCCACTTCTTGGCTGGGCCTGGCATCCCCATATCTCTTCTTCCTCTCTCTCTCACCCAGCTATCTCCTTCGTATGCTGTCCCCTAGCGGTATAATGTTTCACTCTCTCTTTCCCACGAGTGATAAGGATTAGCTGGCGATCTTGGTCTCTCTGTTTTTGCCTTTCAACTCTCACTCTCTTTCGGTCAGCCATCCTTTCGATATTTCGCTGATATATTGTATCTTCGATTTTCATTGTGCCTTCGGCCATTTCCCTATGACCTTGAACTTCGCTGCCTCAGCACGTGATAATGCAGACGGGTGCAACAGTTTCCTCAGTGCAAATTGCATTTAAGAGCTGATTTCATAGCTCTTGCAGCAGAATAGTGCGGGTGTTCAAGGGACAGAAACAGCAGCAGCATCGCAATTCTGTCGCATGCACAAATATATATGTACGTACATATAGAAAAAGTACAAGCATACAAGGCACTATGGTGCAACTAGCAACAAAAACAACATACGGCCAGAGCTCGAGTGTTGTTTCTTTTTTTGTTGCTTTTTGCCTGGTGGGCGGTTAACGCTGGAGCCCCTCTTTTTCTCTCCGTTTCTCCCACTCCGCTTTGCTGCGCGCTTCGTGATGATGAGGTTTTGCCTTCTTCTTGTTCTTCTTTACACGTCCTCCAACGGCGTGTCGGGGAGGGGGTTAGTCGGGAAAGAGGGGGGCAACAGAGGCAGCAGGGTGGAGGCACGGTCTGCTGCCGCCGTCGCTGCTGCTGGCTTGCTGTGTGTGTGCATGCAGCTCTGTTCGTCGTCGTCGTCGCGTCGTTTCATTCAAGTGTCCAACGTTTGCCGGAGCGGTCATACAACGGTACTTCGACGGTTCGCAATTCTCTCTCGCTCGAGCCGTAAGGGAATACGGGGAGGAAACAGTCGGAGAGTTGGCCATTGCACACGCCCCCTTGGAAAATCCGTTAGTTAGCATGAAGGATGTGAAAGTGGCGCGCGCAATAAGCGAATCCTCGACCACGTCCGATAACACCTCCGACTTCATCGAGATCGTCAAGAAGTACGATGTGGTGTACAACAATCACAATCCCGACTACAAGAACGTGGAAGTCAAGCTAAAGGTGTGGACGCAAATCGCCGACGAGATTGGTCTCTCAGTGGGTAGGTAATCCACAATAATATAAAAAGAATAACCCAAAGGAGGCGGCTGCTGAAATTGAATTACGTAGAACAAGCACACACTGCTGTACCGCGCATTTAGCTGAGTGTGTGTGTGTATACCTGTCAGCGGACAAACTCAAACCGCCGCCCGGCCTGATATTTTTCGAACGCTGGTATATATATAAATGTCTGTATGTGTGTGCGTATGGGGCTCGCGCCGTGGTGTGAGGGGGAGCGCGAGTGCGGTCGGCAAATTGCAGCGAGAGCTGAAAACAAAAAATAAAAGGAAAACACTGGCGCTGCTGCTGGTACGCAGAAAAAACAAACAAAAACAGAAACTGAGCGAAAACTGCGCGCTCTCAGATGCTGAGAGAGGAATAACGAGAGAGAAGTCAGGCCCCACTGCGAGTGGGGGTGTGAGAGGCAGGGTGTGAGAGCTTTTCAAAACAAAAACATTGGACGGCATTGCCAGGTGTGAAAAATGACTAAACATGCAACCACCTGTGATTTAAATTTTAAAAGATAGCTTGAGTATTAGATTAATGTCTAAAATACACAAGAACTCTTATTGGTAATTTTTTTTTTTTTGAAACTTGTTACACGGAAACATGTGAAACGTCCTGCACCCGGCTCTCTCTTGATCTCGTATATAAACATAACAGATTTATTTATCTTATTTTCTAATTACCCGGCATAAATTTGTAGGGTGCAATTTTATATGTGGCTTCGAATTACTAGATGTTATATTACTGGCGAAAGATAATGCGTATTTTCTTATTTGAGACACATATGTATATCTATATACATATGTATATACTATACAAAACTACAAAGTCTAATTCGGCGAATCTGTATATACTATACAAAACTACAAAGTCTAATTCGGGGAATCACACAACTATGACTTACAGCCAGTTTTTCCTGTTGTTGTCGCTTTATTAATTTGCGAAATGATGTTTTCTATTTCAACTTAAATACTTTTTAGTTTTTTGCTCTTATTGACTTGTTTAATTGTTTGGAATCCAATATCACGTATCACGCTGCAGATCAAATTATACAGTCCGGCTCTTTGGGTAGAGATGGAGAAACTTTGATGAAAATATCGATACTTCGATGCTTTTGAAATTGTTCGAAACATCGGAATAAGATTCCCTCTCTAAAACTTTAACTTTAAATCGTTATTTATTTAATGTAAAACTATTGCAGAGGCTTCTAAGCGAAAATGGAAGAATCTAAGGGACAGCTACACAAAGTATCTGCGTTCGTTCCGCGTCGGAACCAAGACATCCAAGAAGTACCAGTACTGGGCCCATGCCGACCACATGGAGTTCCTTAAGCCCTTCCAGGGTCCAGGCCGGTAAGTACCTAATTCGTTTAGTACCAATACTTTATTAAACACTAATCTTTTATCCTGCTGCAGAAACTCTGCCAATGGCAATGGCAAGTCCAATGACGAGGACGACACAGAGTGTGATTTCGGTTACCAAGTCCTGGCCAAGGCGGCCAGCAATGGAGGCGAGGATGAACTGAAGATCACCATTGCCACAGCTTCGGCGGGCTGCTCTTCGATTGGAACGCACACGGTTAATACGTATACCACGGCTTTAAGCAGCACGTTGGCACCAGCTCCAACGTCCAGTTTAGGCGTGGCCACGCCTCCCAACATGATCTCGCCGGGCAGCAATTTGGGTGGAGGATCAGGATCCGGTGGAGTGGGTGTGCTGAATCACAATACCAATAGCAATGGAAGCGCCAACGGGAGCCTCAACTGTGCTGCAGTTGCACCGCTTAGTTCCCTCACACCGCCAGCCACCAGTGGCTGCAATTCCGCCGTCGTCCTGCCCCTGCCCATCTCACCTGCTTCCTCTGCAGCTGCCGCCGCCGCTGCTGCTGTCAGCAAGGCCAACGCGAATGCTCTTGCCTCGTTGGCCACCCACCTGCCCATGGGCATGGGCGTGGGAGGATTGGCGCAGCAGATGTTTCCGTTGGCCACGCTGAAGGCTGCCGCAGTGGCTGCGGGACTGCCACTGCCGCCCACTGTCACCCCGCCTGGCTGCAGCAGCTCCAGCGGGCCCAACAGCAATGTTGGCTGTCTGATCATCGAGCCACATCTATTCGCCGCCGCGGATAACTTCAAGAAGGAACTTACTGCAGCGGCTGCGGCCGGAGCTCCGTTGGGACTATTCCAGAATCTGGCCAATCAAGTGCAAAATGCCAATCGCTTGAATGGCGGCAGCTGTACAGGAGTTACCCTGCCATTGGGAAACCCCACACCACCTCCGCCACCTCCAGCGCCGCCGGCATCCAAGGTGCGAAGAGTTCAACCCTCGCCGCAGACGACGGCCATCAATCTCAGTTGCTCTGCCGTGGGAACACCCGGTCAATTCCAACAGCCCCAGGTGCAGATGCAACAACAGATCCAACAGCAGCAGCAACCGCAATCTCCTGCCAAAACGCGCAAGATTAGCGATCCGCGTTTCCCCAGCGACTGGGATGTGTCCGCCGTGCTGCAGGCCAACCGAGAACTGGACGCCAACACCCTGTTCTTTCTGAGTCTCGCACGGCAGGTGCGAGCCATGCCCATGAAGTTCCAGTCTCTGGCCAAGATGCGCTGCATGCGGATCGTGAGCGATCTGGAGCTCGAACTGGAGAACTTTGACTGCAACGGAGGTGCGCCGCCGCCGGACGATTCGGGCGGAGGAGCTGGTAATCTGAAGTACTGCAGCATCGATACTCCCCCACCGCCGCCGCAGGATGGTTCAGTGGTGATCCTACCGCCGCCAGTCGGACCCGAGGGCTCCACGGAGCATTTTGTGTATGTGATGTCGCCGTCGCGGGTCGAGAGTATGATCGACATTTCCTCCGACGAGGAGGCGACAATGAACGGTGTGCCCTCCTCGACAGTGGGCTCCTCTGGACAGGTTTAATCTTACTTCGCGATCGTACAAGCTATCTCTAATTTAAATTAAACTTAAATTAATCTCAAAATAGACGTGCATCGTTTCGTTTTTGGAACGTTTTATTTTGGGGGCGACGGGCGATCGATCCTTTCGATGCTTATGGGTACAAAATGTGGAAAAATCTCTTTGTGGTGGGACCACCCGGGGCCAATTTGATGCTAGGTGATTTAATGCGAATGAATTTCATTCAAGAAGTCGATGACGAGGTGGCATCCTCCAAACAGAATGGCAATTCCCCTTAGGCTTGAACCTTGCTCTTGGTGGTGAAAGCAAAGTAGGCGACGCCGCCGACAAGGAAGGCGGCCAGAAGCTCGGCCTTCACCCAGGGACCCTTGTAGGCGCTCTTCGTGGGAACAGCAATGTCCAGCAGGGACTTGACCGACGACACCTTATCGCCATCGCGCTGGGCCTTGCGCACATTGGCATAGCCTTCCTCGTCGAAGATACGCACATGGACATTGCCGCTGCTGCCCTGCTTGATGTCCTCCACCCAGCTCACCTAACGTGGGAAAAATCAAGATTAGGTGCTATGTTCGGCACTACCGATTGCACTTCCAGCTCACCTGGTACTTGTTGTCGCCCACCTGGGCCACAGGGACCACCTTGCCGCAGGGGAACTCGGCAAACAAGCTGGCGGGGGCCGCTCCGCTGCACTGCAGCGTAATCTCGCCGACATGGGCCAGCTGGGTGAGAATCGTGGCATCCTGAGTGCTGAATGAGCTCACGGTAGCCTTGCAGCTTCCATACACGCCGGACGCGCACACGGCGGCAATCAAACAGATGGCAAACAGTTGACGGGACATCTTAGTGGAATTTAGTATTGGTTTTAATTGAGGAATGGGGGAAGTTTATGAAATTAGCTCGAGCAGACTTTCTTTTGAGTTTAAACAATCGCCACGACAGCACGAAACGTCATCTGACAGCCGAAAATTACCGAGTTGAGCTGTCAAACAATCGATAGTCCAATTTTATCGGTAGAGTATTTGTCATGCCTGTAAGTGGTTGACAACTCTGCTGAGCGTCAGCGATAGTTTTTGTTGAATGGAAAATTAGCGTATTTGAAAATTTGTGATATTTTTATATTTTCATATGGAAATCCATATTTAGTTTAAAATTTTTAATATAATTTAATTTTATTTTTTAGTTCAATTTTATTGCCAAAAATCATTTGTTAAATAAATGTATGGGTTACCAAAAAAGGTGAGAAACTGAGAAAAAACCACAGAAGTTAATGTGAAAACTGATTGTTATCGATTTGGCGGTTGATTTAAATTGCGTTACTTTGTCCTTTTCTAAAGACAAGAACTTTGCGTTGAATGAAAAAATTTTACATTTTTTAGGTCCTTTTTAAATTTAAATTTCGAAAAATAAATTAATTTAGATCAACTAACAAGCAATCAGTTTTAAATGTGTTATTTGCTTAATTTTATCAATCAAAAACTTAGAATCCCATTTAGATTGGTCCAGCCCCGTTCCAGTCACAGTCACAGTCACCGTAATTTCGTTTCCCACGCTTTTCGCAATTAAAATAAGTTTTTCTCTGACATGTTGCCCCGGTTCGTACCGCTCCGTATTTGGTTACGGCCATATCTACTATATCTAATATGCATTTACCCGGCGCCACTTATTTACGGCATTTGCATTGTAATTGAATTGATTTCGAATTTTTCGACTTGCACAACGAACGAAGGGGGCCCAAACAGGACTTACTCCTGTCCGAGCCTGTGCAAAGCGCGTCGTCAAAGTCAAGCCATAAATATTGACTGGAAATGATTAATGCCCATCCAGCGATTGGCCTTTCTTGCCGTTTTGTTTTAAGTACATTTTATTGGCAATCCACAAAGGCATAAATACATATACATATATATACTGTGACTAACAGGGCGGCATTTATACATATGTATATATGTACGTTTGGCCTGTGACCTTGGCTAGTGCTTGATTTGGTTTTTTGGTTTTTGATTTTATGCCATTTTCTGTGTTTGTGTTTGCGCCGCCCCTCGCCCTCGCCCCCCTCTGCTCCTCTTTGTACTGTTATGTTCGTTACTTTTCTTTGATTGCCACCGCGCACGGAACTTTTCCACCGCCGCCGAACTTTGCATGTCTTTGATGAATTTGAAATTGTCACAAATGTGAAAGTTTTTCACATCCATCTGGGAAAGAGAGACACTCACACACACACACACACACATGTAGTGACAACTGAATTTGCATCTAAGGAAAAAATCCGCTGACATTGAACGACTTGTACGCATTTCTCCTCTCGCCAGGGGGTTTTCATTCCTTCATTTTGGCAAACTCCAATTCATTCATTCACGGTCGGATTTGCATATTGCCAAAAAAAAAGGAAATCAACAAAAAAGCACACACTGTAAATGCTGTAATCCTTTCGATTATGAGGCGTAAAGTGGGAGGGTTTAGTGGTTCGTAAATGAAAACAAAAGTTCGTGCGGGTTCATTGAGTCGCAGTCGAAAACTTGCCAGACCCCAGCGAAATTGCACGTGTCTCCGGAAGGGGCTGGGCGAAATACAGAAGGGGTAGCTCAAAGGGTACGATACAGTCAACAAAAAAGATTAATTTAAATTAATCAAATTATTCGATACTCAATAAAAGGGTTGCTACCTTTCTCGATAAATGAACAATTTTCCGATAGATCAAAGTGTCATTGGAATGTAATGTCAACCTGGTACTTTTTCCACTTTTGACAGCATCGTTTTCAATCGAGATTTCACCTTACCAAGTGCTACTTTTCGCATTCGCATAAAAAAAGAGAGAAAGTTTTCCGCTATTTAAGGAGCAAGTGGACGTCGACATCGAGGCAGACTCGGTCTCCACCAATATGGGTAAGCGGTACGGTAAGCCCATTACCAAAGATAAGCAGAATCCGAAAAGGATAAAATTTCAAGATAGTCAGACCGAAGAAATGGCCAAGCCGCAGAAGAAGCCTGCCAAGGCGTCCAAGAAGTCGCAGGAGATTGCATCTTCACGCAGTAAGTCATCTTGGAAAAATTAGAGGGAAAAAATCTAGAAAATTCTATTCCAAGGTGTCAAAGAGAAGACATTGCCAGAGTCCCCAAAAAGTCCTGATAGCTTACCTGGAACATCTAAGGAAAGAGTGCCACCAATGGCTAAGGTGGGAAAGAAGTCTGTTAAAGCGTCAAATAAGTCGCAGGAGAATGCCTCTTCACGCAGTAAGTAATCTAAGAAAAATTAGTAGCAGAAAATCTAGAAAATTCTATTTCAAGGTGTCAAAGAGAAGACATTGCCAGAGTCTCCAAAAAGTCCTGATAGCTTACCTGGATCACCCGAGGGAAGGCAGTCACCAATGCCCAAGGTGAGGAGGACGTCTGTTAGAGCGTTAAAGAAGTCGCAGGAGAATGCATCTTTACGCAGTAAGTATTATTGGAAAAATTAGAAGGAAAGAATCTAGAAAATTCTATTCCAAGGTGTCAAAGAGAAGACATTGCCAGAGTCCCCAAAAAGTCCTGACAGCTTATCTGGATCACCCGAGGGAAGGCAGCTACGAAAGGCCCCAGTGAGAAATAGGTCTGTTAAATCGTCCAAGAAGTCGCAGGATAATGCATCTTCATACAGTAAGTCATCCAAGAAAAATTGGAAGCAGAAAATCTAATAAGTTCTATTCCAAGGTGTCAAAGAGAAGACACTGACAGAGTTCCCAAAAAGTCCTGATAGCTTCCCTGAATCACCTGAGGAAAGAGGGCCACCAATGGCCAAGGGGCGGAAGAAGTCTGTCACAGCGCCAAAGGCAAAACCAAAAAAAGCGCAGAAGAATGCATCTTTAGAGGGTAAGTCAACCATGAAAATTATAAGAAGAAAAACTAGAAAATTCTATTCCAAGGTATCAAAGAGAAGACATTGCCAGAGTCCCCAAAAAGCCCTGATAACTTCCCTGGAACACCTGAAGAAATAGAGCCACCAATAACCAAGGGGCGGAAGAAGTCTGGCAGGGCACCTAAGAAATCACTAAAGTCGCAGAAGAATGCATCTTTAGAGGGTAAGTCATTTAAGAAAAGTTAGTAGCAGAAAATATAGAAAATTCTATTTCAAGATGCCAAAGAGAAGACACCACCACCAGTGTCACCAAAAACTCCCAATAGCTTGAATGGAACACCTGAGGGAAGGGAGCCACCAAGGCTGCCTTTCCAGACGCCAGGCAGGGCCAAGCTCGTCTCCAGGCTGATCAGAGATTAATCCTTGCAAGTCCACCAAGAAGGAGAACCATCAGAAAAACAAATACAAGACGAATCCGGGCCAAGAAGTTAATGAAATACGAACAGCAGATGCTTGCTATAAAAAGGCTTTTGAAAAACTAAAATGTTTTATTTTCCTAAAAAAAAAATCATTTATTTTTTCAAGTGTCCTTGTGGCAGGGTAAAGGGTGGTTTGCCTGGTTGTCTGACGTGTGTGGGTGTGAGCAGGAAATGGAACAAACAACAGAGCCGTAGGAGCCTTAGAGCCACAGAGAGAGCCAGCATAACAGGCGAAACAGGAGACTCCATGGACTCCTTGCCAACGTTGCGATTTTGTTGATTGTTTGTTGGCAACATAAACGAAGCTCCTCTTCATTCACAAAATGGGGAAAAGAACGCAGTCGGTGCAGGGCATTCGAGCCAAGTGGACGACGCGGACGTGGAAGGTGCCTCATCGCGATCTCCAAGTGGATGCGAGGTTTCCCTTTCGTGACTTCAGCCGGTTTCTACGCGATTTGCTTTCGGCATTCGGTTTGCTTTCCCTTTTCTTTTTTGTTGACAAAGTTATTGCCGCCACGGGCTTAATGACTTCGTAATTGATTTGCATTCGATGTGCCACATTGATTGGCAATTGAAACGTAAGCCACCACCGCCTGAGGAGTTCTTGAAGCCATCGAAACCTGCACTCCCAGTCCCACTCCAACTCCCAGGGAACCCACTCCAGCAGCAAACCACTCATCGTCACCGTTGCTAATCAAGGTTATCAAGGCTAACCTGGCTGTCACCATGTCGCTGTCTGTGGCCAGCCGTCGTCGCCACCAGACGACAAACGCTCCATCGTCCACTAGTAGCAGCTCCTCCACCTCCTCCTTCTCATCAACTCCTGGTGGCCGCTACCACCTGCCGTTGTCTGTGCGGAAGCAGCACTCCTTCATCGAGCCAACGGCCAGGTTCACGGCCCAGCAGCGAGGATATCTCTCGCGCGGCCTCTCCGTGGGCAGATCCATTGAGAATATCCGCCAGAAGCTATATCCTGGCAGCAGGCAGACTTCTCTGGCCGTTGAGGAGTCCACGGCAAGGATTGCTCCACGCATCACCGCCTCACAGGTCCAGGGATTGAGGCTGAGGGACAAGAGCCTGGTGGCTTGGTCATCCACTTCATCGCTGTTAAAGGATCAGGAGCCGGAGAGAAATACCCAGGCTGAGCAGCCGGAGGGCAAGATGTGAGTAGTTTTAACTTTACTTGGCTTACAATTACAATTTGTTAAGAAAAGGTATACAAAAGGTGATTTTTTGCTGAAATTTTAAGAGATTGGATCTTAGGAAAGTTCATTATTTTTAAGGGTATAAATATTATATTATTTAAAATGTGTTAAACATTTTATTAAAACAAACAAGAAAGCTGGATGCACATTAATCCTTGTTCATCACTGCCTCTTGGTTCTTGCAATGGCATTATAACTAAAGTCAGAAACTTATAATTATAAGTATAGTCAGAAGCTTGTAATGCAGTGAAGGAGCCATTTCCGGCGAGTCGATCTAGCTATATTTTAAAGAAATTAAATTTTTTCAATTTTGTCGTTTTATGATTTATAGGGTCGGAAATGATTCCTTCACTAAGTTTGAAGCTTCTGATTAAAATTAGAATCCATCTTTTAGGCTGATATTAATCTATATATTTAAATGACAATTTTTACTAAAAATCAAAGTTTATAAGCCTCATGACTTAGCCAAAAAATGATTATTCGTTAGTAATTTATAATTAAGTAAGAATGTTTACTTTGATTATACCTCTTTTTTATACCCTTGCAGGGTATTATAATTTCAGTCAGAAGTTTGCAACGCAGTGAAGGAGGCACCTCCGACTATATAAAGTATATATATTCTTGATCAGGATCAACAGCCGAGTCGATCTAGCCATGTCCGTCTGTCCGTCTGTCCGTCTGTCCGTCTGTCCTTCTGTCCGTCTGTCCGTCTGTCCGCTGTCAGTTTTCAATAGAATTGGATCAAATTTAAGATATAGCCATTTTACTATACTCTACAATTTTGTGTAAATTTTTATGAAAAGCGGACCAATATATCATATAGCTCCCATAGGAACGATCGAGAAATTAATACAATTAAATTTATAACTTTTTAGTTTTCGGCTGATTTTCATCAAATTTAAGGTATAGCTATTTTATATTAGTCTTAAATTTTTTGTCAAATTTTATGAAAATCGAACGACTATATCTTATAGGTGCCATACAAACGATCGTTTGATGTAGAGGAAAAATGGAAATCTGTGAATGTAAAACTGCAAATATAATATGTATAGGTGAATGAAATGAAAGCAGGTATTATTATTCATTGTTTTTTAACACAAATATATATAATTTATATTGTATGGATTCCTATTCATAGAAGTTCTATCTACAAGGGTATATAAACTTCGGCGTGCCGAAGTTAGCTTTCTTTCTTGTATATCCTTAATACAAGTTGCTGTAATGGGACACGTGGCAATAAGAGACATAATTGGCAAATAAATAAATAGTTAGCACAACTGATTCTAGACCTAAGCCTGATAGCATCCTATAGCATCAATATATATGTATATCATGATATAATTAGTTAAGACTTACACCAGTTGACACGTCATTGTTTAATTCCTTCTAGTGTAGAGTTTTCTAAGTGGTGACTTTAATTAGGCTTCTTCCTGATTATCCAGATGCATTGCGTTGATCAGACGATATAATTGAGGTCGGAGGGTAATCACTATCACTTATCACCACTATCACAATAGATGTTGACAGAGCGAAGGCCGGGCACAGACTGAGGGCGGAGCGGCGGCAGTGCCTGGTATATATAGCCTCCGAGCAAAGAGAACAGAGAATTTGAGAGCGAGAGCGAAGAGCGAGCATCTCTAGCGATAAGCCTTTCCCTCTAACTCCCTCTGTGTATCTCAGAGATACTCAGAGCGTGAGAGAGAGGGGGAGAGTGGGAGAGAAAGAGGCACATACATTTACCGAATGACTATATGATATAGTCGTTCGATCCAACCTGTTCGAACTATATATTATTGAGAGTATATAGAAGACTAGGTTTCATTCAGATAGCATTTCAATTGAGCCACTGAGTTTGTGTAGCAAACGGACACGGCTGTTTATGCTGATCAAGAATATATATACATACTTTATATGGTCGGAAATGCAAACTAGTGACTGAAATAATAATTTATTGTAAGGGAAATTACTTAAAACTATAACCTTATTCGTTTCTCTCATAAATAAAATAGTCTTTAGTGAAGAAATTATAATTACCTTGAAACCCTTATGGTAAGTATGGAGTAGAATCTCCTCAAGGGTCGCTTTTATGTGTTACCACAAATGGTTGGAATTGAAATAGGCAAAATGTATACCAAATATATTGTCGCACCTATGGAAACACATATGTTTGACCTTGGTGCCAGGCGAACGTTGCGTATACGTAATAAATCCATTGGTATCCAGTTGTAATGTAATGTCTGCCCTGATATCATCTATATAAATATGCCGAAAGTGACACTTTCGATATCATCGCTTCAAGTTCTGGGTGTGTGTTGTGTGTGAGTGGTGGGTGTGCAATTTGCATGCTTCACGCCGAAATCAAACGTCAAAGTTTTATGTTTCCAGTGCATAACACACGCTAGACATGCTCGCAAAGGGGGAGGAGTAGGAGGAGTAGGAGCAGGAGCAGGAGCAGGACTAGGAGCTGGAACACAGAGTACTGGGGAGCAGCTCCACCCACCTGGCGGCACACTTAAGTCGATCATTGCCCGCTGACAAGATAGCTGAGCGGAAAACTTGGGCGGATGGGTGCAATGACCCTTAGTAGACTCACTTTCGTCGGTCCGCGTTTTCCGCGTTTTCCGCTTTTCGGGGCGCCAATTGTAAACGTAATTGACATGGTTTCCTTTTTCATCGCGCGCCAAAGTTAATTTCTATTTCTGGTGCCTTGCATGCATAGCGATTCCTCGATTCTCGATTCTCGATTCTCGATTCTTGATTTGTGGAATCGGGAACAGCATAAATTGCCTGCGCCCAGCCCGCAACTAATGCCAAATAATTTGATTTAAATTTAGAAGGCTGGCGACGCTACTAGGTCACTCGAAACTTTCCATTTTCAATTCGATTTCCACTTCCATATCCCATTTCCCACTTAACGTTCTTACTTTCCCTTTGCAGCAGCGCCAAGGCGGACAAGAATCGCATAAATCTAAATATAGTTTTGTCCCAGACAATACGGGCCACCAACGAGCGGGAGCAGGAGCAGGAGCCGGAGCCGGAGCTGGAGCAGGATCCTGACCAGGAGCCGGAGCAGCATCAGACGCTAAAGCCTGAAAGCCTCCCTGCAGAGATCCCTTTGAGCATCTCGCCGGCCTTGACCATCCAGCGGCGTCCGCCCCTGGTGCGTGCTATGTCCGCTCCGGTCCGTGGTCTGGACGAGAGCAGCAAGGGTGTCATAGCGGCCAGCAAGCGGAGTCAGCAGAAGCTGCGTCGTCGGAAGATCTTCACCAGGACACCATCTACCTCGGTGGTAACGGGCGGTGCAGCCTTAGATGTCCTCGGCGGCGATTCATCCTCCTCGGGAGGAGGAGCAACGGGTTCCGGTAGCTCATCAAAAAAGGCTCTGAATCGTGCACGCAGCGTGGTGGCCCCCGATGTAATCACTCTGGTCTCCCTGCTGAGTTCCGAGGGCAGTGATTCCGAGCGGGAGGACAACTGTTCCACGGTGGTCTCGTCGCCACCAGCTGGCGGGGCAGAGAAACAGCAGCCAGGAGCCGGAGGGCAGCGAAGGGCGCCGCTCTTAAGGAAGACGGGTAAATCGGGTAAGTCTCAAGGACTCAAAAAAAAAAAAAAGAAGAGGAGTTGATGGATGAGCTAGGAGCAGCAGCATCCTGCCTCCTAGTTTCTAGCTTAAACCCAACTAAAGCTTTCTGGCAGTCTCGTTTCAAGACAGCTATCCGCCCACCTTCCAGCTGGCCTCCAAGGAGTACTCGCACATGATCCGACGCGGATCGATAGCCCCTCTGGCCGCCCGCATTCGCGCCAACCGTCCACCCACAGCGCCGCCCGTTTCCATATTCCTAACCGACGTGGTTGTTGGTGGCGTTCCATCGGGCAAGATGGATCAGCAGCAGCAGAAGAAGGAGGACGAGATTCCCCTAACGCCACCCGATGAGGCCAAGAAGGAGAACAACAATAATGCGGCCAATTGTGAGGAGCAGCCACAGGCCCAGCCGGATCACAATTATCCAAACTATGTGCGTAGCATCAAGGAGCGCGAGTGCTGGAAGCTCCATCAGAAGATGGGAGCCAAGGGAGTGAGTGTGAGCTACGAGACCGTGCTCAGGGGCATGTTGACGCCCACAGAGTTCCGGCACTACCAGAAGCAGCGCGAGCAGGAGGAGGCTCGTGTCCTGGAGGAAGCTGAGGCCGCCGAGGCAGCCGCTGCAGCGGCCATCCTGGAGAGCGGCGACAAGGAGAGCCGCAAGGCGCCAGTCACGGCCATGGAACGTCTCTCGGAGACCCTGCTCCAGAGCAAGTAGAGGGAGCAGCAGTGTTCCAGTTCCAGTAGAAGGCGGAGCCGGAGCCGGAGCAGATCTCCCCCAGGAACCCGACCATTAAATTGCATTTGCCTCTAGGGGACGTAGTTGTAGTAGTCGAGCACTCGTTAAACCGCATTCCCACTCCGCTGACAAAGACACCACTGATCGGCGTCCATTCGGTAGTTCTAGATGGTACCCGTAATCCGGAGTCCACACTTCCGGAACCCTTAATCCTCAAGCTTAAATGGACGCTGAGCCTGGCCAATAAAAGCAAAAGCAACAATCCTTCCCCTCCCCTGTAGATCCTTAACAATAAAGATTACTAGAAGACACCTAAGAACCCGGAGACTTTTGTTTTCAACAGGCTACAAGGTAATATTTATTATTTAGGCAATACAACAAGGATTACCTTTTATTTATTTAATAGTTAATAGCAAAACTTAATCATGTTTTTTATTTCAAAATATATAAAAAACAAAAGAAGAATGAAACATGATTAATTCAATTTGTAGTAAATATTTTTGCTAGTTTTTGGTTTTGGTATTTGTTTATGAAACAGAAAATATCATAAACTAAATTGAAATATAATTGGGAATTTGAGTAATTAACTTTAAAAAGGTTTAAATTTATGAAATAGGTGCAGCAAAATCAGGTTCTAGGCTTATAATAATAGTTATAATATTTAAATAAAACAGTCAACATTTAAAGAAATGGCAAGAATATATACCGTATAGAAATCAGGCTTATAAATTCTTAACTAATTCGAAAAAATATATAGATTATTCTCAAATAGACTTCATTTTGGGAAGATCAAGACATATTAAAGAAAAGAAATGGAAACTAATGACTTGAAATTAAATCGGATATTGATTGTTGCGTTTTCTTTTCGTACACTTTTCGTTTCATTTAAAATTTTGTCTTTAGTGTGGTGTAAAATTGAGCAAGATTCAATTGTTGAAACAAAGGCAACTACGTCAAGTTTAAAAACAATTGAAAAGAAGCCTCCTACTTGGCCCTCTCCCGGCGTATGGAACTGGCCAGATAACAGGCTAGAACTATGCCCAATATCTGGATAAAGGCTATGCCAATGCCCACTCCTATCAAAATCACCGCGTTCTTGTCGATCCGATTCTTCAGCTTCCCGACACATCCATCCTGGAAGTACTTGTCCCTGCCCAGAGCCGGTGAGTCGGTGCAGTGGCCCACAGTGGTGTCGATATACTGCTGCTGACAACAGCTGGCCGGTAGCGTTTTATTCGCACTCAGTGTCCTCCAATCCGCCGGAGAGTCCACGCCGCAGCACATTAACTTTTGCTGGATATTGTCCCAGGCCATGGTGTCCTCGCTGTTGGAACGTTTGATGGACTCCTGGAGCGAGTTCTTGACCATCATCTCGAGGTCCTTTTTGAAAACGCTGGCTGCAATGCCCACCGCCAGTTCCACAATAAAGATGACGGCCAAAAGGACAGCGAACTAAGATAGAAATTGAATGATATATATATATAAAAATTAATATCCTAATATCCTTACCGTCAGCAGTAGCGTTGGCGACTCCTTAATGGCACCAAAACAACCCAGGGAAGCGATCAGGAAGATGATCAGACCCGTCACTATCAGGACAATGGGCGGTGCCAGGACTCGTCCCTCCACAAAATGATTGAATTCATTGACATCGGCCAGGACAACAGCGCCGGCTATAAGGATACCCAAACCGGAGATCTACAACGAAATCAAATTGATCCGTCCGGATTAATCGAATACACGACCTTTAATATATCCGTAAAGCAATTTGCCTAATGGCTTCCAATCAAGTCCTAATTCGAAACGCGTTGCCCCTATTTACATTCCCAATTCTAATTGTGCGATAAAAATCACCCACGACTACTCATTCAATGGCATTTCCATGTCCACATCGTCATTGACAGTTGCCGTGTGCCCGTGTGTTTGCTCAGTTGTTGGTCAATGCGAAGGACACCCAGTGTCCGTGTCCATGTCCATGCCCATGTCCTTTGGATACACGCATACATCACTTTCATGTCGTAATAAGCGTATCGCTACTGGCAAATGAAAATGCCATTTTCCAGCGATAATCATCTAAATGAGACCTCAACAAGACTCAGAAGGCTTAAGCGTAATTGCAGGGCTTTAAATCAAGGTAATTATGGCGAATTATATTGCTATTTAAGGGGATAATCAATGAAGAAGTTTTAGTCTGCGGATTTCCTTACTTTATTGAAATTGATATTAATGATAAATAAATAATTGTATAATCATATAGGATTCATCAACATTTTCATATTATATTCCGTTTTCGTAATACCAATAATTCTCTGACAAAAATAAATCAGTAGTTCATTTTGCGATTTTCCAGGCTTGTTTGCTTTATATTTAGGAAGCATTTTTTAACAAGGTTTTAAATCATGAAAGTATTAAATTTAAGATTCAAGTTTCAACAAAATTTTATGACCTATGAAAAAAAATCTAAACGAAGGTAGAAGTAATTAAGTTCAACCTCAAAAAGTGTTTTGAAATGACTCAGTTTCCTCGTTGTGCAAGCCTAAAATCTAGAAAGATCCGATTATAAAATAAATGTTCTGGTTTTAATCAAACTTAATTTAGAATGTAAATATATATTTTTGATATAATATTTTTTGATATTTTTTATTTAAGAAAACAACAGTTTAAACCATAAAAAGTATGAGTTTAAGGAATGGAAAACTTTGGTATAACTTATTGGTTATGTAAATAACTGAATAAATATTCAGATAAGCTTATACTTTTTATATATTAATAGGTTAATAATTCACTTAAATATATTTTTGTCATATTTTTTCACTTATAATTTCAATCACTTACCGCAAATAAAACATTAAAGGCAAATAATACATATTTAATTAAACTCGGCCCGCAATTACGCATTTTGATATTCCACTCAGCCACTCCGTCCCTCTTTTGAGCTCAATTTAGGTTTCTAAAAGTTAATATGAGTTTTAATCCAAAATTAGAACTATTTTCTCAGCTCCTGAGATCGCGACTGACCGAACGGACTGAAGTTTAACCACAAACTGACCGGAACAGCAGTCCGGCCGGGCTTTAGAAGGCCTTCCTGGCACGGCTTCTGTTGTGGCCATCGCATTCCCGGTTGGCGATGGCAACGCACCCCGGGATTATAGAAAATGGAAATAAAAGTAAAAGTGAGTGAAAGTCTTGGAGGAGAAACGTTACGAATTCAGGCCAGTCCGGGAATCGGAAAAGAGGGGAATGGGAATGGGGCACAACAGACCCATTTCGTTGATTCCACACTCGATACCAAAGAACTTTTGACCAAAGGAAAGGAGGTCGCCCCCAAGGGCTTACCTCACAGGTATGTACGTACATACCTCTTTCTACTGCCACCTGGTGGTGGGTCATTGCACTTATTACCATAAAAAAAGAAGGGCCGCCCACGGGGGGAAATCCCTTTAAAGTTAACGCGACCGGGCTCAAGGCGAAATTAATTGCGTGCTTTCGTGCGAAGAAAGTTTCTCTCACTCCTTCTCCATGAAGAATCCAGAATTTGGCGGCGTTACTATTTGTGCGAAATAATTAAAGACGCCTTCAACTATGCCACAACTATGGGTCTTGATGATGTTAATGTCGCGTGTCGACTTCCATGGCCCCCAAACTGGGCTTAGACCCTATCTGGCCAAAGAAATCTCCAGCTAAAAGACTGTTGCTATTGACCATTAGCGGTGGGGGGGGGGGGGAAATCGCTGGAAAATGCAGTTCTTTGAATGATTGGAGGGCAAACATTTGGCCTAAGGCTTCCGCAATTTAAAGCAAATTGTGGCTTCATGCTGGGTTTTAGCCAACTACAGAAAGTTATGGCCTAATTTCTTAAATAAAAGAGGGGAAAAGGTTATCGGTATGAAGCCATTGCGTCATTGGTTTTCCTTTTTTTGTTGAGGCATTTCTATGGAATTGGGAATGTATAATCTAATTATAGTTTTGCTTGACCAAAATGACAACCTATTTCTTAATATTTTTCTTTATTTATTTTATTTATTTCTCTTTATTAAGAATAAATATTTTTTTGGTTAAGTCTTTAGAGGTTTATTATTTATTCAAAAAGAAATGTCAGGAAATAAATATATATAAAGAGATTGTGCTAGTTTACTTTCTATTCCCCTGCAGGGGTATTATAATTTTAGTCAGGGAAGGAGTCATTTCCGACCCCATAAATCATATATATTCTTGATCAGAATTAAACGGCGAGTCGATCTAGCTATATTTTAAAGAAAATAAATTTGTTCAATTTTTGTCGATTTTTAAAAAAAAAAATGATAAGGGGTTACATCATTAAAATTTCCGAAAAATGGCAAAATTTTAGGTTTTAAACTGAGTATGCAGCTTTGTTAACCTCTTAAAAACTAACATAGGAAAGCAATCCGAATTAAAATTAATGCATTTTTGGCTTCGGTATGAGATTTTTAATCTTTGATGTGTAGGAAAAAATTGTCATATAAAATTATATATAAATATATCTGTTCAAAGAATGCTACTATAATTTCAGTCATTTTAAGTTTTTTAAATGTTATTTATTTCAGATTTATTTCCTATTAACAGAAAACATGAGAAAACTTTAAAATTAATTAATTAATTAATTAATTTAAAATTAACATAGGAGCATTTTCGTTTTGAAATGAATGCATTTTTGGCTTAGTTATGCGATTTTTCATCTTTCATGTGTAGAAAATATTGTCATAGTTAATGTTACAAATACAACTATCTAATGACTAATAATAAGAAATTATAACTAATAATTATTATTATAATAAAATATTGATATTTTAACGTTGCGATATATATGGGACCAATTGATTTTCTTTTTTTATATATTGTTAAATAATTTACTTAAAATTGTTTGCTGGTCGTAGTATTTTTTTTTAAGGAATATATACATTCCAAAGACAACCTTAGTTTAAATAGATATCAAGCAACAGCTTGCAAATTCGCAATGAATGAAGCTACACCCACCAAACCTCTCAATTTGAAGTACATACATATAGCCTTGTCTTCTGTTGACGATTTGGGCGTCCGCTTGGACCCTAAACTTGACTTTATTGATCATATTTCGTCTATGGTGAATAGAGCCAGGGGTGTGCTTGGATTTATTAAACGGTGGTCGAAGGAATTCAATGACCCCTATGTTACTAAATCCTTATATACTTCCTTAGTTCGTCCTATCCTAGAATATGGATGCTGCGTTTGGAGCCCTCAGTACGGCGTCCATAGTAAACGCATTGAGTCGGTTCAAAAGAACTTTTTACTTTTCGCTCTACGCGGTTTAAATTGGGATGCAAACCAAAGATTACCTTCCTACTCTAGTAGACTCCTATTAATAAACTTGCCGTCCTTAGCCAATCGTAGAACGATGCTAGGGATAACCTTTATTTTTAACCTTATACATGGTGATGTGGAAAGTGCTGACTTGTTGAGTCAGCTTAATTTCCATGTACCATGTAGAACTACTAGATCCTATATCCCATTAGTGTTGCGCCACTGTAGAACCTCCTTTGAACTGCATGAACCTTTTAGAGTGCTATGTGCAAATTATAATGATTTGTACACACTAATCTCTAACGTAGATACCCTTCCTAAATTAAAATCTTTAATACTAACACACTTAGTAAGCATGCAAGCTAACAATCTGGCAGCACGCCGGTAGTTCAATTTTCCTCGTATTCTGTCCTATATTTTCCATCGCGCCTACTAACACCTAACCCTAACAGGCACGTGCCTGGTGTCATACGGGCCACTTGAATGTACTGAACTTAGTGCATCAACGTCCAAGAAGATAATCTGGTAATAACTTATAGGTAAACCTTATCTAAAACATTTTCCTCGGGACAATCTTAACCAATCTGCTTACGATCTCTGCACGTACCATTAAATAATACAGAAAGTACAAGTAACAAACTTTATTATCAATTGTTTTTCAAACATAATACATGTGTAGTTTAGTTAGTTTCCTCAGAGTTTGTTATTTTTTGGGGTGGATTATGTTGTTAGAGTTGTTGTTGTTGTTGTGGCTGGAGTATTATTTATAAATTGTGTGACTAATTACAGGTGTGTATGCTTGGGGTGTGTGTGTGCGTATTATTGGAAGTGTAAGTGCGGATGCAGTATCCCGATGCCACATGCCACACATGCTCAGTCCAATCCAAAGGATGTTAGTCGATGTTGCGGGCCAAGAACATGGCCACGATGACGGTCAGGATGGAGAGGGAGCTGCGCAGGGCGCCGGCGCCACCATCGCGGCATGGCCATTCCTCCAGATCCTCCGAGCTGCAATTAAAAGGTGGAACCAGACGAACAGGTGTGATGTACTCTCTCTTCTCTCACATACAAGATACATAGCTCACAGATACAGCGGATACGGGTACGGATACGGATAGGGGTATGGATATGGGTGGTGCGGATATGGGTATGCGAGTGGATACGGTGGATAGCGCTGGAGTGGATAGACAACATGATCTTGTGGCTCCTCATGGGGCACATAAAACAGTGGTGCTTGTTGATGGCCTTGTGAAGCGGGTGCAGATTCTGGCGGGTAACTGGAAAAACACACAATCCAAACACTGAGATGATTGAACTCGGGACACCACCTTCGTCCTCCTGACTCCCAGCCATGGCTCACCATTAAAGCTAATAGATATTAGTGGGGAAGAAGGGTGGTTTTCCCCTTTGTCACGCGGTCAACCAACCCTAATGCTAGTTTGTTTAGGCCACGAACGGGAGAATACAAGAACAGCAAGTACATGCTAAGTTTAGCTTAGATTTCGGTTAATTTCTTGTCGGTTTTATTACACACACACACAGGTGAGAGGGAAAAGGCCAAGGAAAATTTAGGGTGAGTGAGTCAGTTAATTGAGGAAAACAATGTGTGTGGGTGGGTGTGTGTTAGCCAAACATGAGTGTGTGAGTTTTGTGAGTGAATGTGATTGTGGTTGGGAAAACACTTCATTAGTTGGTTTCTTTTTTTTTACACATAAACTACACATAAAATATTCGAGCAGCATTCGAGTTTTGTCTGTCTCGGTGGAAGCGATATTTACTTGACACCAATAACACCACAGGCTGCAACGAAATCAAATTCGAAATAATTAATTATTAAAGATAAATCCTACAGATTTCCAAATAAAATAAACCCACCAATGCGGCCGCCAGCATTGCCAGTCTTCTTGGAATCCGTATGGTTACCCAAACCCAAATCATCCTCTAGCTCATGGAGGACACATCCTCGTCCAATGATGGTTCGCTTGCCAGTTAGAGAGATCACTGTATCCGTGTAGGTAATATCAATAATGCCCGTTGAGTTGACCTCCAGATTACCGAGATCTCCAACGTGACGCACATCGTGCTTGGGACCGCCATGATCAACCTGAAAAAGGTTACAAAAAAAAGATTAATTAGGCATCCATTAATCAATATTAATAAGAGATGAGTTTGCTCCAACCTTATCGGGATTGTAGTGGGCACCCATGCTGGCACATCCATTGCTCAGATCTCCCTTCTCATGGATGTGGAAGCCATGCTTGCCCTCCTTGACGCCCTCCAATTGGATGCGCACATGGACATTCTGGCCGCAATCGTTCTGGGTGAAGGTCACATTGCCCTTGACCTGGCTATTATCCGCCTGCACTGGCCCGGTCAGATAGGCTATGGCCTGGATGGCATTGTTACGCTATTACCGGAATTAGTTAATTAATTATTTATTTCATAAGACTATAAATTATTAGATCCTTACCGCCTGAGCTGCTGAACAGATTGTCGCACAAAGTGCCAGGGCAACCACTAGATAACGCAGCATTTTGAAAACTGAAAGTAACAAAAGATTACAACTGGCACGTGTTAAAAATAATAAATAAGTAAATGGAAAACATTTCACTGAAAGGTTTAAGCTATAAATAAAGTTTTTTATTACATTTATCAAAAGCGAATTTTTGATTGCACCAACACAACTAGAACTAGATCAAAATTAGAGATGATCTTGGTTAGTTACAAGTGATAGTTGGTTTTAAAACTTTTACTAAGATTGAAAATATTTGTAAATGGTTTATTTATTTTAAATATTAAATTTAGAATTATGATTATAATAATTAATTAGAAGTAATGTGATAAACTTGATTACTTTCACTCTTTAAACTTGCATTCTCAATTAAACAAAATCCCAAACTTTACACCTTTAATGATCTATCTAATATCTCTCACTAAACCAATAACTAGATAATAATCAGTATTAAATTCACACGATATATGTATATAGGTATCGCTGTAAGAGACCTCACATTAATCCAAGCTGCTCATCCCTGGATTTTTGGACGTCATCAGGTGCACATTCACTTGATTCCATTAAATCGGACAGTTGTGTGCGGAATTGAAGCGCCTAACCTCAATTTATGAAACGATTTGTGGGTCATATACGAGATATTACCTCTGTGTGCTTGTATATATATATATATATGTTCATATATATCTATCTATATAGTCAGACACAGACTCAGCTAAATGCAAACAGCCTTTTTCCACAGGGTTAAGTGCGAGTGCGGCTGCGGGGGAAGGTCAATCGGCAATCCACAATCAAAATTCAACAATCTCTTTTTCGTACGCACTTCGTTTTGAGTGTTAAAGCAAGTTGTGTATGGATGTCAGAGTTTATCGATATAAAATATTTGTTTATTAGTCTTATCGGTGTCTCAGTATTATGCTGGCCAGTCTTGCTGAGTCATGTCCCGAGGCAATCTTCAAAAAATTGCGGTCAGTACCTGCCTTTAAGAACCCGTATCCTTATCGGTAAAGCGGCGACACTTGAACTCGGTTCCCAAATTTATGATTCTCACGCTGGCAGTATCACTGAATTTTACCTTTGTCGAAGGTATCGGAGAACTTGGAAGCCACGGAAAAATATTATAAATTGCACTTGTAAAAATATTCGATAGAAAATGGAAAATAAACCGTCTAATTGGATTAAGAAATTCAAAATATATACAGAAAACAGAGGCTCTTTAACATACAATTTTTAATTTATATGTTTCACAATGTGTTTTATTTTATTTAATATTTATTACAGTGTAAAACTCTTAACTCTTCATACCAATTTATTTATTCTGGTTCAAACTGTCAAATGGTTGACAAATTGCAACTAATCGTCATCGTTTGTCCATCAAATATGTGTTATTAAGGGCTTTCCCTATTCGTTGATTGAATATGATTGATTTGAAAATAATGGCTTAGGAACGAGTTATTCTCACAGGTGCCATTAAGTCATACTAGAATTAATTTTGATTATCATTAAGCAGCAGGTGTAACATCATCAAGAATTTGCAAACAATAAAGACTAAGATTATTTCTCCACTCTTCCCATCTATACAGCTTGGCATCTAATTTAAACGCTCAAGTTATGCAGTTAGTAGATAAGAACGATACATAAATTTCCATATATGTATGTCGTAGAGATATAGGAATTTGTAAACAAAACAAAATTCAGGTAAAAATGTAAGTTTTGTCCACTAAATGATGGCAAATGTGGAACGTATTGGAGTTTGGGTTTCTTGTCGAATTATGGATTCCGTCTCAAGTGCATTTTAACCCACACAGAGATGGATTTATAACTGGTTACTTTAACCCATTCAAGGGCAATCGGACAACGAACGCTGCCAAAATAAAAAGTGAGAGAATCACAAATAACTGAAACTGCGTTTTTACGCTAACTGGTTTTGGATTACTTTATTTGTATTCTTTTTTGGTAATAAGCCATCTCAGGTAATAAATATTAAAAGTTGTTTATTCTGCATTAAATAATGGGACCAACAGCAGCAACCTATTTTAATTGCACAACGAACCCGACTTTAGCTTCACCTTCACCCATTATTTCCAATCCTTGGCACTTGTTCTTTCTGTGTGATTCTGTATATTTTTTTTATTTTAGCGCACTCACCTTGTTAGCAACTATTTAATAATTGAGTAGTTATATTTTTCAGACGATCTGTACCGTTGGAGAACTGCGACGGAACTGTTTGGAGCCCCCGGCATTGCCATCGCAAATCGACTTGCTTTCGGTGGGGAGCTTAATGGGGAGAGAGCGCCCAGAATGGGGAGAGAGCGCACCTGAGCGAGGCGTCGGAAATTGCAGTGAACTGGTCAGCACGATCTGGCGTGTTAGTGGGAAAGAGAGAAGGGTAGCTTTACTGTTTGGCTTATCTCAAGCTTACGCTCACGCATGCTGTGTGAGTCTCTCGCTCTTTTAAGTTTTCTGGAAACTTTACAGACTAAATATTGATCGTGTTTTGGTTTTTACAAAACGCTATTAACCAGTTGAATATTAGATTTCTAATTATATAAAGTAATTTGGTGAAGTAAGCCTTGTTACTTAATCGCGAGTTCTATGAAAATTCCGCCAAAGCTGTTGGGACACGCTAACGTGCTTTTTATTGAAAGAGTTTATCACTACCGCGGCGTGAAAATGTGTGCCTGGCCGGCTCGTGCTTACAGTAAAGGCTGGAAATATTGGCAAGGTAAGTAAATGTAAATATACAGTTGTTTGTATTATGTAAGAGAGTAGAGTAATATCTCATTAATTAACTTGAATTTAAAATAAATATATATTAATGTAAGCCCAGCACTGATTTTTTGGTTTCATTATGCTTTAATTTGATCTGATTTTAATAAGGTTTTCACGAGTTCTGTTTTATTGTTAATATTTGTTATATTGAATATTTTTTTTAATAAAACATTATGAAATAAGAATATAAAAATTATTATTTCCATCAAAGAACGCATTTTCTAAAACAAATATCATCTATTTTTCAGCCTCGATCCAACAATCAAAAATAAAGTACACATTTAAATGAAGTGAAAAATTATTCGTGTATTCACAGTGATAAAAATTGTGCTAAGAAAATCATTATTACAATAAATGATCAATTATTGATATATTTTGCAAAAACTACGATATGATAGCCAAGCCCTACTTATTGATAACAGAATGTAAGTACACAAAACTTTTGTTTTTATATACCCTATTTTATAAATGGATAAATTCTCCTCTTAAGGAGAGTTTATTTACAAATAATCATAGTTTAATTAATTATAATTTTGCACATGTCCGCCTGTTTTTTGGTTCGTCCGTTATAGGATCGAGTTAAGCTAGTTTCCTTAAAACTAAGTTTGGTTGGGTTTCCTAGATAAGCTTGTGCCTGCCTAGGGAAGCTGTGTGCATGGGACTGCAGTTCTCAATGAGCATGGTCTGGCCCTCATCCGTTGGGGATACTCCACCCTTAATATTATTATTAATATTATTGTTGTTGTTGTGATGGACCCGCTTCATGGGTCGCTTCCTCTCGAGATCTGTGCAAGGATGCAGCTCCACAGTCTGCAGACTCTGAGCTCTTTGGAGGGACAGGCGTAGGGGTTTCTTGGGCGGAGTGGGTCGAGTGGTGCGTGCCTCTGTGGGTGGCTTTGATTCGTTTTCGCTATCAAAGTCCAGGGACTTGACACTCCTCATGTCGCTGGGCAGGCGGGCCCTCAGGGTATGAGCCTCACTTTGACGTGGCGTCTCCCGGCGACTGTTCAGTCTGGAAAAGGATAGAGGAATGGAATAGGTAAGGCTGATTTTAGATTTAGAAAGGGCACTAGGACCTACCCATTATATTGATTGAGATGCTCCACACTGCGAGCATGCGCACTCATGAGATGCTCCCGATGGAGCTGCTGCTGCTGCTGCAGAGGATCCCTGGGACGATCCCTATGCTGACGATCCCTGTGTCGCTCCTTCTCCCTGCGATGGTGCTGCATGTAGGCCGAGTCACTGTTTATGGAGATCTTCGAGGCGGACAGGGATTTGGAGGGCATGGAGTACATGTGCGGCAGTCGTTCCCTCAGATCGATGTGGGTGTTCTCCTTGATCAGTGTCTTGGTCACATGACCAGGCGGCGTCTGGCTTCCAACATCGTCGCCCATCAGCTCGATGGGTTTGCCACCCACCAAGGTGGTGATGTAATTGCCCCGCTGGAAGATTAGCGGTTTCTCTGGCGGCGTCGATGGGGGTGAGGAGATACTAATGCTGGTCACATGCTGGGACTGATTGGAGGAGGCTTGCTGATGGTGCAAATGCTCCTGATGCTGCTGCTGCTTTGGGGAATGGTGCTCCTTGACCGTTTGGAGCTCTCGCACCTGCTCCTCCAAATAGGAAATGCGATGCTGTAGCCTCGTGTTGTTCTCCTTCTCCTGGTCGAGTTGCTTTTGCGGTATGGGCACCGATTTCTTGCGAAGAACCACCATTTGGCACTTGCCTGAGCTGCCCACTTGCTTCTGTAGCTCCTCCTTGGTTTTACCAGTGACCAGGCGTCCATTGATTTCCAGAATGCGATCACCCTTGTACAGGCCATCGCCTTCGAGAGCCCATTCCACATAGAAACCTGGTTGATCTGTCCTCTGCTGAGCTGCCCAACGTCCCGAGGTGGCATGAACGGCATGGAGGCTGAGGGACACCCCCGAACTAATGATGTTGTAGAGGGTCTGGGCCTCCGGTTTGGACTTTTCCAGGCGTGCCTGCAGAGCACGAGCCTCCTCCACAATGGATAGCATTTGCAGCTCCTCCCGGCCCAGAGCATATTCCAGTTCAGCCTGGCGGATGCGGATGTCTATGTTGCTGGGGGAAGGATTGAAATGTAAGAATATGCTTTCATAGATAGAGTACTCAGTACTTACTCCGTTATATCGAGTTTCTCCAGGGCGCTCTTTAGATTCTTGATCTTGATTCGCTTGTTCTCCGCCTCGGCCTTCAGTCGGTTTAGTTTCTGCTCTGCCGCCGGCTTCTCGGACTCATCCAAAGGTGGTCCCGTGGGTCTGGGCAACTTTCCCAAACACAGTTGAATCCGCAGATTCTGGATGACTGCCTCTCGATCCTGGAGAGCGGAACGCAGCTCCTTCGATTCGCTGCGCGTTGAACGCGAGGAAAGAGTGCCGCCCAGGGAGCCACCTTTGCGCCTCCTACCTGTGGTGGAGCAGGTACTGGGGGTGCTGGTCGTCTCCTGGTTCGTCATCTCCGCCGTCGAGTGCAGACTGTACTTGGCGGCACTGCCACAACCCTTCGGATTGAGAATGGTCTGTAAGAATAGAATAGAGGAACAATGAGATGAGTTTATCTGGACTTATAAGTGAGAGTTTGTGTTTAAAGTAAAGTCAGGTCTTGCATTTTGATAAGAAATATGGGTTTTGTTTATTTTAAAGATTACAAATCTCTTGGAAGCCTTATCGGATTATATATAAAAACTTCTTGATGGGGGGAAGAGTATTTTTGTGGGACTATACTGAGCTCTACTCCTTGGGTATATCGTACACCCCACACTCCTTATTAGCGGGCACCGAGACATCTGTAATTTGGGGTTAACAATTAATATATGTATAAGTTTAATTAATTAGCCATAGTCCCCACCTATTTTCTTGGGATAGGGCAAGTTAAGGTTGTCCATAATCTTGACAAACTCCTCTAGATTCTTGGTCAGCCTGGGATTATAGCGCTTCTCCTCCCAGACACTGCTCTCAAGTTGACCTCTGGAAATTGGTATGGGTGTGGATTTAACACATATATCTCCTTAAGACTTTCTTTCCCACTCACTTGTAATCATGTGCCGGATATATTCGAAAGTTCTCCGGCAGCGTAAAGATCTTGCTGTGCACATTCTCGTAGAGATTACGGGGTGAACCCTCCTGGAAATCGGTGCGTCCACATCCACGTATCAATATAGTGTCCCCCGTAAAGATGCAGGCCTGATCCTTGATCACATAGCTCATGCAGCCATTCGTGTGTCCCGGCGTGGCCAGAGTGTCTATCACATGGGTGCCAAACTCAATGCGATCCCCCTCCTTGAGGTGACGATCCGCCTTGGCTCCACTGGCCGTGGCAATTACCGACTGACATCCAGTGAGTTTTCTCAACCATCCGCTGCCCGTTATGTGATCGGCATGCATATGTGTGTTGACTTTTCATTGGGGGGTTCGGGTAAAAAATACACGGAAATAGTTGGATGCCATGTTGAAATTATCCAATCACTTACTGGCATACTTGAGGTGAAAGCCCAAATCCTTGACCAGCTGGGCATCCCGCTTGGCCTGCTCCAGCACGGGATCAATGATCACGGCCTCGCCGTTCTTCAGATCCGCCAAGAGGTAGCTATAGGTGCTGCTTTCCCCATCGAAAAGCTGTGTGTTAGTTTCGAGATAGTCACACATGAATTTCATAATAATAGTCCCTGGACTAAGTGTGTTACATACTTGACGGAAGAAGAAATCGGGTGAGAAGGGTTGACGCTCTGGGAGACTCATGATGCCGAGGGAGCTCAAAGATCGTATATGATTGCTGGACAAGATTGTGGAGGTCGTGTTCCTTTGTTGGGTTGAGAGTCGCCTGAGGGCTGACAGCAAACTGGGGCCCATTGTGATACGGATTCTATGTGTTATTCGCTATTCTAGCTTCGTGTTTCTATTCGTCGCACTTCGGGTGTAATTGACCAACTCGGCGCTTTCCAATTTTTGCGTTTCGCTTGATAAATAATTCACTTGTGACGGAGCTTACTTGTATTTAGTTAATCAATATTGAGCTCTCACTAAGTTTACTTAATAACTGATAAGTGAGCACTTATTATCACATTCCTATCACACTTAATCAGAAATCTATGAAAACGTTATGATTATGAGCACTGGAATAACAAACAATGTTTCAGGGCGCACACAGAAAATAGAAATAATATCTGCCGCTAATTTATATATATAACAGCTGATGTGTTGAGTTTCACCGAGTTGAATTTGGCTCTCATTTTGTAGGAAGCTCTCTCTGTTTAGAAGCTTTTTTTGGGGGGAAAGAAACCTGTTGGGGAACCTGTTGCTCAAGCTTTTGGCAAACTTAAAACGAGAGAGGGGCCTACGTGATGGACAGAAATATAGGTTTCAATGTCATTATATATGATTTGATCATGTTTGAAACCCCCAGCCAAGGGTTATAACGTTATATATATTTGAAAATACTACATTTTCCAATATTTTATATAGTTTCTAATTGTCTTTTATGTTTAATACAGGGTAATTTAAGTTTGTTGTTAAGTTTTGTTTTAGTCTTATTGATCATCTATATCTGTCCGTCTGTCCGTCAGTTTGTCCGTTACTAGGTTAATAAAATATCTAAAATTATCACTTAATTAAGAGAAACCAAGGAAAGAAGTTACTTTAAGCTTAATTTGCATTTTTAAGTTACTTATCCATGGTTTATTAAATTTCTTCAGGCAATACTATTTGTTCAACTCTTTCGGACTGAAATTTTATTATAATTTAATACACTGCATACAGTTTCTACTAATGTTCATTAAACTTTATTATTTTTTAATGTATGTATACCAATTTAGTTATGGCCATTTATTTTTTAGAATATTGCACATTTCTTATGCCTTCTCCTCCTTTTTACCGTAGTTCTATCATATAGTATATCGGGTATGGGATACTCTTCCGATTTCTCATAATTCTCGTTGCTTTGGGGAACTGGATAATACCCAGGATTAGCTCCAGACGAGACGTTTCCATTGGTTAAATTAAAGTTATTAGGTTGTAGACTCATCTATGCGATTTGAACTGATTCAACAGCATCTTCAATGTTTAGTTATTATATATAGAAAAGAAGTCGGAACATTTTTAATCAGGCATGCTAAATGCATTTTAAAAGGTATTTAAACTATTTTTTTGGTCAGAGCTCCATTTATGTGACTTTGTTTCACTATATTCGTGTAAGTCCAAATATCCAAATCTTTTATGCACATTTCTTTTAGGAATAAAAAGACATTACAGACTCCTGTCGCATAGCTCTCAATGTCTTTATATAATATATATTGATTGATAATTTGTAATGGCCTAATGGTTTTGTTAAATATCTGTAATTCATTAAAACTATTGTATATTTTCTTTAGCTATTAATTTTTTTTCAGCATTTATTCTTTAGATTATTGTACATTTCGGTCTAATTTTTCCTCTCATTTCGATGGTTTTGTTATTTGGTATCTCTGGTATTTCATCCTGGTTCGGTTTGACATTGGCCTCAGGACGTTTGGGAGCTGAATAATACGCCCAATTATCTCCAGACGAGACATCTCCATTTGTTAAATTTAAGTTATTTGGTTGCAGACTCATTTTTAGCGATTTTAACTGATTTAACAGAGCCATTGATTTGTTATTATATATAGGAAAAAAAGCGGAATATCTGCATTTATGCATAGTGAATGAATTTTGTATGGTCTATTACTATGGTTTTCTTAAATTTTATGGTCGGAAGTCTATTTATAGGAGGGATTTTCAGCTTCCAGCCTACCTTCACACATTTTCTTTTTAAGGATTAAGCTAATATGAAGAAAAATATATTCAAATATTGCCTTAAGCTCGCTTCTTTCAAGAACAAAAAGCCGTTACAAAGTCCTGTCTGAGATGCATTTACATATGCATATAAAAAGACTGCAACAACCACCTTCTTTGCAATACTTGAGCTTCCTGGCACCCCTACGATCCTTTCTTTATCAAGCAACCCCTTAAGGACCCTAAGGAGTCGTTGAGAAATTGGTACAAAATTAATATTTAAAAGGGACCGGACATTGTCCACTCCGATGGGCGAACGTGAGAAATTCTTTGCCGGCCGGATTTCGGTTTAAATTTCTTGACTTTTCTCTCAGATCGTAAATAAATTTGCATATTTTAACGATCTCAGAATCTCATTCATTAACAGCTCGGCAAAGGAAATATCTCGCCGAGTAATTGATGTAATTTTGTGGAAGGAATTAATTGAGCAGAGAAAATATGTATGCTGAGGTGGAGATAAGGGTGGCTTACCAGGTAGGGAAACCTTTTTTGAAATGGAAAATGGAAAAAGAAAACGATATCGGTTTCAGTTCATTTCGTTTCGCTTGTGATGTGATATAACTTCACCTTTGGTTATGGCCAATTTAGCAGGGACTTGTGCATATTAGCCATTATTACCTCCCACAAGAAAACAAAAACAGTTGTTTCTGAACACCTGTGTTTTGCTTCACATCGATTTCTGAAGCATCCGAAACTCAAAAGGTGTTTTGTACACAAAACGTATTCGTCACTCACTTTTGCTTTCAATCATTTATTTCGCCCGGCAAGTGAAAGTTCCCATTGTGGACGACGGAGACTTCTTTCTACTAATTTTGCCAAGCCAAACTTAGGGGGAAAGGCCGAGAGGTGAGGAGGTTGTTTAAGTGTCTAAATTTAGTTATGATTATTGCGGTTAAAAAGTCAAAGATTACCCTGGGGGTCACATGAGACTTTCTTTCACAATTTCATCAACAAAACCCAGAAACTAGATTCTCTCGAGGAAATAAATGTTACATTTTTGTTTTTAGATTTTCCTATCATTGAATTGTAATTTCACTTTTCTCACACTTATTCAGTTATTCCCCCCACACACAAAAAATTCCCAGCACAGCGACTATGCAATATTTCACACATAATATCTGTTAAAAAAATATATATATCCATATTTAGATACTCGAACTCTCAATAGTTTCGAATGCAACAATGACTCTGCATTGTGGGTTGAGCGTGAAAGTGTTGAAAAAACTTAAAAAATGCATTCAATTGCATTTGCAATTAATAGTTTTAGTTGTTTATGTGGTTTTTGAGCTTTTCCTCGTCTTTATTTGGTGTTTACAACGCTATATTTATATGCATTTATTTGGATTAAAAATTAAGAGGAAGAAAGTGTATTTTCGGTGGGATTTTTCGACTTATCGATGATTATATTTCTCATATATTAACAAGTTTTTATGGATAATAAATACTGATCAACAGTAGCTATAAAAAAATTACAAGACCCCCCCTCTTTGTGAGATTTTGCAACAAATCTATCACATCAAAGATTAAAAATCTCATAACTGAGGCAAAAATGCATTAATTTTAATTCGGATTGCTTTCCTATGTTAGTTTTTAAGAGGTTAACAAAGCTGCATACTCAGTTTAAAACCAGTTTGCCATTTTTCGGAAATTTTAATGATGTAACCCCTTATCATTTTTTACAAAAATCGACAAAAATTGAAAAAATTTATTTTCATTAAAATATAGCTGCATTACAAGCTTCTGACTGAAATTAGAATACCTTTGTTAGGGTATAATTAAGCGAATAAGAGCCGGTGATTTTTGCAAAAATTTACTTTGACATTTAATAATAATATCTATTTACAGCCTTTCGATTAAATTTATTTTTCAGTTTATATCTTAACGTATTACCTTTATTAAATATGTTATTTGTTTTTATCTACACGTATTTTTTATAAATAGATTTTGTAGTTCAAATCTCCACCTTAATTTTTGCAAACCCTCATTAATAATCCTTAGCATTAAATCGTGATCTTTTAGGGTAATTTATTTTTAGCTTTGGTTTATTTCTTGTTTAAATTTTTCTTTAATGGCATTTGCTTGCTTGTAAGCTCAGAGATTTATGTTTGGGCCATTGGCGAATTTGGTTTTGGCCAACTTTCTAGCGTGAGGCGATGCCAAGTATGTGCCACAGCCTACGGCTTACACTCGCCGCTAAGGCCCTCCCTGTGCGTGTCAATATCTAATTAGCGCAGATACGTAGCACTCGCGGACTTACATAATCCGATCAGACAATGGGGCGGGGCGGGGATGTTGCATTAATTATGTGTTGGGCCTTACACAATACCCATATCTACTTATTTGAGGTGCATACAGGGGCGGAGGGGGCGTGGCACTCACCATGGAGGCAGATTTCTGTTTGGCGAAGGCGCGATGATGCGCGGAAATTGGTTCGCTAACCACACTTCCGGTGTCCATAATGGGGGAAAAGCTAGACAGCTTTAAATCGATCTGCAGATGGGTTTTAGGTCTGAAAGATAGGGAAAATTTAAATGTATTAAGATAAAAATGGTATAAAGTATGAAAAAAATGGTTGGAAACTATATTTAAACAACAAATATTGTAGGTAAAATATAAAATACTTAACTAAACCTCATTGATTTGTAATTTAAAGGTTCGAAATATAACAAGTTTCAAAGGTAAACTAGTGTAGCCTCATTTATTTTTCGTATACAATATTAAACTATTAAAACTTCATTTATAAAACTTTAATTAACTGTAGCTACCACGATAATCTTTGAACTTGAAGGTAACTATCTTTATAGTTACAATTATAGCCCCTAGAAAATGTATATAGTTTCGGTGTTAACCTCTTTAACTTGTCAGTGATAAATCCGCAGCTGAACTTTGAACTTATAACGAAGAGCTAGAGTCCTAGACTTCAAGTCAAAGTCACTTTAATTTCGCGTTCCGGTTGGCAGGCGAAAAACAATTGGTGGCTGCAATTTTCGTCGGTTCGTCGGGTTTAACAACTCTGGCACGTTACATTTGCCAGTTTAATTAGCCCTTTCGAGTCCAGAACCCTATCCCATCTTCACACATTTCTTCATTCATATTTCAGAGAGTTGAAAAACTGAAAAAAGAAAAAGGAAATTCCAGCTCACATGCAAATGAGACGCACTTTCGGTGGTTGAGAGAAAGAAAAGAAAAACGCATTCGATATGCAGATTTGCACAGCCGCAAGATATACACACACTCGCAGAAGGGAGACTGCTTTTCGAGGAGATTGTATCTGCATCTGGCGGATGAGGTTGCATAGATCACATTACTTAATGTGCCGGCAACTGTTCATTTCCCTCTTTTCTGGGCTCTTTTCACTTGTTTGTTTGCTTGCTAGTCTTTTTTTTTTGTTGCCTTTGTCGGCCTGCGAAGACAAAGCATTTTCATTCATACTGCAAATGTCATAGATACTTGTGACATACAAAATGTATCTCACAGAGAGTGCCGCTTACCGTTAGCTTGGCTTTTATTGAGTGCTAAAAAAATGGGGAAGTTCTTAGGAAAAACACTTCCCATTGAGTTAGAAGACTTCCCAAGTGTAAGAGTTGAGCAAAAAAGTCAACTTTCATTGCGGAAATAATTCTAATCGAAGTTGGCGGACAGTTATAAAAAACAAAAAGTTATTAGGAGCCTTAGAAAATATGTTTCTTTTAAGGGAATAAGTTCTAAGAACCAAAGAGGGCTTGTCTTAGTTATTTAAGATATATTCTTTTAGCAAAATGTATCTTGCTTACAATCTATTTGATGTTCTACTCGTACAATTTAGTTTTTTGAGACCTTTTTGCCTTCAAGATATACCCCGAAAGTCATTAGTCTTGCAGGCTAATTATCATGCGAGCAGCGTTCTACAAAGTTTAGCCAAGAACAAGCATCAACATCACCATCGTTTTTGGGGTTTTCAGGAACCAGAAATATAATATAAACCCCAAAGGGGGCTATGCGATGGAGGGGAATTTTGGGTTACCTTGCCCCATGTGGGCCTATCATTAATCTAATTTCGCTTTAATGCCTAATTGTGGAAGCCAGAGAGAATGGAGAGAAAAGTGAGAGATACCTGCTTCTTCTTCGACGAGTACTCACACATTAGCGACTGGATTTGAATCTAACTATCTACCCTGAAAAGCTTGTACTTTGTTAGAACGCTTTGCTAATGAGCTGAAATTAAGGGGGAAAACGGGAGAGAACCTAGTCAGTATCTAGTCAGTTTCTAGCAACTATGTATGTGGTATTTGGCCAAATTGCACCAGTGTCAGTTACAATTCACAATTGGCTGTGGGAAAAGTCTGTCAAGCGTGAAGATCGTTCAACTATACCCTCTTCTACATATACTACTCTTAGGACTTGACAACGTCTCCGCATGTAGCTCCCCGACTTATATGCATGTAATTATTTATTCTTCAATTTGCGTGCCCAACTTGAGAGGGTTCCCCTGTCTTTAGAGTTTCCGTACATTTGATAGGAACGAGAGCAAGTGCAGCGAGGTACTTCCCAGGCCACGGAGACTCGAAATTGTGGGCGCTGGAAGCCACTGAAGCGCAACCAGACCGAGAACAAGTGCCTTGTACTCCATAATCAAGTTATTAGAGAGGATAAGGTAACGATAGGAAGGGGGCGAACCTACAGACATAACTCTATATAATTAAACAAATTAAAAAATGTGTTTGGTCCTTAATTCCATTAGGGAAATATAATTAAAACAGAGAAACATATGCCTTGTTGTATAAAGACTTTTGTGAAGGCAAGGCTTAGGTTTATTGACTTTTTAAAAGAGATCAATGTACATAGCTTAATCTAAAACATATTTAAAGCCAAAACCAAGTCAATTTTAAATCTCTTAGCAAAGCTTAGTCACCCCCAATTACCTTTTAGTAAATTACACACAAATTTATTGTTCAAGAACCCACACAATAGATCACGCTTCCACCTCTAATTGCCTCAGTACAGTGGAGCTCCTCTGTAATCATTTCCATTTGGACTTCCGGTGGCAAAGTTTTAAGCCAAGTTAAGTTGAGTTGTTAAGAAAAAAAAACCAACCACCAAGTTTATGAAGCAATTTTCGGACTCAAGGTAGCCTCCGGTGGCCGCAACAATGTTTTCCCCTCCCATCAAGAACAAGCTGCAAAATTGTGGATGTACGATGTACTGTTACATCTAAATTCAAGTTGCAAATTGCAATTTTCGATGGCCAGGCAAGTGGAACGCCAATGTCCAACGATGGTCTAAGTGAAACTTGTTCGGTATCAAAATTCCGGTCTGCAGATCTCAAGCAGAAAATGACCCAAATAAAAGAAAATATATACATATATATAGAAAAAGCTGGCGAAATGGTGACAAGTTTATTCTCTTTTTACCATTTCTCTTGAGTTTCCCAGATAAAAAAAATCAGTCCCTGGGAATTGAAATCGAACTAGCGGTAACTCTCCAAGATTCTTGCAATAAATTTCAATCAGCAGAGATCTCAATCGGATCTAGTCATTGGCCATATATCAAATGCAATCCGTTGGGATATAGATATACATAGTGTGTGTGAATTGCGTTTGCTAAAACTCATCTTCCCACACATCAAATGAGGAATTTTATGTTAATTTAAGGCAAAGAAATCGAAAAACTAATTTTAACAAGGAATTTCAAAGATTTCAAGTGGTATTTCATAAATTTCTTATTACTGCTTTAAAATCTTTCTTATATTCATAAACTGCCAATTAAAATTGGCCCATGAAGACTTTCTAATATTTATGAAGTCATTTTAATTATTCTTCAAATTTTTGTGGCCCCTAAAAAACAGATTTCTTTGCTTATTTTATGTTTACTTATTTTAATTTCAAAGAAAATCCCCTCATCAATCTCCAAAAAAAGCAATCAATTTTTATTTCTGTGTATATTTTCTGTAGGGGGCGTATTTGCCACGCCCCTCCCTCTCTGTGTTTGTTTCTTGTTTATTATTGCTTTCCAAACGCGCGCCTACAAAAAATTGCTGCGAGATGAGCTCAGTCAGTGTTCGCAGTGCGCGCCCACAAATCGCTGAACAGTGCAAAATTATTTTGCTCAATTACTTAAATGGAGATGACACCTGGTTCTAATATAAACTGGCTTCTATATAATAATAATAATGATAAAAACAATAATAACTTGTTTGTTACGCTTTGCTGTGGATGCAAATTTACCTTTGCACTGTTAACTAACAGCTGTTAAAGCCTTGTGTTAACAATGCGCACTGTTAAGCTTTTCAGCTGTTAGAAGCATTCTGAGCGTGCTAAAACGTGTAGCGTTTTTGCCAGCTGCCTAACAGAGCCTCTTTAGCTCAGTGGCAGAGCACTGGTCTTGTAAACCAGGGGTCGTGAGTTCAATCCTCACAGGAGGCAATGCGCTTGAAATGAGAATTTTTTATTTTTTCTTTTTTTTTTAAATAAATTATTTATTTTTATTTACTTTATTTTTTTTGAATATTATTTGCCTTGCAATTTTCATTTTCCGCAAGGTTGTAATAATTATAATAATAAGCTTTAATTCGCTTGATGTTTCTGTAACATCTCCGTGATATTATTAATAACCTTTATGAATAAACATTTGCCCTGCGGGCGCCAAATTAGGTTTGTTTTTATTTTATTTCATTATATTTTGCTGTAGTTTTCAATGTGGTTTTCCTATATAGACCTTAACCTCTGTCTGGTTTGTGGTTCGTTGTAGTTTCCCAACACCTGTGCCCTGAGTTATTTACGAGCTGAAATATACACAAATTAGCCCAGAGCTTGGCAATTGGCTTGGTGGCTTGTCGCTGGGTAATATTATTATTATTATGTGTGTGCACAAGTGTCACAAAGAGTGAAACAAGAAGGCAGCCCCGACATTGATAATTTTAATCGCTACGGAGGCTGCTGCTGGTCCACAGAGAGCGGGTCTAAAGCAACCAGACAACTTGGCCAAGAATATGGACTTAATGGACTTGACATAAATATGGAAATTTCTTTGTTTGTTTTTTTTTTTCGGGGTTTATTTGTCTTGGCCAAGATCTGAACTTCGAGTGGTTACAAAAGAAAGGTCGTTGGTTTCTTTGTTGAATTAGATGTTCTAATAATACGAATAATCAGTGGTGTTATATCATAGAAGGTGATTTTGTGATAAGAATTTGATTTGATTTAGAGATGAAAGTTAAAGAGTTTGATAGAAAAATATAATAACAATGTAGTTGAATGAAATGGTATTAAAATAGTTGTAAATTAACCTAGAATTCAGCTTCTAAAAGTAGTATTTCAAATTTAAAATTTATTTACTCATTTTCAAACTACTTCAGTGACCTTTGAGCACCTATAATCCCATTGTTTTCTCTGTATTTATGGTGTATGTTTATTTTGCAGCTGTTGTTGCCAAGCCACTCGCCGATAATTGCCCATCATTTTCAGGGGGCAATTATTGCCTGGCGTATTTAATATCATTCACTGTTAGAATGCCACCTGTCTCCGGCTGTCTTGAGATGCAGATTGGGGTCGCGAAAGTCTCGGTCACTATATGCAAATCAATTCTTAGAAAGTCGGCCTGATCAGGTGGCGATAAGAAAGTGCAAATTGCCTTGGAACAGAGATCGAACGGAAATACAATCGGAATGAAAGCGAAATCTATGCTGAATCGTGTTGGTTTTGACTTGGTTTATATATATGAATATATATCTGAGTGATGGGAGCTCTCGTTTTAATTGTTACAGAAATGAATGAAAGTGAAAACGCCGGCAAAAACCGACAAAACAGTTAGACTGAAAACAAAGTCAACATGTATGTATGCAAAGTTATCAACACACCGAATCTTGGCTTTCTATTCCCACTTAATGGTTAACTTGGACAAAAACAAAGTCAGCGTGGATGCGTTGATGCATCCCCACAAGAAATCACGACTATGAAACCCACATAAAACCACAACGAAAAAAAGCAGTCACAGCTAAATTTACATAACGAACAAATACCCAAAAATAACCAACTTTGATTAGGTTGTTAGCATTGAAAAAAGCCACAAAGAAATGATCAGACAAAAGTCTTAGAAGAGACCAAAGAGAATCCCAAATCAAAGACAAAACCCAAAGAATATGTAAATCACACTCGAAAGACATCCTGTCGTTAAAGGGTTTGGCATTTCAATGAAGAAATGGGAAGCCGATCAATTGTTATTCAAATGCAACTCGATAGCAACGATTCCCAAAAGGAAATATCTAATTAAAATTAATGACAAAAGGCAGACACATCTTGCATATAGTATACAATCCACGAAAAAGGTCTCTCTCTAGATTGTAATCTGCGCTGGGGATTCTGATCCCAACCGCAGAAATCTCATATGTAATTATATGGCCAGAGATCGAGTCAGAATATTTGATTTGATTTGATTGATTGTGGCTACTCAGAGGAATTCCATTAGAACTCGGTTGTGTCATAATAACTAAGCAAAAAACAAAAACCAACTGATTATTATTGCCTTATCTTTGACTCATCAAACAACAAATGGCGTTTTAATCGACGTCGGGTAATTTATTTATGAGGTAGAGAAACCCAAACTCTGAAGCCTTTGTTATGATAACAAAATGTGAAAGAGTTTGAAAGTTTAGCCATTAAATATTCAGATATCAGAACCGTTCACCCATCGTTTTAGGATTATGCAAGACCGAGATGAGGAGGAGTGGCCTTCTAAAAGATAAAATTGCCCCATCATCATTATAATGGCTCTGTTGACACCGATTTCTATATACACATTCTGAACTGCAATGCCTAACCTTTCGCTTTTCCATTGATTCATTTCGAACTATTGTCAAGACTCTACTTACCAGCTTTAAGTACGGATTCCAGTTTTAAAACTCTAAACAATGGCAAATCGATGGCAACATTTCATTTCATTGCATTTGATTGGTTATTGGTTAGACAAGAGGGAGGAAAGCCAAAGCCAAAGCCTCAATTTGGTGTTTATTGTATTGTGCGAATTATTTACACTCAAAGCATAAATCAATAATGTCAATTGATGGTAAGTCGATCAATTGTTTCGAACCGCAAAGTCAGGGAGACCGTTACTAAAGCGTCAGCGGCACAGATTTATTGCAATATTTATTTATTTAATTTTTGTTAAATTCATTTCCATTGATTATTTCCGTTTAATTATGCTCACTTCCTCTGCGCATTTCCTTTTTGTTTATGGAGGCTACAGGAAATTTACTCTATCGCCACTTGGGAAAGGTAAACAAATCAACACACGAATGCAGGTTCCAAATGCAAGAAGGTTCGTCGTCGCGCAGGCGCACAGAACGAATCACGAAATTGCAGGGGGATATTTATTTGAATAAAAAGATATAGCGATATATACATATGTATATATGGACACGGCACACCCGATCGCGACGACGGTTGGATGATTTCTGAACATCGTGACTTGAACGGCAGCCAAGCATTACACTAAGCGGCTCTCGCTCGCTTCAGGCTCTCTCTGGTCAGTGGTGGCACATGAAAATAGCTAGTATTTAGGAGGTTAAAAAAAGCTAGATATGATGGATAACAGTATATGATTTTATAGGAAATTTATAAATTAAAAAATACATTTAATTTATCATGGGTCTAAAGGTTGTTATATTTTAGGAGAGAAGCTGCAGATGAGTCTTTTTCCTTTTTCTGAAAAATAGTATAACTATAAATGATTAAATGTTGATAATATTAATGAATTTTGTTACTAATATATAAACAAATTGATTAAAAATTGTATAACCTTCTTAAATGTAAGTGGAAACAAATATTTACCAAATATTATTTAACAATCAGATGAAAAATCAGTTGAGTTAATAAATAATTTTATAAGTAGTAAGTAGTATGATCCATAAAATGAGTTATAAGTGTTATAAAGAATTTCTTAGATAGATATAGATTCCCGTGCCATCTCTGACATAAAATTTTTATATATAGCTATAGAAACTAGCCTATTTCCTCATCCCTCTTGAGGGTAGGTAAGTTTTTGAGAGAAGAAAGAGAGCCAGAGCGAGATACTGCACCACCAATGGAGTACTCACTGGCAAAGTGCATTGGGTTCCGGATTTATTGGGTTATACTTGCCCGCTGGGAACGTAATTCCTAAATGTTTAATAGAGTTCCAGGGCATTGAACTCATCTGCAGTGGGTGTCACCATCTCCTCCTCCGACTACTCCTCCTCCTCCATTGTTGCCTATTTTGACAGCTGGCACTGCATCACATCACATCCGAGATTTAACGACTGTCTGATCTTAAACTGCTCATTTGCCTGCTGCTCCAGTTGCATCATCGTCTCAATATATGGCCCTGGGATTATCTCCCTCATATCTGTAGAGTTTCGGTCTGATGAGTCCGCTCGTGCGCAAAGTCAATTAAAATGATCACAACAATCCCGAGCTCCGATGCCCCGAAAAAAAAGAAACCCCTTTGTAACCCATGCGTAGGGGTTGCTGGCGTTGATTGTATATTGCCCTTCATTAAGTGCAACCCAAAGCAGATAGCAGGCCCAAAAAAAAGGATTCAAGAGCTAGGGCATAAATCAAAATTAAACAAAAATTAAAACAGGAAAAAAAGGAAAACATAAAAGGATAAAGCAGGCGCGCGTGCGCCTCAAGTGCGTCGCGGCACCCTAATTGCAAAACTTTTTATGGCTTTGATATCGTTTCGATTAGCTAATGTGAGGCTGGGCCAAAGCCATATGTTATATACATATATATGGGCTATAAATCAAAAAACTTGGCGAGTGAAATGTGCTTGTACCGTTAGAGGCAGAGCGTCTATTACCAAATCCATTGAAAGCAGCGTCGGCGCTTAGCTCATTTCCATACTCAGGTTTGTGGCTTAAGTCTTTCGTTTCATTTCGCTTCGTTTCGCCAGCGAACCAAGACAAAAGATTGAGAATATCGGGGAGATATTACCAGAGCCTGTCGACAAACAATATAAAAATTAAAGAAAAACAATCCCCCCTACCGAAAATGAAAGACTTCCTCTTTTAGAAAAAAAAAACTGAAAGAAAAACAAAGGGAAAATCACTTGACGCTGTCAGTTACGCGAGGCCACTTTTTATGATTTTTCCTTTCCAAACCCGAACTCAGAAAAAGAAAACCGAACACCGCAACTTGCTTGGCTGTTGGGTTTTTCCTAGATTGGCTGTTGGGTTTTTCCTAGATTTTCCTAGAATATAGTTCATTTTCTATTTTTTGGGTTCGGCAGGGCCAAAGGCCAAAGCAAACATTATAAATTCGAGCATTTTGTGGGCACTTGAACATGAGGCAGGGGAGCGTCTCTTTGGTAATTTATGCCAAGTGGTTGAGATTCCCGATGGCCGAACAAGTAGCCGCTTGTAGCCTCAATTAAAATTGAATTTATGCCACCATAAAGAAAACCCAAGGCGTTGGGACTTGCTACCTGGATCCTATCCTCGCTTCAACTGGATTCTTTTTCCCCATTTCCTGAGGTGTGTGCGTGTTCAGAGAGCGTTTTCCGGATCGCGGGACAACATAAATTGTCTCGCCTTTTGGGAGAGTAATGGAAGCGGAACTTCTTTGCGTTTTTAGAGCAAGTTTTAGCGCTGCCATGTCCTGCGACAGGTGACAGGTGCATTTGATGTAAGCGTATCTAGTTAATTGAGGAAAAAAAGGAATTTATTTACAGCCTGGGAGAGTGTACAAAAGGGGATAGTTCTGGGATATATTTCCAAAACAATTTTATGTGAATTCCTGTGAGGTCTGTTTTCCTTTTGTGTTTTATTGTAAAGAATGTAGGGTGAAGGAAAGTACTTAAATACTATTTAATAAATAGTTATTTTAAAGAATTTTCTTATACTCCTGCAGGGTATTATAATTTCAGTAAGAAGCTTCAAACGAAGTGAAGGAGTCATTTCCGACCTCATAAATCATATATATTCTTGATCAGAATTAAACGGCGAGTCGATCTAGCTATATTTCAAAGAAAATAATTTTTTTCAATTTTTGTCGATTTTTGTAAAAAATGATAAGGGGTTACATCATTAAAATTTCCGAAAAATGGCAAAAATTTTAGGTTTTAAACTGAGTATGCAGCTTTGTTAACCTCTTAAAAACTAACATAGGAAAGCAGTCCGAATTAAAATTAATGCATTTTTGGCTTAGTTGTGAGATTTTTAGTTTTTGATGTGTAGGAAAAAATTGTCATATAAAAGTATAGATAAATATAGTATTAATAAATATATAAATATATATATATAAATATAGATATAAATATGTTAAACTGCGTATGCAGATTTATTGTCCGATTAACAGAAAACATGGGAAGGCTTTCCGAATTAAAATTAATGCATTTTTGGCTTAGTTATGAATTTTTTTAAACTTTGATTTTAACAATAAATTGACATATAAAAATATGAATTCAATATAAGTTATTTCAGTTACATTTCTTACTTCTTGTTAAGTATTTATTACCAAATTGAACAAATTAACCTACGTATATAAATTTATATAAATATATTTAGCTATTTATTAACGATATTTCCTTAACAAAAAATTCTAATAATTATAATAAATTCATTAATTATAAATACCCATTTTATCAAAGAGAGTTCTATAATAACAAAGCCTAATTGCTCCATTTATTCCCCAAATAAACTTTTCTTTGTTACATTTTTCCATCAGAAATCAAAGTATTTAATATGAGTTTAGTTGATTGCCAGCTTTACTTTCCTAGTGCAAAGTAAGCTAAATAAATATATTTACCATTAAACATAAACAAAGAGCAAGCTAATGAACTTTTGACATAAATATACAGCTAATTTCAACCTCGAAAAAAGTAAAGAACAATTTTACCCAGTGACCTCAGCTATATATAACCTCGATCCCAGCTTTGCTCCCGAACTTGCCTCCTGTGAGGATTGAACTCACGACCCCTGGTTTACAAGACCAGTGCTCTGCCACTGAGCTAAAGAGGCGCACGTTTCGAGGGCGACCCAGTAGCGAATTTCAACTTTTGATTACCGCCAAGAGCCGGGCTTGCATTCTACCTACACACACACACACACACACACACACTCTCGTATATTTATACACACAATAGTTGGTGTCTTTATATCTTGAAAGAGAGCACGAACAAAGATAGATAGCTGGGGAAGAAGAACATATGTTGACACAGTTGGGTGTGTGCTCTCGATCTGTTGCTGTCGCCGCTCGCCTGATAAATGCTTTCAAACGCAATTAAGAGAAATGTGCAGAGCACACACAAGGTCAGGTCGACCGGATATTAATTTCACAAAAATTACACACATTCAGGCGGGGGATAATCAACATTAAGATCGGACGCGCTCCGTGCGCTCCAGTGGCCCATGACAATTAGGGTCAGAAGAAGAAGGCTCGAAGAAATTTCGGCGCCTCACCTGTTGCCATTAGGTGGGGCTTCCCTGAAAGCCAAGCTCGTCTTGCTGGCTGAGCAAATTCGTATATATTTTCACATCATCATTGTGACTACCACGCATCTGCAAGATACTCGTATGTATCTGGCAGTGCCGAGTGCAGTTCGATTTCAGTTTCGAGGCAGCAGTGCGTGCAAAATGGATCAACGATCTTTGCGCTTCGCCAGCCGTAAAATCAACAAGGCAGGCGCTTCGGGTCAGGGAATTTTCTTTCCCCTCCCCCCTCTGGAAAATGATCAATCGATTAGGTTCCATATGGTCAAAGAATTTCCTCGCAGCGGGTTTTGAAAAGAAACTGGGAAAAGTCCTGGCCAGCAACTGTCGCGTGCTGAGACAACAGCTGCTCTTAATGTGTTGATTATTTGAGAGAAAATATCTTTAAATAACCCCAAAAAAAACGGTGCCCAAATTGCCATTAAATCGCATTAAAATGAGTCGGGAAACCGCAAAAAAAGGATTTCCTATACTAAGCTGACTAATGCTCCCTATGTCTCCATATAGTATATTTTTTTACCAATCAATCCCACAAAAGTGTCAGGCCTCAAACAAAGGCTCAGGGAATTGGGTAAAAAATTGCCTGATTTAGTGTAAAATTGCAGTTACAATGCAAAAAAAAAGAATGGTAGGGAGAAATATGAGGCTAATACGCGATGACAGGCAAAGGACATTACATCAATGGCTCTGGGCTCGTCATTAGCATCCCGAAAAAACAGAGAGAGAGAGATCGGGATGAGCCTCGGGGTAGGACCAAGGCCATTCGTCACAGTCTGTCACTTCGCATCCATCTCACATCCTCATCCCTCATCAATCTCAGGTTGTAACTGTATTTACGGATGTAACAGCTTACGATCCCGACCCAAATCGAGATACTGCCACGTGCCTTTTCCCCTTTTCCCCTTTCCCCCTTTTTTGTTTTTGTGTTCGATCCCTTTTCCCTTTTGCCAGCTGCCGCCGACGCC